GCGCCAGCGCCAGCATTTGAGCCTGCACCGCCATCTGCGCCTGCGCCAGAACCCGAGCCTGCGCCGCCACCTGCGCCTGCACCAGAACCTGCGCCTGCACCAGAACCTGCGCCTGCACCAGAACCTGCGCCTGCGCCGGCATTGGAGCCTGCGTCATTTCCAGCAGCACTATAGTTCAAGACACCGATACTACCTGAGCCTGCTATCTCGTCGTCGTCGGATCCCTCTGACTCTTTCCCTATGCCAGACTGCAGTGAGGCCTGAGGACCACCTGATCCGTTTTCGCACTGGTTTCCGCCTCCAAAGGTCGTCACCGTTATTCCAGGGCCAGATGATCCCTCAAAGTTGTTACCTTCCAGGGAATATCCTGAGTTCCCCGTTACAATTTCATCATGACCCTGTCTTGCTTTCAGGGCTGGGACACCGATGCCGGTGTCTTCCAGGCGAAGCTTCTTGACCAGCTCAGCGGTTGCATCACGCCCCAATGAATCTTGCGGAGCTTCCTATGCAAAAGTTAGACATTTATCGCCGCGTCTGTCTCTCTTCCCCCCTCGTCGCCTACTCACGATGCTTGGAGGCTGGCCAAAGGGCGCCGGTCTGGCCTGGACAAGCGAAATCGAAAAGAAATCTATTAAACAATAAAGGGCCAACAGATTGGCTTTGGTCTTGTGTTCCCGAGGCATGGTGTATAATAAAAAATAGTTGATATCTTGGGGATACGGTAAACTTGGTTGCAAACAGGAGACTTGCAGATGACCAGAAGAGAAGGTTCTTTGCTTCGGAAGGCATCTGTCGGGTAGAAGTACTCCGGTTTTATTTCTTGCTTTTCTCACAAAGCATGTGTGCTGGGAAGCCCCTCCTGAACCGGATTCGTTTCATTCCAGACATGGGATCGAGGTCATTATGCCAGATTACGGCCTCAGAAAGCAAGCAAGTTGCAACCATGCAATGGAACAGTCTTTCGTCTTTGACTTCGTGACAAGGTCGAACCGATTCTAGATTCAACCCTTCATTGTTACGCGTTGACTGGATATCATATCCTGTACGGTTGCCCAGTCAGATTTCAAATGCAAGAACCCAGCACAGTGGGTCGAGGTTGTAACTGGAGGAATGCTTTTCTCAGGGCCACCCTAGCTTCCCACATCGCCGGGATCAGGTGGGGCTATCTCTTTGGATGGTTCTCTCTGCATTCAAGAAATGCGCAAGGTTGGCTATATCCTACGTCAAACATTCCATTCAGTGTCGCCATAGTCATCGACAGAACTTGGGTTGCCTTGAGAAGGTTAGTTGCCTTTTTCTGTCATATACCCTTCCCTCTTCTGTTCACACGGAAGAAGGTTGATCTCCACATGCAGGTCTTCTGTTCGCGGATCGGATTCGGCCCTAGTGGAGCTCTCAGTGAGCTGGTCATCCGAATCAAACGAGATGTGGCTATCCGGCGGGCAAAATGATGGACTACTAGAGCTTGCCATTGGATGGCAACCACATCATACATGCAAACTTCGGAAAGACGGCTGTCAAAACTCAATGAACGGTATAGACTACGGCTCCACAATTATTCCCCGAGCCGTCACTGAAACCACAGTCAACTATATGGTTAGGGTATATCAGCCAGTGTGGATTAGTACATATGCTGCCGGTTGTCATGACGCAACATCTATGTGTAGGCTCGAATCCAATGCACTAGACGGTCCCACAGAGAACCTAGAACATTCAAGAAAAAATCCAGAGAGGAGATTGTGTGTATGGATGTGTCGATCGTCCAGGCGCAGATGATTCAGCATGAGCTCCTAGCGTGGGCCCGAATGAAAACGGAACGGAAAATAGAACTCCGCAAGTCAAAGGGAACCGACCACCTGGGTCCCTGAACATGCCCGGGTACAGCATAGGCTGAACTTCAGCAGTCTACCTTTGCCTTGGCTCCTGTGGTCCTACGGCTTCTCGTTCACTCAATCAAGGGGGTTCCACAGTAAACCCATGATAGGCGAAGTCACCAGAGAGCACAGCCACAGCATACAGGGAGCACCATCATTATGGAGCAGTACTGCTTGCTCTATCCTACAATTGGCCGGCATGACCCGCAGTATCCTTACGCGGTATGGGAGGATAAGATCGTTAGGGCATAGATCTGCCTGTCTGGAGCCCAACGCTATGGTTGACTTGCTACTAGCGTTGTGTGGTCGGGCCATGCTAAGGTATGGATGATCCATTGGAATGGGGATTGAAGGTACGGTTTCGACCACACCAGCTCATCATATCAGTATCACGCAGAACCTGGACGTCACACTCGACGTGTGAACGAGACCGTCGCATCACAGACGCTATTCTTGAAGCGTGAGGTTGACCTATGATTAGTGAATCATGAGACAAGTAGACAAGAGTCTAACCAGGCACTGCATGAGGATGGAAGGGCAATCCTAAATAATCATGATCTGGGCCTGCCCGGGTTCCTGGGCCCCTTTTATATCTACGACACGGCCAAGGTTTTATGATTGAGGTTTCAATTTCAGCTATCATCCCACCGTAACTGCAACTGCCACTTCTACTGCAACCGTCATTTTCTCCAATTCTGCCCGATGATGGATAATGATAGCTTACTGTAACCGTGGCGACAACTTGTGCACAGGCTCTGGTTTGGAGCTCCCCATAATTCACGGTATATACGCTATCCAAGCACAAAAACCGGATTGTGATGGATGCCTGGGTTCAAGGTTCGATCAGCAGGCCAGGGCCGATCATCACAGTCTGGAAACCGAGTGCGGAATCAGGTATTGAGCTACCGGGCGAGCACCCAGTAGTCTTGCACCATCATTTGACAGCTGCACCAGGTCATTCCAACAGTTCACATGAGCGGTATAATCCTCGCGAAACTTGCGAAACTTGGTGTAGGAGTTTGCTCTCTTCAAAGGGGACAGGATATGTACCCTGGAGTACCACCTGCCCCATCTATCCCTTCACGTCCCTTTTCATCTAAGCAATATCGTAGCACCAGGAAGCTCCAGCTTCGTCTCGTTAGCACTCATTACTTTGAATGCTCTGACAGCGGACAATCTGACATTGACCCCATCATAGACGCCTTATCACTTAATAGCCCTGGCGTGTCTCAGGTCAGCCTTCCCAAGAATGGAAGGATAAAATATCTGTTTCCCTGCGTCGCCGGGCCCGGTTGGATCCGCAGGCTCCATTCCATACCTACGGTACTAACCCTAGACTCGAAAACCTTCCCACCCCCTCCATTCTTTGCTTTCCAGGGTTTGGGTTCGGATTCTTTCCCCCCCTTGTGTCACATTTCTAAGGCGTGATATTCCATCAGGGACGTGCGCATATGGCTTGGCCTTGTTAACGCCCCTTATCCCAATGTGGAGTGAGCGAGTGGTGCTGCTCAATGGAACCCTGGCCATTTTTTATAGGCTCTAAAAAAGCCAATTTGGGCTCCCTCCTTAGCACGCATCATCACATACCGAGATCCCAGTTTTGCAAGCGTGAGACAACAATATTCCTCGGAATTCCATCTCCAAGAACCATGGAAGAGTTATAGAGCTCAGTATCGACCTCATCATATGTGTATCTGCAAGTATCTACTAATTGAGATTGACTCCAGACTGCTTCAGCCTAGCTCATCAGTCGTGATATTTTCTCTTTTGTCTCTGTCCATGTAGAGCAGTTATAAAGATATGTCTACATGGCATAGTTCAGGGGAATTGATCTCCCACCATCTTGGCTTGATTGGACTGACGACCTGAAAACGGCCACAACATAGCTGACAGCCATTTTTTGGGAACAGCCCTGCAAGTCACCTATGCTAGTACGGCGATCATCATTCCTTTCAGGTCCCCAGTCCACACACAAGCATTAGTAGCAACGGCAGCCGTCAAATTACTCACAGGCTGGATCACAACAGGATACCGCTGTCCCCAGACCGGACACTGATAGCCTGATCGGCATTGAACTAGGTCATTGCGGCATCTTCACTTGCGGAATGGAGTTCCCCCTCCCCTAAAAGTCCGTACATTCTCTCATCTGTGACTACGTACGGTGATCTTCTCTGTATTATCGTTTCCCGCCATAGGGTAGGTATTTCCGAGGTTGGAATTGCTCGACCAATTTCCGTTGCAGCCAAACGGTGGGACCCCACTGAGGGGGTTGAGCCAAACCTGTAACTCAGGCGAAAGAAGACAGAAATAAAGAATAGAGGTGTACATTTATCAACAAATATCTTTCACATCCGGTTCATCCTACAGGTCTCAGTGTTTCTTGCTTGAATTGCGGCGAGAGAAATTTGTAGGATCATTTGCCTTGGAGTGCACATCCATTGCACCGCTGGCAATGGGGAAGCCGTAGACAGACTTACCCAGCCACAGTCCCTAGCAACGCTCGGGCCTTTACATTCTTTAATATGTCGAATAGATGACGCAGTAATTGGGGGATGGCTGCGGAAAGAACCCACGATTGTGGGTGCTGTTCTTGGCCAGAAAGCGAGTCTCGTTCGTCTTAGAGGCCGGCACCTTCGGATCCCAGACCCACCGGACTTCGTTGTTACCTTAGTTCACTCAGATGTGACATATATGTTGAAGACATCACGGGGGACAGAGCAGTCGAGAACGTAGCCGTAGTGCGAGCGCGTTCGGGGCAATCGTTTTACCCTGTATATCATTCAATGATCCTGTGACAGCAGCCAGCCGTTGACGGCATGTTGCAAGTCTGTCCGGCACAGCCGGGTCACCACTACCACCCCTCAGTCCTTGGAGCCAAAGGGGATGAAAAACAGGGAAAGAAGGAAGGGGCAAGAATTGTTTCAATTGAGGGATTGCTCGAGCCAGGCAGTGAGCACTGGATCAGCCTTAAAGAGATTACAAAGGTTCCTCCCCAAGATCTAAGGAGCCGTCTGACATCGTGAGATGTTATAAAACCTCACATAAGTGAGGATGGCTATCTGCTAGAAGAGGTGTTGGCCCCATTTATTATCTCGCAGGCCAGAATGGCCCTATCAGCTTATTGGTCCAAAAGTTTTGAACCAAAAGAGACCAGTGGTGTCAAGACTCCTCGCTATATCACCCTGGATATCTTTGTCTAGTAGGAATTCTCACAGGCGTGCAAGTGTATGCACTGTTGGACTACCAGTCAGTTTAAGCCCTATACCAATCTTTGGTCAACGTTTTGGCGTATTTGGTTCTCGTTTGCTGTCCAGCAGAGTATCCAATCCGAACCATAAATTATTTGACCAAAAGATAGGTGGTCAAGGGTATGCAAGAGGCTGACATCACCGGTTGAAAGGAGCATTCTCGGGATCACCCGCAAGCGGAACCGCCATCGGGCCGCGATTAGTTTTCCGCTGGAGATCTTGGTTCTGATTACCGCCGATCTGTACGGAGGACCTGGTTACATTTAGGGAACTTAACCAGGACTGAAGCCTGTTCAACTCTCCCCCGTACATGTCCTAGTTGTACAGCTTTCTTTACACATTGACGGCTTTTTATATCTCCTTTCACCCCACCCGACTGGAAAATTCTCATGTCACTCTTGTCCAGCTTTGCAAACGTGTGGTCAACCATCCCCAGAGCCTACGAGAAAGACATCCACAGCGAGGCACAAAGGATGTCGTAGATCTCGGTCGAGGGTCCAGCTTACTTTCAAGCTCAAGTGTGGCTGATGGAAGTTCGTGGCCATTTTCATTCAGAAGAAAACGGGGAGCTACAGGCGCAAAGCACGGGCTATCCAAACCAGTCATTGGAAGAGCAGTTGGACGATAGCCCTGAGCGGCGGGCCATCTCTGGACCAACGGCATGATGAATTAGCTCTTTTCCTCTCGGTCGTCCTTGGAATGGTGCAATGCAGATGTGCTGGATTCAGTCCTCGAGCTCCTCTAAACCATACAAGACCTCAACTTCATTGATAAGGTTCCAAATGAGGGTTTGGAGATTAACGAGGAAGCACAGCTCCTAGGTTTACCATAGTGATCTTCACAATCAAGGCATGACCACTCATATCAAATAAGACCCAATGACACAAGAGGCTTTCCGGATGATCAACGTCGCCACGACTACTTCGTACTATGTGATCCAGATGGGAGTCTCTGCCAGGACAAGCCAGACAGAGTAGAGGGATAAACAAGGACCCATGGCGACTGTATAAGACCCGCTAACATACCGCATGATTATTGTTTGCACCTTCCACCAATCTGAAAGTATCGAAAACACCCATTTTTCAAAGCAGTCAGTGTTGTATCCTGGGCCGCAAACAGCGCGTGCAGTGCCATTGCAAGGATATTGAGGAGGGAGGAACTCTGCTTTCGGGCCCAATGAAATCGACTCATTTGCTCAAGGACTGCGTCGGAATCATCTTCAGTGAAGGGTCATTTTCTGGAGAAAAACAGCGTCAGAGATCAATAGCACGTCGTTGAAGGCAACGGTCAAGCCGCCACCAGTCAGCGGATGTCGCACGTTGAACGCATCGCCGAGGAACAGCAGGCCTGGAACTTTCTGTTCCGAGGGGTGAAGAAACGAATTGGGAATGCTTCGGAATTTCCCCCTAGCCACAGCCTCACGAAACCTGTTTTGACAGCCGGTTGGAATCTTTGGCAGAACCTTGCACTCGGTAAGCCGGGGGGAAATGTCGATGAAGATTCGCGTTTGGCGAGGACTGATCTGATAGGCAAGGATTGGAGGGGCATCGGAGAGAAACACACGTCCGTAGTAAGGCTCCGGGATCTTGGCATCAATAAATTCCAGAGTCCAAGATTTCGATTAACTAGAGGGTTTGTGGGGAAGGTATCCCTTCCGAAAGGTTGAGGCATAACGATCGGAGACAATGGTCAGGTTGCCGTAGTACTACATTCCTGCAGAAAGATCAAGAATAAAAAGAATGTCCGCCTCACCTCCGTATCCTTTTACTACCCCCGGTCCTGTAAGCTAGCACACGGTGGGCCATCTCGCGGAGCATCTAGGGATCCACACACCCGAGAGGTCGGTAAGCCAAGAACCCAAGAACCTGGTAAGGACCTATCATCAGAGACCAAGGGATGGGGAATGAGCTAAGGCTAAACATCCCCGCCCTTGAACATCCCCGCCCTTGACAGGGTGAATCTGTTAACTGATGACCTTGTCCGTGTCTTCATCGCGAAGGAGGTCTGTGGCTTTTAGCCTCTACTACGGCCGCGTTCGGTACCTTGTTGCTGCCCGACGGAGGTTTTGAATGAAGCGACCATGCTGGGATGAGCAACCCACTGGGCACTCTCCTGGGGCATGGGGGGTTGTCAGGATACGGAATGCTGACGGTTTCCTTGAATTACGAGACTCGATAGCCATGATATGGCACCGCGTCAATATTTTTCGAACAGTCTATCAGTCTATCAGTTAACCCATCAGTCTAGACAACCCTCAGGCGCGAAATTATGAAGATCTCATAGAAGTGCAAACAAATCGAGACTTACTCCCATGCCCTGTGAATGCAGAGCGCGAACCCCCCCCGGTTGCAGCAGCTCGCCCGCGACGCGCTCGGCCTGTGCTAGCCTTTTTGTTTTCCAACAGCACCATCGCCCGTCCCTGCTTGCCAAATGCCATAGCATTAGCACATCCGGCTACTCCGCCTCCGACAATGACACTGTCTGATGTGTGGCAGGGCGGGTAAGGTCCCTGGAGCGAGTTCGGGGCCATAGTTAGGCTTTCTGCCTATGCGGTGACCGTGAAGCAGTATAGATTACAACCCGCTTGGAATGTTTGACCTTGCTCCGTCAGACCATAAAACCTGGACCGGGTTCTCTGATATTCAGGGACGAGGCAGATGGAAAGGGGTGGGCGAGGACAAAGAACGAAACCGAGTGTGGCGTACAAGTGACAGTGATTATGGGTTACAGGATTCAATAGATATCGCGATATGATCAACTTCTAGGTTGGAATTGGATAGAGCTGTTGAGAAGAAAAAAAGAGAGAGAGAGAGAGAGAGAGAGAGAGAGAGAGAGAGAGAGAGAGAGAGAGTGTGTGTGTGTGTGTATGTGTATGAGATGAAACGAAGAGATAGAAGAGAAGAAATGGTATTTGAAGGTGGAAGTGAAGCCGTCCATGACCTATCTCCCATAGCGGTCAATTTCGGCCTTGTTTTCACACGTCCTCCTCACATTCTATCTGTAAACGCGGTGGCGCTCCGATCTGACTGGAACTCAAGAGACACAATAACCCCCACTTCCCATCAGAGGATAAAAAGATATGTCAATGTTAATTGAGCCCATAATGGCACCTTCTAGTCGTGTTCTTTATTTCCTGCATCACTGCCAAATCGTGGCACGTTCCGGTACAGGACCTTCACAGCAACGTGTCCCCCAACGCACTGCGCACCAACGAGCACCCCGTCCGGATCGTGTCCGTTGCCCCCACCTCTTCCAAACTGGGATTGACCTCGACTAGATCCATGGAAACCAGATTGCCCGTCCCATGTACACACTCACAGATGAAGTCTCCCTCGCGGAGCGTCAAACCCCCGCGGACTGGAGTCCCAGTGCTGGGCGCCCACTGCGGGTCCAGCGCGTCGACGTCGAAGGACAGGTGGATGGGGGTGTCGTTTCCGACGTGGGCCAGGGCCATTTCGACCACGCGTCCGATGCCATATCTGTTGGGTGATTGATTATTAGAATTACCACTGGTTTACTCTCGATTCCTCACCGTTAATGAAGAGGGGGAAGGAATAAGGAACTAACCGGTCAACATCATGCATACTAAACGCCTTGATACCATGTTCTCGGAGAATCTGCTTCTCTCCGCGGTCGACATCGCGCAAACCGATATAGACGACCTTGCGCGTGCTGACGATATGTTCATCCCGCAACCACCCAAAGATATCCTTCTGCTCCTCGCGCGCGAGCCGCGTCAAAAACGCCATGGGCATGCCGTGAATATTCCCGCTAGGGCTCATCTCAGGGATGTTGATGTCGGCATGCGCATCGACCCAGATGATGGCGATGTCACGACCCAGACGCTCGCGGGTGGCCTTGGCCGAGCCCGAAATGGAGCCAATCGCGATGGAGTGGTCGCCGCCCAGGGTCAGGACCAGTCGGCCCTCACGGGCGTGCTCGTAGACCTGCGAGCTTAGGGTCTCGTTGACCGCACTGACCGCGCGGGGTTTCTTCATCCCGCGGTGGTCGGGGTCCGTGGACGGCATCTTGTCCTCGTAGTTGTGGACTGCGCCGTCGTAGTGCAGATCGTAGCCGAGGTCGTCGCGGAGTTGGTCTAGGAGGCCGGCTTGGATGAGGGCCATCGGGGCGGCCTCGACGCCTGTTTTGCACTGTACATGTTGGGCTCGATGGTTAGTTACTTCTTCACTGTCTAGGGTGTAGTGAGATGGTGGGTAGGGTAGCCCCTCCAAGATGATCGACAAGTCTGTCAAGGAATGGGTAGAGCCGGCAGATCTTGGTGATGACGTACCTGCCCTCCATTAAAGCCAACCGCCACCACGCCCAGCTGGTTGGGCTTGGACAGGAAGTTTTGAGTAATCGTCGAAGGCAGTGTCATGGTCACAATTGTCTGGCTAGAGAACCGAAGTGAGGATACAGATGAGGGGATGGAGAAGATGACGAGAGACAAAGAAAGGCCGGATAAGGCGATAAGGCGATAACGATAAGATCGGATAGAAGTGGAGACAAGCGGCAATCCCCTCGATCCACAAAGGTACAAGAGTCGGCGGTGAATACAAGAATAAAGAGGAGTCAAATTGGCAATAGTGAGTAATGATTTAGATGGAAGAAAGAACAACAATTCCAAGAAGAACAATGCATGGGAACCCCTCCCTTTAAGTGCCTGGTGTGGTCGTGGGGCCGTCCTTGGTTCGTGCCAGGCGATCGCTAAGACCTGCTTTTAGGGATCACGGCTTTCCCCTAAGTACAGGTGGAGGAGAGATGCCCGCTTCATCCCACCTTCGCCCCTCATTTTCATTAGCAATCGTTTTATTTTTTATTTTTATTTTTTGGGGAAAGGGATGGTATGTGGACGGTGGCTTGTCAGGGTTTGTTGTGACCAATGGGTATCATTATCTGAGACGGCGCCAATTTCAACTTAGCCCGTCCCAGTTCTCTAGTAGATAAAATCTCTCTATATCCGAGCTTATGGTACAGAGGGCCCGCTATTCCAACGGCCAGAAACCGAAATTTCATCAAGTCATAGTCCCCACCATCTACGGTGGGCCCAGGATGAGCTCGCGGAGTACCGAGTCCGCCTTCTGCGCTTCCACCCGACCCTTCTCCCCCGTGCGCATCATGTGTCCGACGAACCACCCGAGTTTGCCTAGCTGGTTCTTGCTGCGGATCTGCTCGACCATCTGGGGATTCTGACTTATCGCCTCCTCGGCGAGCGCCAGGTACTCCTCCCGTGACAGTGGGCGCAGCAGTAGATTTTCCTCCTCCAGGAGCTGGGGGATGGACCGGGCATCCCCGTCAAACACCATGGCGAGTACCTGCTTTGCCGTCGGACCGGTGACATGTTTCCGCTGTAGCTGATCGATGAGCGCTGCCAACGACGATGCGGGAACTCGATCCGCGTCCCACGCAAGATCCGATTTGGTCCACAGCCCCCCTAGTTCGTGGAGAACCCAGTTGCCAGCCGCGCGGCCGAGACCGGCCTGGGCTTTCGGATCTTGATCGCTCTGCAGATCCCGCAGGACGTCCACCACATCCTGATAGTACTCCAGACGGGCACCGTCGTCCAGCTCGACCAAGGGCTTGGCATCTTCGATGGGGAGCTGGTATTCGGAGCCCACCAAGGTCGCGATCAACGCGTCCGAGGCGGTGGGGAGCGTCTTCCTCAGCCCCGAAACCAAATCCGGACCGATGTATAACGGCGGGATATCGGGATCCGGCATGTACCGGTAGTCCACTTCACCCTCTTTGCCTCGGAGCTTGCGCGTCTCGGTGCTACCAATCGTCCAACCACGGGTCTCGCCTTCCACCACGCCTCCACTTTCCAGGACGGCGATCTGCCGGTTCTTCTCTGCGATAATGGCGTCCTCAACGGCTTTGAAGCTACTGAGATTTTTGATCTCGGTGCGTTGGCCAAGGCCAGTCACTCCCCCGTAGTGGTGCGCACCGGCCACCTCGCCGCGTTGACGGATCGAGACATTGACGTCGGCGCGGAGGCCACCAAACTCCATGCCCGTGGTCACCGCACTGCAAGACTGGAGGATGGCCTGGATTTTCCGTACACAGGCGGCGGCCGTGGCAGGGGTGTGGATCTGGGGCATGGTGATAATCTCGATGAGCGGGTGGGACACGCGATTGAAATCGAGGAGCTGGGCGGAGGGTGGGTATTCCTGGGACTTGGCGGTGTCCTGTTCGAGTTGAACCTGCTTGATGCCGATGCGCACCTGGTCGCCGTCTTCCGGCGCAATTCCGTCGTGGGGGAAGAGGTCGACATGGCCGTTTCGCGCAAAGGGCTCTGTGGGGCGTCAATGGACTGCATATTGGCGGGGGGGAGGGGACAGATATACCATAGTACTGGGTGATCTGGTAGCCCGCCGGTTGGTCTTGATAGAAATAGTGTTTTCGATCGAACCGACTCACGGGTTGGATGTCGCAATTCAAGGCGATGGCAGCGCGCAGGGCAGGAAGAAGGGTCGCGATTTGGAATTCCTAGAGTCATCAACAAGGAATTCACTGTAGTTGCATGATCCTTGAACTAACCGGTTGTGATCCGGGGAAAGCGAGGTCGAAGAGTGCGACGTTGGAGTTGGGCAAGTCCGTGGAGGAGGTTGAAGCGCCTGTATTCTCAGACCGACAAGTCAGACCAATGCTCGGGAAACATGTTCTCACAAATCTGGTTGTGAATCAACGTACGCGAAAACAATTTGGCATCCGTGTTTAGCTGCGCGTGGGTCTCAATTCCCACCGTCAACTCCCACTTCTGGCGGGATGCTTCTTCACTTTCCCTCCTCTGGCGCTTGTGAGCCTTGAGCGACTTTGCATCTTGCTTGAGTTGTTTGCGTAAGGGAACCCGATCCGAAGAGTCGGTTGTCGAGGTTTGGAGGGACCGTCGAGGAATCGGGTTGGAGACGATGGGTAGAAATCGGGGAGGATCACGTTGGCATCGGGGACAGAGCGCGCGGACAGTCCGGGGGCATTGACGTAGCCATGGCCGGAGCATGGGGGGTCAGACTGGAGGGAAGTGGCTTGAAGGCGGATTGAGAGAGCAATGGTTGTTCGAGAAGTTTATGACACGGTGATTTGAGGCCGGGGAGGAGCTGGCGATGAATGATGACAAGGAATAATCCGGAGCGGAATAGGAAATGATCGGGATGGCGCAGTGGAGGAGGAGGATGGTGGGTAATTTTGGTATGGTAATTACCACCTCACCGCCGGGATTGCGCCTCCATCTGGAGCATCAGCGTGCATGGAATGACATGCATGGAGGATGAACAGAATGTACGAAGGAGGGGAAATGCAGCAGAAACTTGATATATCCCATAATATACCTAGGTTGGTATAGGTACCTGAGGGACCGAAGTGGGAGTAGGATATATGCTGTATGGGTGTATGGCGAACCAATGGATATGAGTGTATCCTGGTTGATGCCTGACTCGCTCGCTGCCTGAGCTGGTCGACGATCAGGTGACGGTCATGCCCTAGGATGAAGAGAATCTACGACAAAGCAGGAGAGATCCATATCACATCAGCTGGTTGTCTGGCCGAGGAGCAACAAGGATGATCGAGGATGACAGGAAGTAGTGCCCCCACCTTGGTCCCTCCATAATACCAAGTATTATTACTTCTTCATGCAAGGCAGGACGGTGATCGGCAGCGGCCAACGCATCATGACAATTGAAGATAGATCCTTCGAGAGACGCCCAAATGGGGTTTGTTGGACAGGTTTGGGCCTGGATGGGGACCGCCGCTCTTAAACGACCGAGATCCACTTGCAGCCTCCCTTCTGATACACAAACCTCTTCATCCCTTCCGGTTTCTTTCTCTTCTTCCTTCTATACATGGGGAACTGATTGCATCGCCCCCACCACCACTTCGAACAGGGATCACCCTCTGACTATAGCACTACTTTAGTACCCTCAGAACTACCGGGCTTCAAAGGAAGTCAACTGCTAAGAATAAATACGACTGGCGCGCGCGAAGGGATTGGGGAGGATGATCTGTAACAACCTTGGCGCTGGTGCGATCACGACGGACGAATGACACCTCGCCGCCCTCCCTCTTCATCCATGATCCTATCTTGTCATTCGACTGCGCCCGCTCTCCTTCTGTCTCGGGACCGTCTCATCTTCCGAGGGGTTGATTGATCCTCCTCATTATCTACATTCAGAGAGCACCATCCCGCCCCATATCCCGTGCGTCAGCCTCGCATTCTTCCCTTGTTGGGGGGTGACATCGTTGATCCTTCTCGGTCCATCCCCAGGAACTACTTCTATACTGTATTCCCACATGTTGCCCCGATCCTCCTTCCAATCCTGAAATTCAGCCTGATAATAAGAAAAAGGAAATTTGACCAGGGGTCACGAAAGAAGAAGAAGAAGAAGAGGTCCAAACACACATCACAGGTCTATTCGCATTCTGGTACACATTCCTAGGATCGCCCTCCCCGGATTCCAGGTTTCCTCCCTTGATATGCGCTTCCTCCATCCCATTCCTCCCTCCATCATTCTGACCTGGCTACCCTGTGTCGCTTCCATTCTCCATGATCTCTTTCCTTCCTATGGCCCCAGGGACACATCACCTGCATCGATCATTCACTCAATTGCCTGAAACGGCTTCCGTACCAACCGTGCCCGCCAGTCCCGTGCAATGATGCCGCTATATACTACTAGTCGACCGAAGAAGACCCGAAAGGATGGGGCCCATCGGTCCTCTTTCGGCTCGATTCTCTCGTCGAACTCGAATTCGACTCCCAAGGGGTCGAGGCCTTCTGTGGAAAGACCCCGAAAAGATGGCGCAGAGGGTTTGTCCAAGACAAAGAAGAAGACCATTGACCCGAAACAGCCGGGGACACAGTCAGAAAAACCACCGAATGTCTTCGAGTATCTTGAATCCGACGAGACAGACGCAACCTCGTCATCAGAGGATGACGACGGCCCGCCTGTCAAGGTGCCGACCCAGTCAAAGGTGTCGCGTCCGAGCATCTCGACAGCTCGTCCAACCAACCCGACTACGGCGGCGGTCCTCAATGGTCGCACTCGAGCTTCGTCCATGAAGTCCAAAGGATCTGTTGAATCCCACCAACCACCACCAGTCGCCCCTATTATCACCCCACCGGTTGCGCCACTGCAGCTCGCCCGAACCAACTCCACCCAACGGAAGATGTCCCTCGACGGCCCCAACAGCACCCTTGGACGGGGAATGGATCTCGCGACGGTGCCGGAGTCATTCTATCGTGACCCGCCGTCGTACCATGGTCCTCCTCTCCCCCCTTCACCACCACGAAGCCCAGAAGAAGACCTCCACCGCACCAGCCGCAGGCCGCGACGCAACACCCACTCGTCGCAGCACGCATCGGGCTACGGCCTCCTTGCATGGCGGCTCAGTGCATCCACCGACAGCGGGGAGCCGCGTCTACCGCCCTTATACCGCCGCTTCGAAGACCTGAACCACCGCGTGCTACTTCACCTGCAGGATGAGATCGCGCAGATGGAAGAGGAGCTGCGCGTGCTGGACGAGTGCGACGAAATGCACCGGGCCTCCGCCGCCGAGAAGGACGGCTCCAAAATGCTCCCTGCATCGCGCCGCATGGACGTGCAGGCAGGCGTCTACTCGTCTCTCCACTACCAACGAGAGGAATTAATGAGCGTCTTGATCCGCAAAACCGAGCAATACAGTGAGTTCATACTTCCACCCTCCCCCCCCACACACACACCAAAGATAACTAACACCCACCCCCAGACAACGCTCTCAGCGCCTACAGCCGCGTCCTTCAGACCCTCCCACTAGCCTCACACCAAGACGTCGATTCCTACCGGACCTGGATGCACGGGAACAGCCCCATCGCAGCCGTCGAGTCGCGCTTCCTTGACCATCCCAAAGACCTCGTGTCGCTGACCCCACCGGTAACGCCCACCGGGTCGGCCCCCACGCCGTCAGCCTACTCCGCCATCATCATCGCCTCCGCAGCCATCTTGCTCCCGCTCCTGGCGTTCAGCATGATCCGTGATTTCTGGGGCCGCGTCCTCCTCGTCGCGCTGGTGGGAGGTGCCTCGGCGGGCATCGCGTCGACTACGTCGGCGGGATCGGAGCAGTTGGTTGCTTCGCAGGATGGGTGGCGGTGTGCTGGACTGTGAGCCTTTTCTTTTCCCTTTCTCCGTCCTTGATGTAGATGGTTGTGCTAATGGTGATCCAGGTATTTTGGTTTCATGATGACAGCTGCCATGTTCATTCCGTGATGCGTCTTCTATTCAACCATCCATCCATTATCTACATTTTTTATATGTTATCTTTCACGAATATACGAATCTTCTTCGGGTACCCCCATCATCAATCCATCGATCTGTCCAATCCGACCCTATTTCCACTGCGCCCTGTCCCTCCTAGTGCCACTACTTACCTACCATACCACTCCATCCCATACACCCATTTGAGTGTGTACACGGGTGATACCCACAAAGCAACCCACCAACCTAACAACGCAGTCGATATAATGGTCGAATTCGCTTTTTTTTTTTTATCTTTTGGATTAATTCCCCTACCTCCCTCCCTCCCTACCTACCTACCTACTTACTCTGATTTTATCTCACCTTGTCATGCTGTCACTGGTTTGGGAGTCACGGTGCAGGAACAAAACCATGGGTGATTGAGAACAATTGGTCAAATGTATCATTGATTTTATGAGATATGTATATTACGCTCTTTTCTTTTGTTGAGAATATGAATATGAATATGAATATGATTCGGGTGTTTACTCTTGTCGTTTTTCTTATTTTTATTTTTATTTTTTTCATTGCTGGTAAACGCTGGGTAACTGGTACTTGGTCAAGTAATCTTGGCTTGGTGTGTAGGCTTAGCTTAGTAGAATCTGTGTAGTACCAGGTAGCAAAAATTAACTATCTGCAGCCGTATGGCTGCAGTTGACCTCCAGGTGGACTACATAGGTCTTGTGAAAGGAGAAACAAAGTAAAAATTATAGGCTAAAAAGACTTGAATAATGGTAATAACACTCCTTGGAGATAATAATAAAAATAGATATAACAGACCAACAAGCATGAGTTCTCCTTTCAATAACGTTATAATCGATCGATCAACCAACCAACCAGCCCATAAGAGTACAAGAAAAGAAGAAAAGAAGATATCGATCCTCCACCGGAAGTCTAGTCAGTGAGTAAGAAGATTCCCATGGAAAGCCTGAAGACAGCCGAGTAGGAAAGACGACAAAAGAAAACCAGCATTATAAGAAGGAAAAAAGAAAGAAAAGGACAAGCATTAAGAGGAAAACGGGGATGGGGTAGAAAAAGGAATAAAGATATGGAAAGGAAAAAAGATGAAATCAAATTCCCATGGCCATTTGCACCTGTCTACCCATTATCCAAATCATTCTCTTTTTCTCTCTTTGCCCGAGGACAAATTTAGTCGAGGAGAATCATAGACTCCATAATCACGAAACTACCGACGTGGACTTTTTCCTCTGAGGTGTGCCGCCGCCTGGCTCCTGCGACGTGCCTTGCTCCGGTGCGGGCTGTGGTGATGATGGGCTTTGCCGTGATTGATGAGCGGCTAGCTGTGCCCGGTTCCGGTCCATTAATACGGCTTGCTCTGCTGCACTTCGAGCGTAGGTCATGGCCGCTGCGGAGTTGGCGTAGTTTGCTGATGGTGTGGCAGTCGGGTTGGAGGGAGTATTACCAGGTTGAGGAGGCTGCTGTTGTCTTTGCTGTTGCCCTTGCTGTGGTTGCGGTTGGGGTTGAGATGGCTGTGATTGCGGTTGCGGTTGCGGTTGCGGTTGATGCTGTTGCGGTTGCTGTTGATGCTGTTGCTGTTGCTGTTGCGGTTGCTGTTGCGGTTGCTGTTGCGGTTGCTGTTGCTGGTGCGGTTGCTGTTGCGGTTGCGGTTGCTGTTGCTGCGGCTGCGGCTGCTTCTGTTGTGGTGGCGGCTGCGGCTGCGGATACCGCTGCTGTGCACCAGGGCCCGGTGTCATATACGGTGTTCGAGGAGCGGTGAAAGATGACTGCTTTTGAGGGGAGCCACTACCCCGACCCGGGACAAACTGCGCGTTGTATTGTCCTGGTTGTCCAGGTCGTGGGGTGAAAGGCTGCGGAGACGCTTGCGGGGCCCCTTGTTGGCCAGGATAAATAGGAGTGTTTTGTCCAGCGCGTTGGATCGGTGCAAACTGTGGGTTTTGCTGCGAATATCCTGGCGGGTAACCCGGCCGCTGCGAAGGAGTCGAGGGGGGTCGAGCTCCTGCGAACGACTGTGGTTGGCCCGGGGTGAAAGGGCCAGGGGTTGATGGGTGTCTTCCACTGTAGTACGGCTGCGGAGGCTGGAAAGCCCCCGAGCCCGGCGGCACTCTAGTATTAGCAGAATAGGCCCGTTGGTTGTATCCTGCTTGGAAGCTTCCATGACGGGAAGGCGTGGCATTGCGACCTCCGCCGCCACCCATGGATGTCATCGCCGCAGCGCGTTCCTGCTGGATCGTGAAATCGTCCTTCTCCATAGTCCCACTGTAGTCAGGGTTCTCCACGACGACCTTCTGGCTGATGTTCAGGTCGGCCAGCTGGTCACCGTCTAGTTTGGCGACGGCATATGGCGGAAGGGTTGACACTAAAGTGGCCAGGCCCGATCGCAACGCCTCATATGTTACTCGTTCTGCCTCTGTTGGGTCTTCCCAGGTACCCTGGTCAGGGACGATGCCTTTCAGCGCCTCGGGATCCTGACCCCCTGGCGGCGAAAACTGAAGGCTGCGGATTTTCTGGTACGAACTGAGAGTTTCCAGCAAATCCGAAACATCATGTAACAGAGCTTCCATGTCTTGACCCTCCTCATCTTTGAGCTTATGCGAATCACCGTCCGTGACACCGTCCGCGAAATCTTCGGGGTTAAAAGACTTGACCATCTCTTCCAAGGTGCTTTCATCGAGTTCGCCGATATTACCTGGCTGTGCCGCCACAGTTTCCTGACGTTTCTCCTCGTAGGGCACGGACAGGAGCGTTTGCAGACGTCTGGCGCCCCGCTTGCTCCACCATACTAGATCCTTCGCATCCGCTTGGAGAACAGCACCCGAGCTGTCAAACGAAGGCGCAAAAGACGAGTATACTTTTTGTATAGCGGATGCATCTTCATCAACCCATAACGCCGGATCATCTCGGATCCCTTCGTCAGTCTGCGGCTGAGAAGGTTGATGCTTCTGTCGGCGACTTGCAGCGCCCCCGTACTGCAGCCAATCACCCGAAGGTAGAGGCGCAAGACAGTAATTATTTCGGTCTCCAAGAAATGAGTTGAAGTTCGTAATGGCTTCGAAGGGATCGATCCAACCACCGACGCTGCGGAAAGATGACCGGGTCCTGCGTGGGAGTTCCAACTGAGGCAGGGCAGAACGAGGAGCAAAAACTTCACCGAATGTTCGTTTGTGCTCCTTCGCTTTCGCTTCCGATTTATAGGGGGCAATCTTCGCCGTGGTGATTCCGTTGGGGAGTCCGACCTCTGGGAGTGGTGCCTGCACTTCCACGTACTTCTGAGACTTCGGATCATCCGACGGTAATGGCACTTTGACGGACTTTTGCAAGCTCGAGTATAGCTGCTTGGGGTTGGCAGGATTCCCAAAGAGAGTCAAAGCCACACCGTCGTTTCGTACCTCCACATCACTGGGGGCAGGCTGCGCTGGGACTTCTGCTTCTGCTTCCTCCGCCAACGGTTCCGCCTTGATGCTTGCGGGACTTGTTTGGGCCTGACGGACCAGGCTATTCAGCGTTTTCTTGAATGCTGCGATGCGATTCACAGTTTCCGTCAAAGCCGTCGAGTCATTTTCACTGACACGGGATTTACTCCGTTCAATCACGGCTGCCGAGGCCCGCTCGATATCACTAAGGAATTCCGACAGAGTATTATAGCGGTCCGCATCGACCCGTGCACGTATGCTAGTGCCCTCCTCCTTGTCCCCAGACACCTTTGCGCGTTTCGACCGGGGTTTCGAGGGCGACGTCGTCAAGGGACAAGCCAAGAGCTGGAGTTCCGTATCATTCCTGGAAGCCGTTAGCCAACGAAAGCGAAAGATCGCTTCGCCGAGATTGCAGGAAGTGCTTACTTATTCAAAATATCCACGAGATTGCGCAATGTTTCCTGCAACTTGACCTTTTCCTGGCCTTGCGAAGCGGAATGATTGAGATCCTGAGGGGCCTTATCGTCGTGGCTCGAAACCCTCTTTCGCTTACCAGGGGTCGCTAGCGATGGGGGATCGGGGGTAGCACCATGGATTTCGCCGTTGGTGGCCGATATCGAGGTGGTTCCCCCACCCTCGTCTGCGCTCATGGCTCCGAAGTCGCGCCTTCGGTAACGGTTTGACGCGATCGAAGAGTATTTCGTGCCAGTCGGCCGGGTTCGTGCGACAAAGAGAACACCCAGTCCAACCGGGACCCCTTGTAAAATAGAAAAAAGAAATGAGTGGGGTAGAGAAAAAAGATTTCGAGAATCTTAGGAGAAGGGCGCTCGCGAAAGACCGTGGATCTCTGAAGCGGGTGCGCCAATAGTTGCGAGGGTCAACGCTAAAATCAGAGTCGATGGGTGCGCAACCAGGGAGGATCAATTCCAAGATAGGGTAACCAACGCCACCACGAGAGGCAGCTGAGCGATCGGGGGGTTGATAGTGTTCTGAATTGATTGCAAAGATGATCAACCCTATAAGCAAACGTACAAGTGTTGAGGGGCGTTCGCAGGGACCAGAGACAGCGGGCAAAGCGGGCGGGTAGAGGAGATCAAGATGGTGGAGGTATTATTATGGTAAGTAATAATATGCTGGAGGCAGATTCCATAACGCGCCTTGCCAATTCCGCAACCCCGTGACGATCGGTCACGTGAGCCCTTTTTTTCTCCCCCGTCGCGGTATCTGGAATCATCAGGATGGAGTCAATCTGTTGATTGCTCGAGCAGTCTCTCCCTTTTCGCCTCATTTCCACTTGCGCATTATGTGCATGCGCCTTTAAGGCCTTAATCCTGTTCATATTGGCTTGCAGCTGCCTCCCCTTGACTCTATTCATGGATGTCATCGGTTTGGAACCATGTGCAGGGCCGCTCGAGAGTTTCCTCTCTAAGAGCGGCGCACTTGTTCAACGCCCGTCCATGGCGGAAGGTATACACACCCTCAGGACCGGTGGGGTCCGTATTCAACCTGATAGTAACTAATCCTTTGTTTCTTACTCTTAGGGTCCTCTTCATAATATCTACTACCGCCCGTCGATCTCTTCAAATCCTCTACATCCGTTGACCAATTCCCTTCTCGATCCACACTCTTCGTCTCGGTTTATGAGCGCCTCCAGCATTCCAATCGCGCTTTCCAATGATTCTAAAGATGATCAAGATTATGACGAACGTGAGGTAGAGGGCAGCCCGTTAGGAGGATCGTGGTCTCCTTTGCGACCAGATCCCTCGCTGAAACCGTCCCTTTTCTCGCACCCGAACAACCAGCAACATCAAAAACTAGACGAGGAGGACTATGATCCAGATCGACCTTTGCTAGCCGGGGAGAAATCATCAAGTGAAGACCCCTCGGATAGCCTCCCACGGTCAAATCTTAAACCCAGGACACGGAACGCTCGGAGACCTTCGAAACACGAAGCAAACCAGGCGTTTAACCCCACCCCAACCGAATACCTGTTGGATAGCCTCCGGAGGACAGATTCCCTCAACTGGTCGACACAAAATCAAGACCCTAGCCAACCCCTCCAACCTATCTTATGTCCATATCAAAGGTGGAAGTTCCGGCGCCACCATCGACCTTCATTGCAGGCGATTACCGCCGATTATATTCGCTATGTGGAACCGTGCTTGGATCTTGACTCGCCTGCAGAGCCACCTCTGAAGGGTGCTTTACAAAAGGTCTTTAACGAGAAGACTACGAAATACCTCACGGCCCGCCAGTATGAAGTCGCGGATGTCGCGGCATGGGCGTGGGTGCTCAGGAGCAAGACCCTCTGCCGGGCCGCTCTCCGGCTCCTGGCACTTGAATCATCCCAGAAGACAACGGACAACTCTACCTTCCGAATACCGCCTTTTATCCCTCTCCTCTTACTCCGAGAACCACTGGACTCGAGAACCTTCCGTCTGCTCTTGGTCTATTCTCTTCACCTCATAAGCGGCAAGCCGTTGCCTCCGGCTGGCTTGTCTGGAGAGCTCCTATCGGACGAGTCGATCCTCGAAGAAATCCAGCCATCGGAAAATTCCAACCCTTTGCTCGACCCCAACATGTGTGCCTCTTTTGTCGTCCGCCTCCTTCATCATGCACGCGAATTGTGGCCATCAGCGCAGCTTCCTATTGCCCGTGCTTTCGCATTCTATCTCAATTGTTTCACCGCAGATGGGCCGCACCGGACAACCGCGACGCCAAAGACCGACCGACTCATGGCGCAGAAAATGAACATGTGTCTTCGATTACTTTCTCTGCCTTGTAAGTCAGGGCCGTTCACCTCCGTGCCGATACAGCAGCAGGCGCAATTTGAACTTCTCAAAGCCATGTCGAAGCACCAGCCTCCTCTTCCCGTCTCTCGACGCGCCTACCAGGGCATTATTTCTGTGCAACTTGCGCACAAGAAGACCCCCGCTGAGCGCCAGTCGGCCCGATTAAAAGCACCTTCGTGGCCGCCATGGAAGGAAGAGAAACTAGGCATAGACTTTGAGCGGGGTGTTGAAGGGATGACGAGCCGTGCCATGCGTGTAATGTCTCAGATGAAAGAAGCCGGTTATGCTCATTGTCGCTGGGAGGAGGTCTCTTCAATCTATGCAGGCTGGGACACCGATAGGAGCCCGACCATACAGACAAGAACATTAATGCGACAGCCCACAGATATACGCGGCCCCCCTGGAGATCCCGCACATCACACCATCTGGGAAGCTCGAATTCGCACAACGCGAACGGTCCGTGAAGCGTGGGCTTGTTTTCTCTCGCACCGAGACCAGGGGTTACCGCCTTGCGGCAATATTTACGCCGCCATGGCCGAGAAGTTGATCTTCCGAAGAGAAGCCGTCGAGCGTGGCTTTGACCCTGCTAGCGACGTTCTACCCGGCGACGGCCGGGAGACCTTCCCCGAACCATCGTCTGCAAGAGACCTGATTTATGTGCATACGGAACCGCCTACATTGGATGAGCTTCTCCAGCAGATGCTCCTGCAGGGGATCAAGCCACGAGGAAGGTTTTTGGCTTTGCTACTACGGACTGCACCGTCATTCGGCTCAGGAATCAATTACCTCTGCTGCAGCGAGCTGGAAACCGAGGAGGTTCACGCATTGTGCACTGTCTGGGGCCACACGTCTAGTTACGAAAACAGCCGAAAAGCCTTGGAGGGACTCCCAGATTACCTTTTTTCGTCCTTTATACGGTTTCTATGCAAGTTCTCGGACTTTGATCGATCTGACCTTGCGCAAGGTGCACGCGCGGTCGATATATTCCCGATCCTCATGAGCGACCCGCCAGACTCACCATCAACAACTACTACTTTGCTTCCACATAACGAGGAATTCGGGCTGGAGGGAGAGGGTCGACATCCCAAAATACTGTCGCATGCCATCCATCTCGTAAGAGCGCGAAGGTCAAGAGCCTCGCAGCCATGGGATTTTGTCCTGTCTGCTCTGGGTAAGACGCGTGTCACGGATTCGTCCCGCAAGATTGGTCGGACTACGCAAATCGTCCTGGGCTGGTACGAAATGCTGGAGACTCTTCGATGGAGGAAACAGTGTAACGTCGAGCCCAGTCTCCAGGGACTGCGAGCGCTATGTGCCAGTTTCTCGCAAGTAGTGGCCGCTGGGGTGAGGAGTCCTGATGCCGTCGAGGATGGACTGGAAGTTGTCCGGCAAGCTGCCTGGCGACAAGGGCCTGAGCTTGCGCACTTACATTTCGTCTCGCCCGGGTTCAGCAATTTAGTGGAGCACGGTCTTGGCATCCTCAAAAGCCAGTTCGATCATCTTGTCCTTCTGGACCCCACCACGTCGTCCCTGTTTGAACGGGGCGCGTCATCTCTCGAGAATGCCACCGAGGCGCAGGTGAAACTACCACCGCTATTCCAGGTCCCCTCGCCGGCCATCCTACATGCGTTTGTGCGGGCGCTCGGTCTAGCGGAGGACGTCGACGGTTTGCTCAGTCTATTGCGGTGGATGAGCCAGCACGCGCAGACGCTCCAAGCGGCCTCTGAGGAGCACTTGAACGGCGAGCGGATGATGCGTCGGACGTTGGTGGCTACCCGCATGTTCCTCGAGGGATACTGGGGACGAGGAGGATGGGAATCGTATCGCTGGTATGATACTCTAGAACAAGACGAGCACGAGCACCGCAGTGAATTCCCGGAAGATTATGAGGAGGAGTCTCCTGAAGAGGAGCTGGTGTTCGCCGACCCCAACCTTCAGGAGGCGTATGACATCGTGGTTGCGACACCGAGCTTGGGGCCGTGGCCGACCGCAGAGGAGGTACGAGATTATATCCAGCATCATAAATGAAAGACGGACAAGAAATGTACAATAGAATGTGTATATATATATATATAGGCGTGTGTATAGTTAGTGGACTGAGTCCAATCATGGAAGATACCCTTGGTTCCAGCGCATATAACAATCTTGCGGATTCAATGTAAAGAGTAAACGATCAGCCAAACTGCGGAAAAGGTGTGCAATACAATCATACTAGCTATCCAGGTCAAATAGTCGGTCTTACCATTTCTTTATCATCCCTACAAATCTTAGAAATATGCACCATCGCTCGGATGGTTATTGCTCAAAAAGAAGCAAACCAAACCAAACCAAACCAAAGCCGAGCTCCCCCGCAGCCGAGTGAAAGCGCAGTTCTCCACACCCGCCGCAAAAGGGATTCTCCTTCTCTCCGACTACCTTTTTTTCCAACACCACCATGAGCCGATAATCTCCATACGCTACAGTATTCTGATTCCTCGATCCATTCCATCCTCAATCCAGCCTCAACACATTAAAAAAAAGAAAAGACCACCCAGCATGGCCCCGCGTCTCGCTCTTTCGCTCCCCCGGCTATCGGCGGCTCTCCGCCCGCCCGTCCAAACCACCATCCGCATCACCGTCGCCCGCTACAGCACAAGCCCCGACGACGAAGTCCTCAAGAGCCAATACATCCCCGCCCCGGGCTCCGGCACGGTTCGCGTGCTCCTGCTGAACCGACCGCAAGCCCGCAATGCGCTGTCGCGCGACCTGGTCGACGCCCTCGACGAGCACGTGCAGGCCATCGCCGCCGAGCAGGGCAACGGCCCAACCAGGGCGCTGGTCATTGGCAGCAACGCGGATGCGGCGTTCTGCGCCGGTGCGGATCTGAAGGAGCGCGTGAATATGTCTAAGCAGGAGTAATTCGCCCCCTTTCCCCCAGAAAATAATGATATCTACGCCTCGCGGGAAATTCTAGCTAACATGGGGCGCGCCACAGCACCAGCGAATTCCTTTCCAAGCTCCGCCGTACATTCCGCGACCTCGCCAGCCTCCAGGTTCCGACCGTGTCAGCCGTGTCAGGCACGGCATTGGGCGGCGGGCTCGAGCTCGCGCTGTGCACGCACCTCCGGGTGTTCGGTTCCTCTAGCATCGTTGGACTCCCCGAGACTCGGCTAGCGATCATCCCCGGCGCGGGCGGCACTTATCGCCTCCCCGATGTGATCGGGGTGACGCGGGCACGGGACATGATCCTGACGGGGCGGCGGGTAACGGGACCAGAGTCGTACTTCATTGGGCTCTGCGATCGGCTGGTGGAGGTCGTGCCGGAGGAGGAGAAGAAGGAGGGCGCCGCGCGCCAGAAGGTGCTGCACGAGGCGATCAACCTCGCGTTGGGCATCTGCGAGGGCGGACCCGTCGCTATCAAGCAGGCTCTGCGGGCGGTCGAGGAGTCCGAGAAGGGCGAGGCGGCCGAGAACGAGGCGTATGAGGGAGTGATGGAGACGGAGGATCGGTGGGAGGCTCTGCGGGCATTTGCGGAGAAGAGGAAGCCGGCTTTTCGGGGTCGGTGATTAATGCTTCTTTGTTCTTTTTTGACGTTTTTTTTTTGCTGGGTGTAATCTATAGTAGTCATGAATTTACTTTTTTTTTCCTTTATTCGTTTGACTATTGTTTTCTGTTCTGTTCTATCGCCTTCTCTAGGGAAAATATACTGTGATGTCTATTGAGGCTGTGGGGAAATATAGTGTCTGTGCATTACGTACTTAGTCCACGTACCATCACACACCTCGACAAGGCAAACCGTAAAGCCACAAAACCAAGGACAAATGTCCAGACTTGAGGACTCATTCGAAGTGGATGTGGATCCACAAAAATTTACACAGTGAGTCATCTAGAAACAAAGCCTGTGTGGATCACATTCCTCGATGTTGAGGCAAATAAATGTGTTGAATCGGGCAGTGAATGATTGGCGGGACACCTCCACGACTACAAGAGAATGGAGTGGAGGGGACGTACTATAGAATTACTCAATCGATTGTTCTTATTGATCGTTGATTAATTCGATATAAATAGTAATTCAATCTATTCTACTGGAGTGTACACCTTGAACGGCAGTTCTCAGGCACTCCATAAACCCTGGAACCGTGAGCGGGCCGTGTATGTGTACCACAATTTTATTCCAGTGGTGTCGATTCAATCTATTGTTGTGTATTATTTATATACATTCAGCGGATCGAATCCTTGTCCGGGTGGTATTGAGATCTCGATCTAGATCTGGTATTCTGGTTGAATCCTGGTTCTTATTGTGAGTGTTTATGGAGATTAGTAGAGGTATGCAGGTACTGCCTCCACTTGATAGGATCTATGAATAGGTTGCACAGGGAGTGAATGATATTTATCTTGTATTGATTTGAATTTGAATCAGCCGCGTGGGCATAATCTCCTGCTTATTCGGTCATTTGCAGAGGCTAGATTGAGTAAATGGTTTAGCTGTATTGGATCAAAATTATGATAGGACACATTGATATGTCATTACCACAAACTGCAGGTATAGATTATCAGATATATTGACCACCGAGTGCTTTGTACGTCCAAATGTATTGTATACAATATTGATGATGTGGAAATAGATATACTGTGGTAGTAAGCCGATACAAATGACACAGATTAGTCCATCTGCTTATCAGTTTGCTGCAAACTTACTAGTCCCATCACTGCCAGCCTTGTCTTTCTATTCCCGGGGCACAGCAACCTCGCCCTGTAGGCAGACACCGGCTCCGATACGTCACGGGTAATGTGAGCAAGATCCATGCAGGTGTGGGATATGTCTTGCATTCCGAGGAGGGAACTGGTCCGATGGGAGAGCCTCAGAGTGGCTGTGAGTTGAGTCGGACAAAGGAGATCTTTGAGTCGGAACCTTGCAGGAGGCCTATCGTATTTAATTTGAAGTGGCTGGTATATTTGATTTAGGACTGGAGAAGAGGGTGGTTGAGGATACGGAGGACGGAGTAGAGAGTAAGGTAGTTCCCCGCAATCAATCACTATGGAGAGTGATGATCGGCGATGGAGCCAGCATGACCGTGTCCGATCAGCCCCATTGCCTCTTGCCTATTGCCCTATTGCCCCATTTACGATGAATCATATTCTAGGACAATAGAATATTATTCGAAAATGACAATAACAATAACATTCACAATAATAAAATATTGGAATAATATTATTATTATTAACATCCTTTATTATTATTCTATTGTAATTCATTGGAAAGATCCCCGAATACCCTTGAATAATGAATATATAAGAGGACATTAAGCTCTGCCACCACCGCCAGGCACACCAGTCCGAGTCATCTGGTCCGCAAATCAATCACAAGAACTAGTCACTTCTTAGCTCCCTCCCAGAATAAATACTCCCGACATCTCCATCTTCTCTTCGACTTCTACATTTCCCCCATACAACTCCCCCCCCTCAGCGTCACTTCACAACTCCTCTTGCTATCTGACTTCTCTCCTATGTTATGATTTCTGCCCTCCTTCTGTTTAAACCATGACCGACCTCGCTTCTCGAGTCAAGCCGTTTGGCTTGACTCAGGTCTATTGTTCCGAGAAGCCTCAAGTCGACGTCGTCCTGGTACATGGTCTCAACGGCCATCCATACAACACCTGGGCCACCCAGTCGGGGGTGTACTGGCCTGCTCATCTGCTACCTGAATTTCTCGAATCCAGCCCTCTGAGAATCCTGACTTATGGCTATAATGCCAACGTTCATTCCTTTACCGACGGGGTCTCCAAGGATCGCCTGCACAACCATGCTGAAACTCTCACTTCTTCTCTGGCGGCCAACCGAAATGTGAGTTCTCTCCCTTCTCTCTCTCTTCGCTCTTCATACCCGTACACTAACAGCATATAGCTTCGAGGCTGTGCGGACCGTCCCATCATTTTCGTCTGCCATTCGCTAGGCGGCTTGATCGTCAAACGGGCCCTGATCTATTGCAACAGCGTCCAGAACGAGCGCATCGAACACCTGCGTTCCATCTTCGTGTCGACGTACGGTATGCTCTTCCTCGGGACGCCGCACAACGGATCCGACATCGCCAAATGGGGCGCCCTGTTGCAAAACATCTGCACGGCCGTCATGCCCAAGAAGTTCCTCGACTCCTCGCCCCAGCTCGTCAAGGCCCTCCGGTCCAACAACGAGACCCTCCAGAACATCAACAGCCTCTTCGCCGACATCATGCCTCGCTTTCACATCTACTTCTTCCACGAGACGCTCCCCACGGACCTGCGCGGGTCGCGCGAGATGATCGTCGATGAGAGCTCGGCTGCACCGTACGTCGAGGGCGTGGAGCGCATGGGCATCGAGTCCGACCACCGTCATATGTGCAAATTCGAGGACGACACCGCACCCGGGTTCGAGGCCGTGGCCGAAGCGTTGCTGCGCTATTCCCGCGACGCCCCGCGGACCGTCACCGATCGCTGGGTCGAGGAGAACCGGATGCGTGCGCTAAAGAAGCACACCAAGGCACGGGAAATCTTTGGTAATGGTGAGTAGACAAGTCCCCTACCCCTGCCTTCTAGTGTCGCATGCTGATCGTTGCATATAGTGGAAGGGCATTCAATGGCGGAGAGCGAGCCGGATCTCCGGTTACATGGTAGGCAGCAACACCTTCTTCGTGAATCTTCTCCCTCCTCCTTTGTTACCCTGCGTGATTATGAGGTTGAAGAGCCGGCGGATGCACATTATTAGACTTTTGCATGCGTTCTTTTCTGTTCTCAGCAAATGAAGCGGAGATCGAGAGACTCGGGTTGTCCCAACCTTTTGAGCAAAAAGAGAAAAAAAAGTCAAAAGAAATATAGAGAAAAAGGAAAGAAAAAAAGTCGGCCGAGTCGTTTGTCTTCATATTCGCGAGCCTCTTTTTCACGTTATGACGCAATGATTGTTCTCTGTTTTTCAGTATTTTGCTTCAGCGTTCTGCCTTCTGTCTTCATGTACCCTATCATCCGACAATGCAAATATCTATAGTCAGATCATGCTGACTTCGTTCTTCCTTAGGTAACCCCGCGCCGCTTCAAAAACAGCTCACCCACACGGACCAAGATAGACGCCGCTCGCTGGCGGGAGGCGAAAGCCTCTCGTCGTCTCACACGTCGCAGCGAGAGCAGCAGCTCTTCGTAGCGCCCCCAGGTTTCCACCCGAATGCAAACTTCGTCGGCTTTCAGAAAGAGCTCGAACTCTTGCACACTCGGGTGTTCAAATCCAAGAAACGCTCTGATCGCTTGGTGGCCGTATTGATCTGCGGGGGTCCCGGCTCAGGCAAGTCCCACCTCGCACGCCAGTATGTCTTCAAGCAACACAAGAACTATCCCGGCGGCATCTTTTGGGTCGATGCCAAGTCACACGAGTCGGCGTGCAAGTGTTTCTGGGACATTGCGCAGGCAGCCACCCTCACCGACGGCCAAGAGTTCCAGAACCCTGACTCCAAGGCCCCGCAGAAGTATGTCGAGACCGTCCGGAACTGGTTCCAGGCTCGCGAGGACTGGCTCCTTGTCTTCGATGGGGTTAGCTTTCGAAACGAGGATGAGCTCAACCAGTTCCGGCAGTTTCTGCCCTTCAAGAAAAACTGCAGCATCATCTACACGTCGGTAGACCGGACGCTTAGAAAGAAGCAGCGTCTGTATGAGCCCTACTGTCTCCAGGTGCCGCCTCTTCAAGTGGAGGATGCGTGCAAGCTCCTCTTCAAGGATTTGCTCATCAAGAAGCCAACTCCCGAACAGATACGCCGGGCGACGGATCTGGTCCGATACTACGAGTGTCTGCCGTTGGCCATCCACGCCATCAGTCATCGTCTGAGCGTGACGGAAAAACCGATCGAAAAGTATCACGTCGACTCCCGCCTGACGGACGAGAAACTCGCCGAACCATTCCTGGTCCTCATGCACGACCTATACCAGATGGGCCATCTCGAAGCCTTGAACCTGATCAATATCCTGTCCTTTTTTGACCACAATGTTCCCGTTGGCCTCATAAACCTGGGCAGGTCATCTCTGGTGAATTCCAATGTGGAAATCCTCTCCAAGACTCGACCAGGCGAGCCCGGGGATATTGACACAACGCTGGGCATACTGATCCGCTACGGTCTCGTCGAACGGACCATCAATGCGTATGAACTGCAAGCCCAAGCGCTCTCGCCTCTGTCTGAAAGAAGTCATATTCTGGACGCCAAAGCAGTGATTCCCGACCTGTCAGAGTCGCAGACCGAGAGTAGCCAAGATGCCTTCTTTGCGCCGTACCAGTACTCCGGGTCCATCGATATGATCAAGATCCACAGCGTGGTCCAGAGCTTTTGCCGCGACGAGCTCACTATCATGGACGAGGAGAGGAATTCCAAGCCATCTTTGACCGACTCGAGCAAGCCTCAGGCGGGATATTTCGATTCCTGGCTGGTTGTTGCCACCGACCTCCTCTGCACATCCTACGGGCACGCGAAAAGACGGATGGAAGACATCGATGACCACGGCCTGGTCAAGGATTACCGGGAATATGAGACTCACGCATCCCGACTGGCGGAGTTCTTTCCGAAGAAGATGTCTAAGAAGCCTTCCGTGGTGCACGAGGCGTTCGACGACCTGAAACAGGTTTTGAGAAGCATATCCAACGAGATTGAGCGCATCTCGCCTACGTCGTCGCAGGAGTCAATCAGGAGGCAGAGGTCGGTGTTTGATCGATCGAGTAGTTCTTCGTCATCGGTCCCTAATTCGGCGACTGAAGACGGACCCTCGCGACACCTGACCTGGGATTTTAGTGACATGGAGCAGCCCAGGGTTGATTCCCCGGAAGAGATGCCGACTCAGCCTCGCTTCCATCTCGAGCCTATCGTGCCTCGTATCTTTCGCGAGTCCAGCTTCGATCCCGAGAACGGCTATGAAACCGACGGGGAAGGGCCAAAGGGCATGACCCGAAATTCCCCGATTCCCTCTCTAGTGAGCCACACGACGGCGACTGAGAGGCCACTGTCCTCCCAAGCCTCAAGCCCTCCGCGCTCAGAGGAACTTGGGTGGCACACTGTGCAACGATCGGTGAAGCATCGACAGGCCAAGGAACAGTGGCCGAAGAAACGACCCCAGCGGCCCAAGTTCCCCCGCAACATCCGCGGCTCGAAACCGGCGGCCCCGAAAGTCGCGGCGTTGTCCGTTGAGGGTAGGAGTGCGTCCAGTAGTCCGTTAACGAAAAGCCGTAGCAGCTCTGGCGTGTCAGCGTCCGCAGCGCTGGCCGCTGTGCATCAGGGCAGTCCACCGCCGACGCGCAGACTTTTGGGCGATCAGCTCGTGTCGGACAAGGAAAATCTCCCGACATACGCGGCCATTGCCGCCCAACGCACTCAGGGTATGGGTGGTGTCTCATCGGCAAAGCAACGGTCATCATCAAGCCCCGGTGGCAAGTATCGACCCAAGTTCTTGGGCTTGAACAATAAGTCCTCAGGGGACTCGCTGCAGAGCCGATCTAGCAACGCACATGCATCGCCTCTGTCCGCCGAGTTCAGGCACGGCCCGATGAGCCAGTCAACATACAGCGAGATAGACCAGACGTATCTCACAAACCAGCTAAACGCGCTGGATCTGCAGACCCAGGACGCCGAGTGGCAACGCCCCCGCCATTTGTCTGCTTCCCGTCCCGTCGACATGTCGGCCAGCACGCCGTCCGTTTTCACATACATGCCGCAACTTCCAGTTGAAAATAACATCGAGGTCACTATGTCGCGTCGAATGGGCGCTGTGCGGCCGCAACAGCCACAACCAGTCAGCCAATCGACCACGAAGAGCGCAGTCACTCACCCGTCTGCATTCATGCCTGGCATCTCGCCGCCGCCGTCCGTCCAGCTGGATGGACCGGGCTACTTATCCGATCCCATCCCGGAGCCCATGACGCGCGATCCATCAGGGCAGTCCCATCAATCGTGGGCGACCGAACCCGTCCGCTACCCACCCAACTCTTCCTCGCTCATGCCCCCCACCGCTCAAGCTGCCTTCCCTGCCGGGTTGACCCACGTCATCCCACAGCAACACACCCTCTCCGGCACGGGCAGCTGGATCAGCGACACGTCGCAGCATCTGCCGCCGCCGCCTGGCACAACCGCCGTACCGATGGCCAGCGCAGTCCAATCAGAAAGCATGTTTATCGCCGCTCAGGGGCAGCCCATCCAGCCTCTCGACGAGCACATGCTCAGCGTGGATGCCCATCCAGGGTGGGCAGCAGCGGACCCAGCGTCGGCACAGCTACTCCACTTCGGCGGCCATCGCGTCGACGTCCGCTCCGCACGCCAGCGACTGGGCGGTTACGGGCAGTACCAGGTCCAGATCCCACCACAACACGTTCCCATGTACCGGCTGCAGCAGGGGAACCACTCGGGCCCTGTTCTGCCGCAGGGTCTCGGGCTGTTGCAGCCACAGGATCTGGTTCATGGCATGTCGCGTCCGCGGAGCGGGAGTTCGCCGCCGCGGCCGGGATTCGAGTATGATGGATTGGGAGTAAATTTCGGGTGATCTCCTTCTTTTTCTCCTTCCTTTCTTATCTTCTTGTTTGTTCTTTTATCCTTATCTTCTTTCTTCTTTTCTGTTTTAATCAGTCATCTGTACTGAGCTGGTCTTTGGAAAGATGACTGCTGGCTTACTTCTGTGTGCGTATGCATTTTCTTTTCATTTGATGGATATCCCTTGCATCTTTCTTTCTTTCTTTCTTTTTTCTTCATCTTCATTCTTCTTCATGTTTTCTTGAGTTTCTCTTCTTTTCATTATCCCTTCCTCTGTTTATCCAAGGTGTCATGTCAACGGCGTCTGGTTTGATAATCATTATGCGTTTGAACTTGCAAAGAGGAGCGATGCAATAGTTACCGGACACAAAAAAAAGAAAAAAAGAATGCGAGAAAAAAAAACAGAAATCCAGAAGAGTCCAAACTGGTATAATATTTGCAAACAGGAGTTGGCTTATTCACGTGTTTAACAATCGAGTGAATGATTAGTGATGACTGATCATCGATCAGATCAAGGCAGTGACAGGCTGGCTGGCTGGCCGCAGCGTGATTGCATAACAGGAAGACAGGGCATGGCGTTTGATATGACATGATGGCATTTGCATTACATTATTTGTGTGTTTCATGGTGAATGGGTTTAGTTTTTTCTTGATTGACATTGTGGCTAGTTTATAGAATGGACATGGTTTTTATGATCAATACATGTATCTATTCACAGTGGTAGTACTTACCTGGTCAATTATACCCTCTCTTCTCAAAAACAATAATAAAACAAAATGGAATAAAAACAAATAGAATGATCAACCTGATCAACCAAATCAAGAAAAGACATGAACCATGACAAGTCCTGTTAAACCAAACTAGAGAAAACAAGAAACTGATCCCCAGATTTAAGGATAGCCCTAACCCGATCAGGCTAGTTATGACGTTTGCGATATTCATACATCATATCATTCCACGACAAGCTGGTAGCAAGGACGATGATGAAGGGGATACATCATGGGGCGAATACTTGCTTAATGGATTTTGAATCCCTATATAATAAGATTTATCAACATCTTGGTCGTTCCCTACTATATTTCTTCTCAATCTCACCACCCAACAACCTCCACCACGAACAACAATCAGTTCCTAGTACTTTCCAGAACATCCTCACCCAACAAAGTCCATTATCACAAAAAGACAATAATAATAACCACCAAAATGCCTTCCCCCCACACATCCATCCTCCCCCTCTTCACCAGAGCCACCGCAGCCCCAACATGCCGCATCACCACCCAAGGCGGCGGCTTCCTCGCCGCGAGAATGCTCTCTACGACGACCGTTAGGGCGAACAAGGGTCCCGTGGAGACGACCAAGGAGTCGCTGCATAAGGCGGACCGGACTATTTCGGATAAAGTGCTTAAGGGCATGGATAAGGGTCGTATGTATATCTTTTTCTTCCCTTCCTATCTGGCCCCTGGTGTTTTCTACTATTTGCCGTGTTGTTGTACCGCTGGTACTACATATGTTGTTTAAACTGTGATACTGGTTCCACAAACGCAAATACTAACCATATATTTCGTGACACAGATGAAGCCGCCGAAAAACTCAAATCCATGACCGGACAGGAAGCCCAAAACGTCAAAGGCAAGGTCGAAGGCGAAGCCGATAAGCTGAAGAACCAAGCCTACCAAGCCTCTGGCAAGACAGAGGGCCTGAAAGACCAGGCGCAGGGCAAGGCAGAGGGACTGAAGGACCAGGCGCAGGGGAAGGCGGAGGAATTGGGCGGAAAGGCCAAGAGCGAGGCGAGCGAGCTTAAGGGGGATGCGGAGAAGCTGAAGGGGCAGGCGAAGGGGAAGACGGAGGAGTTGAAGGGGGAGGCCAAGGAGAAGGTGGGGGGGTTTTAAAATAACTTCTCTGGTAGGGGAGGGCATGTCATAATATGAACTTCTATGTTAATGTACAAGTATAAATCTCAAAATATGTTCATTGCTTTCAGCTTCGTTGCTTTCAGCTTCCAATCCCTTCTGTGCCATCCTCCCAAAATTCCAATCAAAGAAAAAAGGATCAATCCGGCCGCGCCAACATAAGCACATACTCCCTCCCACTCATCCCAAACTTCAACACATCCTTATCCCTAACCTCAACATACCGTCCCCCAGGCACCCCCTCCCCATTGACACTCGACCCATTCGCACTCTCCAAATCAATCAAATAAGGCCTAACTCTCCCCACGCGATCCCCAAACTCATTCCTCCTCTCCACAAACCGAAACTGTATCGCCGCATGCTGCTTCGAGCAACTCGGATGGTCCAGCGGGAAATCAACCACCAGCCGATCCCGTCCCACCAGCCAGCAACTGCGGCCCCCCAGCTCTACCACCTCTAGCAGGTCCTCGCCCTTGAACACATACAGTCGCCACGCGTCCTTGGGAGGCGGTTTCCGCGCCTCGGGCGGCTCATGGTACTTGAGCACCACCGAGCCGCCACCGGATACCTCCACCGTGTTGCTCTCCGCTGCTAGGCGGCCCGTGTTGCCGTAGTTGGGCTTCTCTTTCTCAGCCGGGGGTGGCGCGTCCGGGTCTGCTGCGGCTGCTCCACCAGAGGTAGTCGTGAAGGCGTCTTGCTGCGAGGGAAGCGGGCCCCTCGAGCGCGGCTGGTTGCCTCCAGGGCTGCGCGACCGGCTCCGTCGACGGGGTCTCTCTCTCTCTCTCCTGGGTGAGCGACGTGCGGTAGAGGAAGCAGACGAGGCAGATTCGTCCCTGCGATGTCGTCTGTGTCGGTGTGCTCTCCGTTCCCGGCGGGCGTCCGCGTCGGAGTCTTCTTCTTCTTCTGGATGTCGGTGACGCTCGCGCCGCCGCGAGTGATCTCGTCTGTGGCTGCTGCGGCCGGATGGGCTGCGAGAGCGTTCGCGCCGCCGTCTCCGCGGGCTGGGGTCTCGGCGCGACCTGTGGCTGCGGTGCTCGTGGCTTCGGCGGGTGCTGGTGCTGGTGCTGTCTTTGTCGTGGCGCGCTCGGGGCCGACCGTGATCGCGATCGCGGTCCCGGGTAGAAACGTCGGATGGCGAGCGAGAGCGCCTGCGATCGCGGTAGTCGTCTCGGAAGTCTACCATGGTGGATGGCGTTTGTATGTGAGGTTGGGAGTAAATGAGTTGCTATTTCAATTGAGTCAGATCCAAGTCCGAGATTACGCTTATCAGTGGTGCACGTGATCTTATCGGAGCTTCGCCCGGATCCTACGTATAAACGTCCGAAGAGTTACAGTCAATAGTTCCACGGATTGTCTGAGGAATGTTCCTATTATTTAGCTTGATGGCAGCATCTCATATGCATGTCTCAAGTCCAATGTATTCGTGGATTCAGTAGATGAAACCCCCTTAAGACAACCCAGTCCGCAGCCGTTTGAACGCCAGCCCGCTGAAGTAGAAGACAAAATCCAGTAGAAAACAAGATAATAGCAAGGGGAAAAAAAAGCAAATCAGATATACTCATCATCTTCCATCGATCCATCATCAACCGTCTCATCCACGTAGCCTCCATTTTCCCCCTGTCCTAAATTCAAATTGGCCACTGCCTCCGAAGGTTGCTGGGTTTCCCGCCACGGTTTGGGAATCGCTGCGAAGAAGCCACCGGAGTTCGTGACGCCCGTCGGCAACGTTTCCAGCCGTCGACCGTGGATAAGAATCTCCCCTGAGATATTAACATAAGAAGCCGGTGTATCCTGGACATAGCCGTCCGAGAAACCGAGAAGTTGTGTCGCGAGGCGGTAGAAGGCTACCATAATTGTCCCGATTGGGGCTAGCAATGAGGATAAGTGCGACCAGCGCCAGAGCATTGTCGGGATCACGTAGGGGAACTGTGGGGCATCCGGGATTAGGCAATTGCCTTCGCAGATGTCCGACACCAGTGGATGGCAGTAGTAGTCGCACAGGGTCGATTCCGAGAAGAACCACACGAAGGCGAAGATGATACCCCACCCCAGGAGCGTGGGTCGGATGCGCCGTGACTCCGGGCCTCGTGTCCAGAGACGTGGCAGCCACCGAGACAGATGCGAGACGTACGTAGTGCTAGACCCGCTGTCAGTGGGGGACGGAGGGAGAGAGCAAATGGTGTCGGCGTCGCGGGACACCTGTTTTTCGATGCTGTTGAGCCCTGTCCTCACTTCCATGAGACTGTCGGCCAGCGATTGCAGTTTATCGTTCAGGCGGTCAAGGTCGGTTCCCTGCTCGTTGGAGCTGGGGCTGGGACGCTCCAGTTTCGCCAGCACCGCCTTCTGGTACGCCGCGTCGTCTTCCTCCTCTTTCAGGCCGCTGGGCTTGTCGTTGAGCATCTCCTGAAGAGACTCGAGTGTATCGTCTCCCACATCCAACGAATCCTTATCCGCTTTAAAGTCCTGCATGACCGTTTCGAGTGCACTCTTTGGAAGGTCAGGTTTGATCAAGGGTTGCTTCGCCACCTTTTCTTTCTGATCCTCATTCTTCGGTCTCTCATCCAGATTCTTTTGTTCTTGTCTTTTCTCTTCTACTCTCGTTTCCCGGTCCTTCTTCAGCGGCGACCGGGTAGTGCTCGGCATTTGGTTAACGGGGGCCGTTGGCTGGCGAGCTGGCTCTGTCCTGCTTGGGACTGGTGATGGGACAACACCCTTCGACAGATGATCAGGGAGGGGGGCCGACGGTCGCTCCGTCACTGGGGTATCTATCCAAGCGCCCGTCACCACCGGTGTCTTATCGTAGATGCGTCGCTCGGGGGCTTGAATCTTTTGAGCCTCCGGGGTGAGGAACTCGTTACGGGTTTGACCCGGGCTCTCGTTTCTGGAGAGTTTGCGCAAAAGATCCTGCGAGTCTCGTTTGGTTGGACTCCGTTTGGTGAAAGTCGAGTTTTTGTATACCATAATCGGGGTGTTGGGAATAGGATCTCCTGTTCGGTTCTCTTCCTGTCCCGCAGGCGCCTTATTGTGTAGGTCCGAGGAGGGAAGTCGGTTGTATCGGTTTGATGGCGGTTCTCGTAGAGCATCCCTGATCCCCGCTGGTGGGGGTGCCTGGGGGCTCGTACTCTCCACTTCGAGATTGAACTTGGGTGGCGAAGTATCTCTTCGTTCTACAGCCGGTGCGGATTCCGAATTGCTGCGCTTGGTGATATTCCGGAGCCAGTCGGAACGGTGTCGTCCCCTGGTTCCCCAGTTGGACGGAAGGTTCAACGAAGGTTTGACACCGCCGTAGTCTTCTTCGAGTTCCTCCTCCATCTTCAACGCGGCCTGGTCCTCCTCTTCGCGTCGCAGCAGATTCTCCGACGTCAAAGCAGACGCGATCCCGTTTCTATTCAGCACCGGCGACTGACTGGCTGTGGCGCGTCTTAACCGCTGCTTGTCTTCGCTATGGTCGGTAGATCTCCGGCGCGGTGACTCGTCCATGCCGTCATCTAAAAACCCCGCATCCGCGTCATTCAGAAACAAGGCGTTGTCTCTCGTTAGAGACCCCGACGACGACCGCATGCTTCGACTGCCGCGCAAGTCAGGCAGGAAATCGTTCTCGGGCGCCTCGTCCACCAAGTCCCCAGCATCGCTGATCTGCCTATATGCCTCGGCGAGTTCATTCGGCGGGTTCGATTCCGGAGACAGAAGATTCACACTCTGCCGTCTGTATCGATTCGGGGTTCCGAACGTGCGCGCGTCTTCCTCTGCCATGGTCGAATAGCGGTCCCCGGCGACTCGAAATGCACCTCGCAAGCTCCGTGTTTTGGAGAAATTGTCGCGCTGTCGGGCGGTGCCGCCGTAGTTCTGAGGGGGGCTGGGGATTTTCGACGCGTTGTAGTCATCCAGGTCCGAGTCGCGGTATGCAAGATGGAAGGGCGAATATTGGTGGTCGTCGTGTTGGTTGCGACGCGACGGAGGCCGGTCAGTCCTCCGTTCGGGGGTGGGCATTCTCGCTCTCCCAGATAGGCAACCACAAGCTGGCGCCTTACTATCTGTCTGCAAAGGTATTAAATGTATTGGACAGAGAAATGAATATCCATTGAAGTAAATGAGGAAAGAAACAGAGGAGAGATCGAGATCGCGGCCAAGGAGGGGATCTGCTGCGTCGACCCGAACGAGTTTAGCGGCGGAAAAACGGCGTCATCGGCCAAATAATTAAAGAATAAGAATAGCTTCACTCTCCACACTCCTCGACTCGGTCACTCCTCTTTCACTCCTCTTTCACTCTGGAGAATTGAACTTGTCCCTTGAATTTTGTGCTAGATCAATCAAGGCTCCTGGTAGGTGAACCACTTCCCTCCTGCCCTGTCACTCGCTTGATACTCGTGTACTAACGGGCATGTGACCCAATCAGGTGTATCCGTCCACGTATGTCGTCACAGGTCTCTTTCTACACGGCCTCTTGATTCGCAACGAGATATTCATAGAGAGAGATATATACTCAGAACCGACCGAAGAGGCTCGACCATCATATCACGACCAAAACCATCCCCGAATACGACCATTGCACCCCTTCCGGCATCATCCAGCACGTCCCACCTACCCCCTAACTATGGCGAAATCCGCCCGCCGGGCAGGCAAGGCAAAAGCCTCAAATACACCCTCCTCGTCAGGAGCATCATCTCCCAGCTCGCAGACAGGCCCTCTACCGCCGTTCATGCGAGCTCCCTCTTCCCTCCAACCCTTCCTTGACGTGCTCTCCCCGCGCGAAGTCTACCTCATCCACGTCGACAACTCCCCGCAAGAGATGAAGAAACAAGCCTTCCTCGTCCCAGTCGTCCTCAACATCGTCATCGTCGCGATCATCGCCATCCGCATCTACATGGTCCGCGACGTCTACCCCGCCCTCTTCGCGACCCTAATCGGCCTCACCTCCTCCATGAACGTCGACACGACAACAATGTCCTGGAGCGAGATCGCCCAAACCATCATCCGCCGCACAGGCACCTTCCTAATCGACTACTTTCTCCTCACCATCTTCATCTCCTGGCCCATCCGCTTCATCCAGGGCCCCGTCACCTGGCGCCGCCGCATCGGCTTCCTCAACCGCGAGATCATCGTCCGCCGCAGCCAGCGCTCCCTCAGCGACACCCTCGAACGCAACCGCTGGATCCGCGAGGACGACGCCGCCCGCGACAAGATCGTCGCCGCCGTCACCCCCGACAAGCTCCTCAAAACAGGCTTCCTCCTCGTCGACGCAGACTGGGACCTCGACTACCCCGCCATGGTCCGCGCCCACAACCTAGTCTCCTCCCCGCGCACCCGCAAAGACAACGACGACGACAAGAACAAAACCGCCAACCTATCCCTCGACGACTTCCGCACCGCCGTCCTCGTCAACACCGACGCCGACGGCTGGCTCATCTGGCACGTCGGCGACGAGAACGAGATCTCCAACCCAAACTCGTCCTCCCCATCTCCTTCCCCGGCCGGCAAAGAGCGCTCCGCCCAGCGCGACCAGATCATCGCCTTCAGAGACCGTCTGTCCGCCCTCGGCAAAGAGGACCTCTTCTTCCGCTGGGTCGAGCTGATCCAGTACGAGAGTACCCGTCCGGGCGGCTTCACGCCGGAACGACAGGCCTCCGCCATGGAACAGGTTAAGCAGCTGTTCGAGGATGCGGGTGTGGATTTCTCTCAGTTTTGGGATGATGTGGGCGGCATGGAGGGGATGCCTGACGAGGGGTTTGTGGATCAGTTGGATTGATCTATGTTACTCATTTCTTCCCTATTTCTTTTTTTTTTTTTTGTTCTTCTCTTTCTTTTCGTTGTCCTCTCCTTGTTTACTTAGTTGTTGGTGGTTGCTTTTTTTGGTTCTCTCGAGCGGCGTTGGGTATAGGAACATATATAAATAACCTTACTGTCTATCCCTCACTAGCATTACACTGATATATAATCCACCCATATATACCGCCTACGAAGATACCTAACCTACATTTACTCTAGCCCACCAAATCAATAACAAAATATGTGGTTATAACGATATAAATAATATAAAGCTAGACCTTAAAAAAATCAAATCTAATCTAGAGCATCATCAAAAGAAAAAAGAAAAATAAATAAAAATAAATGAAAAGGCAGGTACATCGCACTCCACAGAGACGGGTATCAATTTCGTGACGGGGATGGATAATGTCCAGCGTTTGCCATCGTTCGTGTATGAGAAAATAAAAAAGAAGGTCTCAAAAGCCTGGAGTCCGAATCGAATATTGATAAATATCAAACAATGTGAAAAATGGATAGGAAAATAAAGATCAGGAGAAAGAAAGAGAGAAAGAAAGAAAGAAAATACGATCATTAATCATCGTCGGCTTGGGCTTCCGCTTTCTAACCGGTAGTCGACAGACCAGAGTCTCTCCCACGGTCGATACCGACTGGTTGGGCGTCGACTAGGGGTCGAATGTGAGGTCGACATGGCGTCTCCATTCTCGATTCTGGAAGAGGAGGACATAGAGGGCCACGCCGTGTCGGGACTCCGCCGCTGCCATCGGCTGCTCTCTGAGAGTAGAGTAGAGCCCTAGAGAGGAGTGTCTGTCAGCTCCCATCTTTTTCTTTTGCGGAAGACGCAAACACAAGAAAAAGGGGCTTGATCCGCGGGAATCAAAGATTCCTTCACGGGCCCCGGAGAAGGTCGCGGCGAACCTCGTCGAAGATAGGAGCTGCCTCGCGCGGTCGCGAGGGAGATGCTGGGGTAGTAGCGCTGTCCTCGGCGGTCTGGACTAGGTTGGTGGAGGACCCGTTGCCCCGTTGGATTGGTGTAGGGGGCCCTTTCTTGGATCCGGAGCTGTTGCGCCGGCTGTCGAGGCTCTTGGTGAGCGTTCTGGCGACGTTGCCGCCGCCCGTCGTGCGCTTCAGGCGAATGCTGCCCCTGGCGTCTACGTGGGCTGGGGCGACGGTGCTCTTTCCGAGCCCTGGCGTGGCGGGAGCGCCGGGCTTCTCCTCCGTGGCATCTAGGAGATACCAGCGTAGGCCGTCGGACAGCTCGAAGGGGTTTTCGTCGTCGAACGACGTGCCGTCGCTGGTCTCGGCCAGCGATCGCCGCTCGGGATTGGCGCCGTTCAGCGACCTCGAGAGGTCTACAACCCGCTCTTCCATTTTGGTGATGCGCGCAAGTAGCCAGTCTCGCGCTTGGAGTTTGTGGGCGTCCTGCTCGCGTAGGAAATAATGCGGTGCACCAACGTTGAACGCGGCCCAGGACCGGATGGCTTGGTTTCGGGTCGGCAGGAACAGTGCGAGATCGCCTTCTTTGAATGATCGATAAGCGATCTTGTCGTGCCCCTCGCTCTGGGCCCGATGATATTTGTCCCGATACCCTCGAGCTTCTTTCTGCCACTTGCGCGCAAGCATTTCAATGTCTTTCACCCGTTTGACGACCGCCTCGCCAAAGATATCCACATCAAATTGGTACATGGACTCGATGAATCCCATAAACCGATCGGTCTCTTCCTCCGGGGTTTCTGCCTGCATCCACTCCAAAAGCGAGGAGTCTGGTTTGACGGACACCACGCCGGATTGACTGAGGGTGTCAGCCGTGGCGGAGAGAGCATTGACTTTGGAAGATCTTTGCACGACAATATCTCCGTTTTGCCGGATGATAGTGAATCCCATTTGTTCCAGCATATGCTCCAACTTCTCCACCTGCCCGAACAGTTGCTTCGAAAGCTCTTGAGATCTTGTCCCGCAAGTCTCTATCCGATCTGCAGCATCCTGTTCCGACTTCGACAGGGATTCGGCCTTGTCCTTCCACGTTTGGACTTCCTCTCCGGCCTGGCGCGCCTGCGCCTCGACTTCGGCGAGTCTTTGCGACAAGCCTGCCAACTTCCGTTCTTCCTCCACCACGCGCTCTCGCAGGGCATCAGAGCCAGTCTCGCCCGCAGTAATCTGGGACTGCAGGGCCCCGAGTCTAGACCGCTCGCCATGCAATTCTTCCGTCACACTGGACAGCTTTGACTTCTCTTCCGAAAGGTCTTTCAGTGCCTGGGACAGTGCCGTTTCCCCTTCTTGCGAGGTCTGTTTGAGCCGTTCTAGCTCAGATTTCATCTGTTCCAGGCGCTCCTCTAGCTCCTTGCTCGCAGCTGTAGCTTTACTTGCGTTTTCTTCGGCGGTATTAGCATGGATCGACAGCCCTTCGGAGAGCACTTCGATACTCTTGATGATGTTTGGTATCTCGACAGGCACTGCGCCTCCAGGAGACAAGTTAAGGAAGGCAGCTTGTAAAGCATGGTAGTTGTCCTGGTCCCGCTGTTCGCTCTCCTTGACTTGCCCCTCAAGGTCTTCAATTCGAGCGTTCAGATCGGTCTGGCCTTCTTTGTGGGTGCGCATTTGCTCAACCAAGCTCGCTGCTTTTCGAATCTCCTCCTCAGCGCGAGCGTGGGCATCCTGGAGCTCGGTCTCGAGGTGATGTATCCGCTCTTCAGCATCCTGTCGCTCGTGTTCGCGGCCGTCCATTACCCTGTCCAGCTCCTCCTCGAGTTCTTCCGCCTTGATCTTGAGCTTCTTCGCTTGGCCCTCGAGGAACCTCCGTTCGTCATCAAACTCTCGCTGTCGGGCTTCGAGGTTTCCGATAAGGTCTTTCTTCGTAGACTGCGCTTCCTCTATCTTATCGGTGCTGGACTGACGCTCAGCGTGCGCGTCCTTCTGAAGCCGTTGCACAATCTCCCTCTCCGATGCAAGTTCAGCTTCGAGATGGACAATGCGTTGGGCGAGCGCCTTTTCTTCCGACGGTTGATTGACAGACATCCGTCTTGACGAGATAGAGGATCTTCGCGAGTGTGGGTCGGGATGAGGTGACGCGGGGGTGCTAGGGAAATCGAAAGAGAAATTGCCGCTGGAAGGCCGCCCTAAGTGGCTTTGACGGTGGAGAAGGTCTTCGAGTTTTCGGATTCGGCTTTCGGAGCCTTTGAGTCTGTCTTCAAGCTTGGATTTCTCGTCCCTCAAGCTGCGGACCATGTCATCACTGCGAAGGAGCAGAGAGCTGCGGCTCAGGTCAAAGAGACTGCCTTGCTTGAAGGCCTTGGCCCTGCGGCGTTGGTGGCGCGTCGGGGCATCCAAATCTTTATAGAGCTGGGTCAGCTCTTGAGCTATGCTCGTCATACCCGGCTTCGTCTTCAGGTCCTCAATGTACAGCCCGACATCCTTCCTGCTGACCTCCGGCCATTCGATCTCTTGGCCCCGCAGATTGATTTCGATGCCCGGGGTGGTTGCATCAGAGGTAGAGATGAACTCGCCCATGTTCTTTATCCATTTCTTCCGTCGGCGCTGCTCCTCGTCCCGGAAGACGGACAATTCCTCGGCCAGGGTCAGGGAGTCGGTTTTCATCTTCGTGCTGAACTCGCGGCGACGCACCGACTCGATCATTACGGAGCCATATACTAGCGGCATGTGAAAGACAGAATATATGATGTCATACGCGTCGCTCTGGAACGTAAGGTTGTTGATCTGAGACTGGACATCTGCTAAGCGCGATTCGATCAAGGATATCTGTCGCATGTGGCTGATAGCGGCGTTTGCCGCCCCGTTGTGCCGCTTGACGGCCCCCTCCAAGCCCGTCTGCATTTCGGCGCTGATGTCTAACAAGGACGGCAGTAGTTCTTTGGTGTGGTTGAGTGCAAGCCGGGAGATACTTGCTAGGGTCTTTGGGTTGTTGGGCAGGGCCAGGACATGCTCGTAGTCGGACTGGATCTTCTTCGATATCGTCACCACTTCCTCCAACACACCATCCATGCTGTCGACACCAGAAGGGACAGCATCCTCCACCAAGCGCTGCGTCTCCGTTGCGATATCGGCCACGGCCTTCTCCACGTCGCCGACCCGCTGGGCGAACTGCGAGGTTACAGTCGCTGCCTCCGATCCAGCCCTCTGGATATCCCCGGAGTCGACATAGTCCCGTAGTGTACCTATCGACCGATCTGTGCCCGTCTTGGGTGTAGACGGCCGGCCCAGGAAAGAGAAATCCGTCCGGGCCGGGATGGTTTCCAGAGTCGCAAAAGCCCGTCTCCATCCATCAAGGGCCGTCTGCTGCTCCTTTAGGAGATCGTTGGCCCATGTTTGGGCCTCTTGGAAGCGGTGCTCCAGCGTACCCACGTGGGTTTTCAGGTTATCGAGAGCGACGCTAGCTGCCCGGTTGATGACCTCGGTGCGCTCATTGTGTTCACGGATGCTCTTGTCGACGGACTCGCAGTGCCCGGTCAGGTTCACCGCCCAGGTCCGTCTGGCGGTGTACAGATTCCGCCATGCCTGCAGGTCGTTCTGATCTGCCAGGGTATCCGGGGGGCTTTCGATCGCGGTCGGTTGCGGCGAGGACAGTTCAGGGAGCTCGACTTTGGTGGGTTCGGTGAAAAGGCTTCGATCGTATACGAAGATCTCGTTCTACCGGGGGTGAAGATCAGTATATGTACTTGCGTAAATAAGGATGAAAGAGATGTGATGAATCTAAAGAAACACACCTCCGTGGCGAGGGTTTGGATCTTGACATTCTTCCCCCGAGCCGTCATCAAGATCTGCCGCTGAGATGGGATGGAGGTGTTGCGGGTGATCCATGATCGGAGTGCATCGGGCCTGTTGGACGGGAGAAAGCATAACGTCAGTCTACTAGAATCCAGAAGACTGGAAACGGAAACGGAACACAAGGGGATGGTAGAAAGCGATGAGGGCGGAGGGGAAATGAATGTGATTCGATGGACTGATCTGATATGTACGTACGAGGCGAAGGAAACTGGATCGGCCAGTAGATGCTCACCGGAGTGAGCGATGTAGATGTGCAAAGACATCCAGGACCCTCCTCACCAGCCGGGCGATGCGGCTCCAGAGATGTAGGACAAAGAATGTAGGAGGGAGGGACAAGGAAGAGAGGAGGAAAGAGGAGAGGAGTGAAAGAAGGATGGACGAACCATTCTAATCCTTCAAGATAGATAGTAGTGATAGGTAGTAGGGTAGCAGGAAGTAGAGGAATAGAAGATGTTAGTTCGTGAATGGAGAGCTAGGCTGGATGGAGAGCGTGACACCATTGGGCAAGCCGACCTAAACCAAATTCCCCGGTTTCATTCTCCACCGCCCGCTTCATGATGCTCATTGATTGGCGTCCTCAATATCATCCAGACATCTTCCCCGTCTTCTCTTATCACACGATGCTTTCGCTGGATTTGCCACGAGGTCGTCCGCTATGGCTTCTACTAAGGCTCATGCCCTTCCTCACCTGAACCCTGGTGAACTCTCTCTGTTGGATCTAGCGGCCGAAGATCCTCGCGATGTGGTAGCTCTCTCGGAAAAAGAGGAACTGATCCTCCAACTCCACCATCAGATCCAGGAACAGGAATTAGAGAAGGCCTTATTACAACAAGGTACGTTCATACATGTTTGGACTTGTTATACCTTTTTCCTCGTTGCCATACCCGTGTCAATTATACGTCTGGTCTTTTCTAACACAATCTAGATCTCGATCTGCTGTCCGGAGATGATGCCGAAGAACAGTTGGCCATCGCTGAACGCGACCTGCTTGAGGCCCGGGCCACGTACACGGTCAGGAGGAAAGCAATCGGAATCGTTCTTATGACCGATCCGACACTCAAAGCAGTGCATATGAAAGCGACAACCCCTGCGGAGCGGTATATTTTCCCTTTCCTTCTTTCTCCTATATATATCTTTTTGAAAACACATCCAAGCTAATACACTATCTAGAACCTTACTTCCCCTGCTCAATAGACGTGACATGCTCTCTCTGGCCCACGAGAACCTGAACAGTGCGCACAGCGCAACTGTCCGGAACCTGTCAACCGCGGAGGTTGAGAACCGGCAACTTCACAAGAAGAACGGGGAACTCGTCCAGGAGCTCTTGGAAATCACCAAAGACGACGACTCCTGGATGGAAAGGCTGGAAGATGACGAGTTAAAGGCACAACTAGAGCAGCAAAAATCCGACTACAAGAAAAGCAAAGCCAAATGGGACACGGTCAAAAACCTCGTGAGCGCGATCGTTGTCGGCAGCGGGGTAGACTGGGCCGCAGACGACGCCCTGGCGGGTCTTGTCCTGGACGAGTCGGACGATTGATAGATTGTTCTTTGTTTCTTTTTTTTCTCTGTATTTTTTTACCTTTTTCCTCTTTCAGTGAAGATCCGGGACTTGGACCGGGGTGCTTAGATGGCGTTGAGTCGGGATACCCTTGGACTAGAATTTTCTTCTCTAATCAAAACTAGTTCTGTTCTATTCCTGGCTTCACGGAAGAGCGATCTCACCAGATCATTCTCTCATCTCTTCAGACTCGCAGAGTAACGAGACGCGATCGCCAACCGTGACAGCATCTACAAGAAGGCGATGATTATATAACGGGCGCCGATCCACGTGACATCATAATCTGGTAACGCGACGCCTTCGTCATAATTAACTGATTAATGGTGGATGCGCCCCTAGGTAACCAGTCAACTACGGGACGATCGTACAGTATGGAAATGGCTGGAACATAAAAAACTCGGGCACCTTGGCTGATTAGAGAGGGGCCAGGTTTGATGTGAAGAGGGTAAAAAAGCTTAAATTAAAATAGTTGGCATGAATCAGAAGAAATCGACCTCACAAAGAGACGAACTGGGGAAAGGGGACAGGAAAGGCGAGCAATACTGAGTAATAATAATAACAACAATAATAGTAAGAATAGTAATAATACCGCATAATAATAATAGTATGGAGACCAAAGGAAACCGGCGTTTCCGCTCGCGGATCCAGGTCGCAGAATCAAAATGACCTGACCCTGACCCCCCCTCACCACAACAACGCGTGGTTTTATTACAATACTATCAACCTTCCCATACCGTGCCAGTATTTTGCCGGTAACCTGGACAGGCGCTTCGTTTGTAGTGGAATCAAGGAAATGGACTGTGGCATTATCAAGTGTATTCATTTCAGAATCATTACAGAGTCCGAGCGTGAGCGCAGTGACCCAGGTAAATTTACGCTTTGTGATCTATACAAAAATTGAGAAGGCTGTGAAGATTGTGAGCTGAAGTGGTTCCCATATACATTGGGAGTTTCTTTCCTTTTTAGTCCTTAATGGTTTGAACAGCAAATTATTATCTTTCAACTTGAAAGGAGGATTCATAAACAAAGTTATTACTGTGTACTTGTAGATAGGTTCAATCAATTTTGCTCGACAAAACAGAGCTCTGGTCATAACAACAGACGCAAACACGCCAAACTCCTCTATCAAAACCACAGCTAATACAAACCCAACCAGACAGGCAAAACCATCCACCCTCGCTGTTAACCGGTAATATTGGAGCACTACTGCAAGTATTATCAAAGCTACATGGATTCCACCACTCTCAACAATCAAATTCATTCAGTAGTCTGTTTTACTGACCGCGGCTGATCGTCGCCAGTCTACAGCAACAGAGTAAGCAGTGTATCACCCGGTTGCATAGAGACAGAGCCACCGAGCGCAATACCTCCCTATACAAGCTTCATCGTGCCACGCAGAATTTCCCCGACGAGTCGAGACCACGACAGCCTTCTGTACGGGTCCAAGAGGGGAGGAGGCCCTTGTCAGAGGGTAAACGGACCACCAAGGCACATGGAAGTACGGAGTACTCCGTACATAACTAATTAGTATTGTAGGTGAATAAGTAGTAGATAGACAAGGGCGCGCGGGGATGGATGGCGTGAGGAGGTCAGGAACCACTAAGTGTAGACCCCAGTCGTATGTATGTAAATGTAAACTATTAAGATGATCAGAGTCAGTTGCAGACTGGTGAGTGGTTATCGTTAGACATGGGGAAAGGAGTGGACTATCTGGGCGATGAGTGATTCGGGAGTGGGAATCTCGATCTGCCAGTAAGAAGGACGACATGCGCCGAGGTACGTCGACATTGAGTGTTGGATGGGTGTGCCTGGAAGTACCTTCCCTACCCTTTCCTACTCTACCCCTACTCCGTACACCGGACGCGCAGGAGCAGCTGAAACCAACTTCTTGGTGTATTGGTATTGATCTTACGTAGATACTGCTGGCAGGAATCAAGAGTACAAGAATATAGTGTATAATTTATCAAACTAGAGGTAATAAACCCCCAGAATTTACACATCCACATTCAAGAATGGGTGTCAAAAGGCAGTGAATACACCTTATGGAAGTGGTGTGTGCCAGTGGAAGGCGGCGTTTCCACCTGCTGCGTACCCATGGCTAGAAGCTGGACGACTGCGGAGTAGTACGGAGCTTTTACTAGGACTGGGACCTCCACTGACGGACTGGTTCAAAGAGTAGAGTACTACTCTGGACGTACGACGCCCGTATCTGGGCTCTGGGTATGGTACTACCTTACCACGATCATCCGAGCATACCTCCATGGTCCATACGCTATTATCAGGTATTTTACCGAAATATAGCCCTGATACTATCTCCACTGGACTGGGGGGGAGTCATAGAGTGGCGCGAGGGAAAAAAATAAAATGGATAATAGGGTGTTTGGGTTTGGTAATGTACAGAACCATACCATGACCGATGATCCACCAGAGCTGCATCAGCGCGATTAATTGCGCAGCAAACTGGACAGCTCAGTACAAAGTGATAACACTGTACAGGAGCTTCAATATTATGACAAAGGTTGTCGCCTCAAGACTCAAAATTTTGGGTTTTATCTATTCATTCGAAGAAAAACAAAATATCATATAAAAAGAATAAAAAAAAAGCTATAGATGCTGAGATCAAACCAGAATGTTTTGCTGGTTTGGAAGAGGATTGAAAATGACCGAACCGGTATGATACAATACAAGATCATTCCGGGCAGGACGCTCAACCAGTCGCAACGGGCACAGCTCTCAGCTTAGTCGCTTTCCCTTGCTGTGGTGCCCACTTGTGAGGGAGGGAAAGAGGAGAGGAGTGTGTGAGTGGGTGTGTGGGTGGGAGAGGCAGGCAAAGGTGTGAGTAGGTAATGGCCCGCCCTCCCGTCTCTCTCTCCCTCTCTCTTTACTACTACTACTCTCCCCCCTCTCCCTTCACTCTCTCTCTCTCTCTCTATTCTCTCTACCATCTTCCCATACAATTTCCTCCCATACAAAAAGTACTCTATAATCATCTCGGTGAGTTCCCTATAAACATTCCACACTTTACCATTGCTTCAACACCACCCACTCAATTATTTATTTCTTCCAACGCACTTCTTGTTCCCTGTTCAATCTCCCTTCGCGACTTGTCTTTCGCCTTCATTTTTGTACCATGACTGCGCGACCTCACTGTCGCGCATCTTGCGCCCGCCACCCAGATCTATATACTTCTGATCCAGCAAACCGGCCCAACTGACACATTCAACTGCACAGGCTAATTCCGCCGAGCTCAAATTTCGAATTTTATAACTTTTTTCTCGAGTTCGCACTCTCTGGTAAGTCTCTTGTTGCGCGCGTTCGATTTCTCGTGTCATGGGTCGACCGTTCGCGCTCTGTTTGGGGCGCGCACGGCGTTCCCACCCACCACCATCCACCCAACAGAGCGCGCTCGATCGCATCAACTGTTTTCACTTTCTCTCCTTTCTGATCTCCCTCTCCCGACCTCTCTCTCTCCTTGTCTTCTAAATTTTTCTCGTTCCCTTACTCCCTCCGCTCCGTGTCGTCGCCAGGCCTATCGCCCAATTCATCCGACAATCTGGAACCATTCTAACGTGATCCCTCAACAGTTCAACATGCCTAAGGAAAAGACCACCCGCAAGGCCCCCAAGGTCACCCGCAAGAAGAAGGGTATGTGTTCCCGACCCCCAATGGGACGAGATGAGCATGACTGACTGAGCTCTAGACCCCAACGCCCCCAAGCGTGGTCTGTCCGCCTACATGTTCTTTGCCAACGACAACCGTGAGAAGGTCCGCGAGGAGAACCCCGGCATCACCTTCGGTAAGAGCCATGACCCCAATGCAGTCAACTGAGCAGCGCTGACCCTCCTCCAGGCCAAGTCGGCAAGACGCTCGGCGACAAGTGGAAGAACTTGAGTGAAACCCAGCGTAAGCCTTACGACGAGAAGGCCGCCGCCGACAAGAAGCGTTACGAGGAGGAGAAGAAGGTTTACCAGGTATGTCGCCCGCCCCAATGAAGCAGGAATGTCCATGCTAATGTATATGTGTGACTAGGCCCAGGGTGAGGAAGAGGAGGAGGAGTCGTCCTAATCGAGTCGTTTCCCCCCTCTTTTTTTTCGGTCCTGATGTGACGGGACTGCCTGGCGTTCTTATCGTGTCTTTGTTCTCTCTCATATGTCTATGTATTCGTCGCTTCTGATAATTCCTATTCGTTTGGTACGGGATGACGGGTGGTTTCTCATTTGTGTTTTTTCATGAAGGATCAATTGTCCCATGGGTATGGTTTCTGTACGGACAAGATGGGCTTTTCAGGAAGAATTTGATCTGAAATCGGGGTGTTGCCCGGCGCTGTTTGTTTTCCAAAATGGCGGGAGAACCTTGTTTTCAGTCACTGAGTTACCCATCGCGTAATTATCCATGCGTAGTATGTATCAGCTTCAGGCAGGACGGGGCCGTGATTCTTATTCTGACCCTCCGATGGTGACGAAGAGGTGGGATGGTGACTAATGACGATTGTTTACGTGTCACGCGTCGCCGATATCTCCGATAGTGCCTGAGGCAGCATCGACTCTCCGTCTCTGCCAGGATATCGCCATGCTCCGGAGCTCTGAGACCACGGGGAAAAGGTTTGCTTTCCGCTGCCAACTGTCCGAAGATAGACATCAGCTGCAGAGACTCGGTTGGGATTGGGGTGAAGGAGACCGTGGTAGGAGGAGAGGGTTGTTAGTTGGCGACCACTACTGCGTATCTACCCAAAGGAGGCGGTCAAACACGCTGTCTGCATGAGCAGGTTGTCGGACTTTTTCTCTTGAGTTACTTGGTTGTGTTTGATATGTTTATTTATTATTCATTCTTATATTTCTAATTTCTATCTTTCTTATTTGGAAAGTCTAATTCTGTCTTTAGCATGCTTAGGCCGTTATCGACCGTTGAGTGAGGTGAGAGAGAGAGCTGGTTCTTGGCGGTTGGACATGCCAGCCCTAAGTGATGGACTTGGGTTCACTTGATTTTATAGTACGTACATGATGACTGACGTGAGGTGGTGGGATTTGATAAGACTATGTTGAGGTGATTAGGTCAGTTTTGTTCATGTCTGACTTTGACTAGCTTCAGTAGCTTGTGTCTAAACTATGTATACTGAGGTGCTCTATAGGTCAGTCCTATTTATCTACCTCCCATTCTTGTTTCGGTTCTATTATATCATGTCTCCAGTCTGACACCATCAGTCATGAATAGAACAATTGCATTCTGTAACTGCAACAGATAGAATGAATCATGACTACACTACAGATATATGAACATCCTCCGTATATCAAAGACCCTGGAATTCCGCATCAACTTCCGCCGCCCATCATTGGCTTCTTCTCTCCACCGCTGCACGACCACGTCAACAACATCCCCCGAGCAATTAAAGTCCACGAGAGCCGCATTGGTTCAAGTCACACTCGATTTCTGCTTGTGGCGATTGACTAAAACCCTTGCCCCACCCGATAGCATCCTTCCTCTTGGTATTTTGTTCAGATCCTTGGTTTTTTTTTTTTTTTTTTTCCTTTTTTTTTTTTTTTTCCCTCTTTTTTGCTTTATATTGAACGTTTGGGCAGGGGCGGGGATAGTCTGGTCTGTGGAGAATATATCAGACTGACGAATATTATATAAGAACGATCAAGGTGAAATGGCATAATCTCTGGTTCGTCTTGTCCATAATCAAATCACACAGTGACTACAAAGCTAACTGAGTTGTCGGCTGCCCCTCCCGATTAAGTTAAATCCATTGATTCCTCTTCCCACCTTACCGTTCTCCCCCCGGCTCGTATTTATATAAACACTCCTACCACCTTATTTCCGCTTCTTTCTCCCCAAATTTCCCCCCGTCCTGGCTCCCTCCCCCCCCCCCCCCCCCCCCCCCCCCCCCCTCCCCAAATCCTACCCCCCATACCAAGTGAATCATACCTACATACATGCAAGGTCCTCCGTGACCTGGTGACTATGGCCTTACGGACTTCTGCCGATAATGCAGAAGACGTGGCCGCGGGCTTTCGTCTTTTCCGTGAGCCCCTGCCCGAATATTCCGCGGATATCACTAGTCTGATCGCCGATTTCTATACCATCAGCTCGTCCCTCAACCGTCTGGACGACCTGACCAAGAATCGTCAACACCGGCACAGTGTCGCCCTCGCCCACGCCGATCTGGACCTCGTGAGCTCCAGCCTGAAGTGCACCCTGGAAGACATCGTCGACTTCTTCGGCGATCTGGAAGAGCGCAAGGTTCCCAACCGCGACGTCTACAAGCGCACCTGGCTCCAGCTGTGCGCTTTCTTTCAAGCGGAATCCCAGGACTCCCTCTCCACCCGACTAGCCAAGTATAGGGCTTTTCTCAATGAATTGGAGGCTTACATCAAAGGGTGAGTCTATGGCCGAAGATCCGAAGAAGCCCAGTGGGATTTCCTCAGTACTGACGTTTACAGGAAATACACCGACGCGCCTCTCATGACCGGCCTCCGCAACGGCCTCAAGGCGCTCCGGATTCAACAGAACAACCGCCTAGCAGCCGCGCACCTGAGCTCCATTTCCACGAGCACGCGGTCCACCTCCAGCATGAGCAACAGTGCCGATCCAGGAAGTCCCGTCAGCGATCGACGACCACGCAACCGCCGGTCCTACGAGCGGGCTCGTCCCCCGAATGCGTCCCCAACGTCGCCGATTTCGCTCTCCTCCGCCGCCTCGTCAGACTTTCCCCCGTCGGTCCCAGAAGCCCCGGGGTCCCCGGTCACCAGCTCCACTACCAGCCATTCTGCCGATTCCAATATCTTGAGCGATCACTGGGCCAAGCGGGTTTTCTTGCAGGAGCACTCTAGAACCCGAATCCCATACGTGGGCGAGCGGTATGTCCCCCTCTCCTCCGGATCCCCGTTGCTGCGGCGTAATGACCTGGCTAATCGATACAGCTCAAAATGTCTGGACGTACCCATCCCGGGGGTCAAGCGCTGGCTGCAGGACCAGGGATTTGAGGAGCTCTTCCAATTGTCAGTAATTACCCCCTAGCCACCATGTTACCATCTAACCCACAGCAGGGCATTCAACGGAGATTCCGATCTGCGAGTATACATGTACCTACGGGAAGACGACCACCGAACACGAATAGTATGCAAGGCCCCACGCAACTCACGGTCCAGCGACTACTTCTGCCTGCCGTTGAACATGCTGGAGATTGTGCGTGTCGGCTCCTGCCTGCAGCTGTGCCGACGGCGGCGGGGGGGCTCGGAACTGGTGCTGTGGGCGACTTTTAAATTCAGCACTATTGAGCGTATGTCCCTTAGCCACTATGGGGACATCCCTAACTAGCGGATATGTTGCTAACAAGAATAGAAATGGTGTTGTTTTTCTGCACCTTCCTCGCACTCCGCTCGCAAGACTCCGGCCGTCCCGTTGAACGCATCCGCGACTACGAGTTAGACGACGAGGTCGAGATATTCGGCGGGTAAGTCCCCCCTCTAGCCATCTACGCATACAATCTCTCTAACATCACAGACTGATAATCGACGACGACTACCTCCACGCGCTGCGCGTCTACCGCGACAACGAGTCGAACGCCATACGACTACAGGCCTCCATCCACAAGGGCGAGATGAAGCGGTGAGTTCATACATACACAATGGTTCGATAGAGCACGACTGACTGTGCATAGATCACCGGTATGGACGGCATTTATCACGGAGCATGTCGCGACACGCGGCTGGGCGCGTCGCATGGACGCTAAGAAGGTCGTGCTGCGCGAGATGGAGAAGACGATTTTCACGTTGTCGGATTATACGCCGCCGCGGACGAGGAGGGGGGAGCATGTACTGAAGTTTGCGAATGCGACTGGTAAGACTTTCTTATTCTCACTTTTCTTCTTACCCCTTCCTCACTTGTCCATACCCTTACCCTCTTTCATCTCACTCTCATCCTCACGCTTTTCTCACCTTATTCTCACGATCACTCTTACCAACCCTCACCCCCACTCTCCCTCACTCTCACTCTTATCTCCACTCTTGTTCTCAGTCTCTTACTCTATCCTTATTGTTCTATCCTTGGATGGCACTGACCAAACCAGACGCCCAAGAATTCATAGGAATGATCGAAGATCTGGGAACATTATAAGGAAGGATAGGATAGGATAGGAAAAGAAATGACTGATGGATGTCTTATGAACCTTATGAATGCCTTATGAACGACTTATGAACGCCTTATGAATAATGACGATGATGATGATGATGATGATGACATGTACATAATGTTGATACACCTATGACCAACTACCTAACTGACTAACTGATATGTCTGAAACCACTGGTGCTGATGCTGATGCTGATGCTGATGATATTACTGAAAATAACTGACATTATAACCAACTAGTCATGATAATCAAATGGGTATCTCACATACATACAAAATCTCACATAACAACCAAAGCAAAGAAACCAAGACTAAGACAAACCCTCCAAAAAAGCCTCCGCCCTCCTCCTCCCCCTCAACTCCTCAATCTTTCTCCCCCTCTCCACCCTCACCAACCCCCTCCTCTCCCTCCTCAACTTCCTCTCCTCCCTCCCCCTCTCCGTCTCCTCCCTCCCCCTCTGTAAAGCCTCCATCTGCCCCCTCCTAACCCCCTCATCCCTCGAAAACGCATAAAACTCCGTCCCCCGCGCGCGCACCTCACCACTAGCGTCATAGTGCATTTCCTCCGGCGGCGTCGCAGACCGGTCCCGTCTTGCCGCCAACCGCGCCATGTGCGTCGCTGTCGGCGCGTCGGGGTCGAAAGCCTGCGTTTGGATCGTGCTGCCGTGGATGAGGTTCGCGGGTTGCGCGGGCTTCCAGCGTTCGCTGGGGTGGGATGGGTTGTTGGACTTGGTGGAAGCGATGGCGGCAGCTGCGGCGCGGGAGGCGGCCTTGCGTGTTCCGCGGCGGGTGCGGCCTAGCTCGTCTTCGTAGGAGATGATACTCGCGTTGTCGTCGTCCTCCTCTTCGTCTTCCTCCTCCGCCTTTGATGATGAGGATCCCTTAGAGGAAGAAGGGGAGGTAGAACGAGCCCACTTCGCGTCAAAATCCACCAACCCCTCTCGTTCCTTCCTCGCCAACCTCCTCAACTCCCTCTTCCTCTGCCTCTCCCCATCATTACCCCCCTCATCGTCCTCCCCAAAAGAATCCCCCTCATCATCAGAATAGACAAGATGCCTCCCCTCCTTCAAGATATCGTACAGCCCCTCCTTCTCCCTCAGTCTGCGCTTTGAGCGTTCGAGGAGCGCTTCGTCGACGGGGCCGCTGTCGGTTGTATGAACCTGTTCTAGAGCAGATCTCTTTTTGCCTCGGTCGTTGAGGCCGTTTTCATCAGCTGCTGCGCGTTCCGCTGTGCCTCGGTTGGGGCGCGCGAAGATATCATCTTTGTCGTTGTTGCTTGCTCCTCTGGTGGTTTTTGGGCGGGGGCGGCCGGTTGTGTGTTGGTGTGATTGGGATTGGGATGGAGAGGAGATCAAGGAGCTGAGCTTTGTGGTGAATGCTAGGGTTGACGAGGATGGGGTGTTGGTCTTGTTCTTGTTCTTGTCGGAGTCTTTGGTGGCGGGGCGCGGGAGGCCGTAGAGGTTTTCGGGGGGCATTTCTCTTTTTCTTTTATTCCCTTCTCTTTCTCTTTCTGGTTTATTGCGCAGATCGTTGAAGTTGTGTTTTTTTTTTCTGCTTGACTGCTTTTGTCTGCTGTATGTCGTTGTATGTAGATTGGGTTGGTAGGTAAAAGTAGACTAGTGAGATGATCTGATAGTTATGTATTACTAACACCTTACTAATCACATCCAGCCCATCCAGGATCTAGATCTAGATCTATCTATACCTATATAACGCCTAGCTAATGAATTGTCGCACAACGCTCCAAACATATACATCGTACCAACATTGATGACACGGACTCAACAAAGATGAATGAAAAAAAAAGGGACAAAGGGGAATGGATTATAATCCCCTCCGATACTGCTCGTATGACGTCCCTGGATCTTCCTGTCCAACAGGTCCATATCCACCCGTCCGCCACCGCGCCAACGGCACCGGTTCGGCGATCGGAGGTCCCTGCGTCTGGCTGAGCAGGTGCGTCTCGCTCTCGTCTCCTGAGGCGTACAGTCCCCGTCCGATGATTGGGCCGCTGTCGCCGCGGGAGAGGGATGGTCGGAGTGCTGGGTGGATGTGTTCGAACCCCGGTGCGTCGCTCGGCTCGTAAGGTTTGAGGCTGGTGACGGATGGGAGGGATGGGGCTGGGGAGGATGCCCGCGAGGAGGTTGGCGACCAGGCGGAACGCGGGGTCTGTGACCGCTCGGTCATTAGGTCTTCCGGCCGGCCGTAGATGCCGCCGCCGAACTCGTCGCGGAAGTCGGGCCGGTCCTTGAAGTAGGCAAAGTCGAGGTGGTTCTCTGGGACGACTTCGAAGGGCGCCGAGGGGCCCGTCGGCGGTGGTGCGGTGTCCGCGGCGAATTTCGTCTTGCCTGGCTGGTCGGCCGTCATGGGGTCCAACGCGATGTCGGAGTAGTCGCCGCCGGACCCGTCGAAAGAAGCGTGGAGACGCCCCCGGTAGAGGCGTTTGAGGGCGTCGGCGGCGCGTGCGTGCACCATCGGGGTGGGCAGTGGTCGGTAGAGCGCTGGGTGGCCGAACCGCGAGCTGAGGCGATCTGCGGCCTTCTTGCTGGAGCTGGACGGCGCCAGGGCCTCGGCATCGGAGAGGTTGTCGCGGTTGTAGTAGCGGATGTCGGCGTCGAAAATCCGCATGCAGTAGATCTTGAAGCCGACCAGGAGGAAAGGAAGCGGGATCACGCAGTAGACCATGGTCCAGGTCCCTTTAACCTTGACGACCAGGGCGATAATGACGTTGGCAAAGGCCGTGGCGAAGACCATGCGGTTGAAGACGGCGCGCCAGAAGAGCCCGCCCGACTCGTTCTTCGTCACGAACACGTACAGCAGCATGTACTTCTTCATCATCACGTCGAGGCCGAAGTACAGCGCCGTGACGGGCAAGACGATGGGCTGCAGCGTCGCGAAGCAGAGCGCCACCGTCGCGTAAAACAAGAAGTAATTGTAGTAGCTGGCGTACTCAAAGGGCGTCGGCGCTGTCCACTCGATCGCCTGGCGCGGCGTCGGCGCGAGGAAGGTCTTGGAGAACCAGACCCAGAACAGGCTGACCAGCTGCACGAGGTCGACCGTGGCGCCGAGGTTGCGCTGCAGCAGGTACGTCACCCAGAAGGGGGAGACCTGGCACAGCGCGCTCATCACCTTGCCGTAGAACTCGCCGTCCTGGATGGCCTGCCAGGCGTTCTCGTCGTGGTTCTTGGCGTCGATGACGGCGGCGACGAACGTCCAGGCGGCGGAGAAGAGGGAGAAGACGATCAGGTTGTTGAAGACGAAGAAGGAGTAGAGATGGTTAAGGACGTGGCGCTCGCGCGAGGTCTTGGTCACGTCGCCCGCCTGGATTGACAGGCGGCGGAAGATGATGGGGAGGATCATGTAGAAGAGCGAGGTGACGGCGGGGGACAGAATACCCTGGACGGCGGCCCAAACGTAGGGGCTCCCGTTGAGCGACGTCTGGAACGCGGGCCAGACCAGTCCCAGGTTGGACAGGTTGGACAGGAAGATGGCGATCATCGCGTTGGGGGCGATCCACAGCACCGTCAGGATGGAGACCCAGATCATGTTGACGAACCGCTTCCACCGGCGGCCCTGCTTCGACAGCGGCAGGTTCTCCCAGATCAGATCGCTGGGCCGCGGGGCCAGCCGGATGGTGGTGCCCTGGGGATGCTTCTTGCGCGCCGTGTAGGCCACGGCGTGGGCGTGCTCGATCATGTCCCAGCTGACGAAGCCGAACGACAGGGCGTTCCGCTTGTCGATCGAGGCCCGCACGTGGCGGATGTTCTCTTCGAGGCGCTGGATGCGGTCCGTCAAGTAGTCGATGGCGTCGACCTTGCCCCCGTCCTGCTTCAGCTGCCGTTCTTTGCGCGGTATCCGCATGGTGGGCCGGGGCGGTAGCCGGTCCGGATTCTTGAGGTACTTGGCGAGGACCGATTCCAGCTTGCGCACTGTCTCCTCGTGATCCTTGATCATGACCGGGAGCCCTTTGACGTTGCGGCCGATGGACGCGCGGGGCAATGCCGCGGTGGGGTTGACCTGGTCGGTCAGGCGCAGGACGCCTTCATCGGAACGAGCGGCCTGGGGGATATCGGTGATCTAATCGGTTAGCTTGGTTGCATGGAGGGTAGATCCCGGGAAAAAGAACGCAGGCATACCATCAAGGTGCGCGCGTGCAAACTGCGCTGGTAGTCGGAGCTCTGAAAGTACCGTCTCCGCAAGGCGGCAACGGCCTTGTAATTGCGCCAGAGGAAGAAAACAACAATGATATCAAAACACCAGGCACAGACGACCTGGCTCCACGCGGCCTCGGTCTTAATGTAGAGAGGGGTCATGGTCGCAAAGGCGGACAGGGTATCCCTGGAGGACATGTTGCTCTGGGTGAGGTTCAGCGGGATCATGACGCCGCAGCCGATGATGCTCAGACAAATGAAGATGTTGCGACACATCTTGGTGAAGCGCAGGAAGATGGCGGCGTCGAGGCCGATGCACTCGACGAGCTCGGACTCCTTGGTGCGCAGGACGGGCTTGAGCCAGGCGAACATGCCCTTCCCCACCGGGGGCGGCGCGTGCTTGCGATCGGCATGTTTGACCTTAGGGGCGTAGACGACGGAATGGCGCGGACGAAAGAGGGAGAAGAGCAGGGCGAGGATGACGGCGAAGCCGGCGGAGGTGGCCAGGGAGGCCCAGACGGCGTTGACTTGAAACTAGAAGAGTTAGACGAATGATTATGGAGTATCGACTATGGTAATGGGATGAAAGTACCGCGGATTTGAAGGGATCCTGGATAAGTTTGAGAAACTGGTCTGTGGAGGATGGACCACTGTCACTCCGGGGCGATATTGTCCGGTCCATCACGGGGGAGATGATGTCTGCATGGATGGAGGACTCTAGGAGGGAGGCAAGAGTTCCGAAGAGAGTATGGCAGAGTCAGGAACAGGAAAAGAACAGAACAGGTCCACAGAGCCGGAAGAAAGACAAAACAGAAAACAGAAGAAAGAAAGAAGAAAGAAAGCAAGAAACGTTCAGAAACCGATGCCCGTCTCGTTGGTGGAGGAGCAAACAAGTGGAGCCCAGATCGGTCAGTCTGGAACATGCACGAGGATCCCAGGTTAATTTGATTTCCTGAGTGGGGGGAACTCCATCACAATCCAAGCGTATACACCAATGGAAGAATGTACCTGATGACCTGGCATTGAAGCTGGCCCTGATGGTCATGACCAGGGAAAATGACCCTGACCGACGTGACCCGTCAAGGCCAAGTCAGCCCTGGACCGAAAAGGTGAAAGAGACGCAAGGCCATCCATCGAATCCATCATCCAGCTGGGGGCGACAGAGAAAAAGAATCTATTTTGGGGGTGCCAATCAGGTACCGGGTGGAGGCATGAATCTGGAACATGCTAACTTGGTTTGGATGGAGACTGGTTTGTTCTGAGACCGAGTGGGGCAAACTGGATTCACTTTCTGTGGTTTGGTGGAAGAAGAGAAGAAAGAGAAGAAAAAGACGAACCGGAGATCATCCATCAATCATGACTTAGCAATCACCTGATCTCCACGTCTTGGAATACCAGAATATGGCTGTATTGTCCGATGTATCTGTTGATCCGGAGTATATATGGAGTACGGATACTTAGTAACTATTGACTATCTATAGTTATCAATAGTCTAAACCCACGTCCATAGTCCAGACCCAACAAGAACAACCCAAAAATTCAACAAAAACCCTACTAGTAGTAAAAAAAAAGCCTCTACTGGGACTCGAACCCAGAGCCTCTTGATAGCAACTTCTGCACCCATTCTAGTGTTGTAGAAGTCAAGCGCGCTACCGATTGCGCCACAGAGGCTGGAATGGAACTCGGTTTTTGTTCTGCTTGTTCAGATTTTCTCCTCTTTTTTTCCTACGGGTCTGCTGGTACGTATCTTGTACTGATAGTATCTGGTACTTTTGCTTTTTACTTATGTACTACCGTAGAGGGTTTCAATTCAAGTCCTGTTCCAAGTCTTGTTGAGACATCAACAGTATTGAAGCGCACTAGCTAGCCGTAACCTGGACTAACCGTATTCAGTCAATCTTCGCTCTACTGCTACCTATGATATGATGTACAATCAAAGCTCTACTCAATACAGATTAAACAGATTGTGCAATTTTTATTTGCAAATTTTGTATGTACTGGTATCGGATCTCATCACACGTTGCCACTATCCCATCACATTACCAATGCCTGGAAGACACATAACACAAGAACAGAAAAGAGAAACTAAAAAGAAAAAAACTGTCTACAGCTGGCCAGCAGTGTTGAAGTCCTCCAGGGCCTCCTGCACACGCTTGCTCATGCTCTTCTCACCCTCACGCACCCACACGCGGGGGTCGAAGTACTTCTTGTTGGGCTTGTCGGCACCGTCGGGGTTGCCGACGGGGGTCATCAGGTAGTCCTTCTTGTTGAGGACGTAGTCGCGGACACCGGTCATGTAGGCGTACTGCATGTCGGTGTCGACGTTGACCTTGACGACGCCGTAGCCGATGGCCTCCTTGTACTCGTTCTTGGAGGAGCCCGAGCCGCCGTGGAAGACGAAGAAGATGGGCTTGTCGCTCTTGGCGCCCAGCTTCTCCTGCACGTACTTCTGGTGCTTCTGCAGCAGCTCCGGGTGCAGGCGGACGTTGCCGGGCTTGTAGACGCCGTGCACGTTGCCGAATCCAGCGGCAATCGAGAAGTAGGGGCTGATGGGGGCCAGGGCGTTGTGGATGGCCAGGATGTCCTCGGGCTGGGTGTACAGCGAGTTGTTGTCAACATCCTCGTTGTTGACACCGTCTTCCTCACCACCGGTGATACCGATCTCCTGTTCGATTATTAGCATCTCTTTCTGTGGACCCCTAGTGAAAAGGTGGTGGACATACCATCTCGAGCCACTGCTTCATGGGGGCAGCACGCTTGAGGTAAGCGGCGGTGGTCTGGATGTTGTAGTTGACGTCCTCCTCGGACAGATCGATCATGTGGCTGGAGTAGAGGGGCTCGCCGTGGAGCTTGAAGTAGGCCTCATCGGCGTCGAGCAGACCGTCCAACCAGGGCAGCAGCTTCTTGGCGCAGTGGTCGGTGTGCAGGACGACGGGGACGCCGTAGGTGGGGGCGATGCTGCGGATATAGTGGGCGGCGGCGACACCACCGGCAATGGAGGCGGCCTGGTCCTTGTTGTCGACGCCCTTACCGGCGAAGTAGGCGGCACCACCCTGGGAGATCTGCAGGATGACGGGGCACTTCTGGTCGCGGGCAGCCTCGAGGGAGGAGACCACGGTGGAGGAGGAGGTGACGTTCTACTTCATTAGTTTCTTTCTTTCTTTCTCCCTCTTGACAAGGAAGGGGAAGACGTACGATGGCCGGGACGGCAAACTTCTTCTCCTGGGCGTACTGGAAGAGACGGAGAACGTCATCACCGACGATGACGCCGGACTTGCGGGAGAGCTGTTCCAAGAGACCCATTGTGATTGAGTTGAGGGGGGTATGTGTGTAGAAAAGTGAGTGGTAGATAGAAGAATTAAGGTAGTGTTAAAGTAGAGAATAGAAACAGACGAAGGTTCGTGAGAAGAGAGGAGGGGGATAGAAGTATTAATAGGGAGAGGGTGGGCGTTTACCGGACAACGAAACCAGCAGAAACAGCAGAAACGAAAAATGAGGGGCAAAGACTGAAGACCCAGGCCAGCTACGACTACCCAAGGCCTACCTAGGTAAGAGAAAACCAAATGGGAGGGGCTTGACCGGGTATGGTGGGGACATGCGATCAGTATGATTTCACCCCAGTTCTTTTTCTGTTGGGATGGGACGAACGCAGAGAAATTCACGAACAGGATGGAATTGCACTTTGCATCTATCTCTCTACTTGGTTTACTCCACTGATATTCCCCTTGAAGAAGAAAATCGACGTTGAACGATCAAGATCATGAAGATGGAGGGGAAAAGGAATGACGCGGATGGAGGGGCCTCAGGCCTCAGGCCAGCCCATCATCCCGGAAACCCCCGCGTCATCACATGACATCATCACTCCGATTCCCCCGTTTCCCTCCGTTGAAGTCATCCTCTCCATCTTCCAATCCTGCTGAATGGATATTAGATAGACAGTTAGACTACTAAGTAAGATCTTTGTTCCATGGTTGGTCTCTCCGTTTGACCTCATATTTGATTCTTTTCGTTTCGTTTCCTTGTTCTATACAAACCGGATGCTGTATACCATCACGGAATACAGTCCTCCTAAGCCCTTTACCGAAGTCCCTTTCCGTTTTACTTTCGTTCTTTTCTCCCACCGGTGTATGCTAGCCTGAGGTATTTGATGCAAATACCGCACCTAGTACTTTGTATTCATTATCATTATCAATATCAATATCAATATCATCATACCTCACCACAATCCAAACCAGAGTTTGAATAGAATGTAAACGAAACACATAGAACCTGATGGAAAATCCTCCGATATTCCTGTTTCTGTTTAATTTCCAGCATAGAGAGCAGCTTTACTGGATACGGTCATTGACCCCACTATGTATGTGCTCACGTGATGCATCTACACCAATGCGACTATTGCTATTACTATACTATTACTATTGCTATACTATTGTCTCTACACCTAGGTAGGTCGGTAGGAAGGTACCATTGGGGAAGAGACCTGTGCGCGACTACTTATGCACCTCTTCCCTGTTTAATCCGATGCCGTACGCGCTTCGCTTGGTAACGGGGGGGTTTGGTCGCCACTCTTTCCTGATTGAACTTCTCCTGCCTATGGATGTACCGACGCTGGCCGACGATCAGTGTGGTGTGGTGTATGGATGGATGGAGAACACGTTTATGCATACAAAGTATGTAGATCCTGCTGTGAAGGATGTAGTAAATCAGATGGATATTGCTCTCAACAATGCTTAGACTAGTGTTACATATGGTACACCCATTATCCCATATCCATCCATATCCATCCATCCATCACTGCAACATGTTGATGCTACCGCCCATTAAACCCCCCCTCCCTGGTATTTATTGAAACTCCCCACTCAAGCACCGTTGGTCTGCGGACTGTCGACAACCGCTTGGCCGTGCTCACCGGCTAACATGCCGAACTGGCCACCCGTCGCCGCGAAGAGGATCTTCTTCCCCGTGATGTGCTTGTTCTGCAGCAGGGTGGGTCGCTCGACGTCCTCGTTGCCGTCGCGGTGCGGCTGGCCCGCCTGGTAGTTCGTGTTGAAGCCCCAGCTGTAGGCGAGGCCGGCCTTGGTGATCGCGAACGAGTGGTCCGGTCCAGACGCCACGGACACAATCTGGCCCTCGATCCCCGGCAGCAGCGTGGGCGTCTTGAGGATGCGCGCGCGGCCCAGGTCGTCCTGCACGACGTCCTCCTCCGCCATCGTCGCCGGGTCCAGCCCCAGCGCCTTGTTGTCGATGCGGCCCCAGATCAGACACTTGCCCTGCTCCGTCACCACCAGGCTGTGGTCCTTGCCGCCCTCGACGGTCGTCACTGCGCCGGCGGCGTGCTTGCGCAGCGGCTTCACCTCCGTCGGGTACTGCACGACCGCGTCGCTCTCGCCTGCCCGTGCGGCAATGCCCGTCTGTCCAAAGTTGTTCGACCCCCACCCGTAGACGGCCCCGTTCTGGCGCACCGCGAACGAGTGGTACGATCCGGCGCCGATATCCACGATCTTTGTCGGCAGCGCGCACAGGCCCGGCTGCAGCGGGTTGGCGCTCGTCACGCGACCGAGCAGTCGGCGGCCGAGCTGGAACTGTTCCTCACAGCCCCAGGTGTAGACGAGCCCGCTCGCCGTCAGGGCAAGCATGTGTTGGGCGCCCGATGCGAGCTTGATCACGTTGTCCACGCCAGGAATGAGGGCCGGCTTTTCCTGGATCTTCTTGTCGGGCTCGAAGAAGCCGATCTTGCCACTGTTGCCCTGTATTTTGTCAGTAGTCACTCTAGAAGAAGACATCGCTCTCCCAAACAGGAGAGAAGGGTAAGGAACGTAGAAAATGGCTGGCATACTCGGAAAGTCCCCCAACCATACACTAAACCCTCCTGCGTCAAAGCAAACGTCGCGCTATCCGTCGCCTCCAGCTGAGTAAACACCGTCCCCTCGGGGAACAGCGACGCGTCGACCTGCCCAGGGGTAGCCTCCTTCAGATTCTGCGTAACCTCATCCTCATCCTCGCTCTCATCCTCGCGCGCCTCCACCGACTTCTTGTCCTCCTTGGTGTCCCGCGCCAGGGTACCCTCGTCATTGACGCCCCAGGTCATGATGCGGTTGTCGTGCGTCAGCGCCGCGGAGTGCACACCGCCCGAGACAATGTGCACCAGACCGAGACCATCAGCAGGCATCTTGGGGTTGAGGACGGGGCCGGTAATCTCGGCCTTCTTCGTCGCGTCTCCGAGGCCGAGTTCGCCGTAGCAGTTGGAGCCGAAAACGTAGACATCAAGGCGTTTGGTCGGGGCGTGTGTGAGAATGGGCTTTTCCTTTTCGACCACGTCTGTTTTTTTTCAATCAATTAGCAAGAAACGACAAAAATAACATATGTGTTTCAGTTGTCAAAAGGAATGAGGTGGAAAAACGCGTTAACAAAGAAAGACAACAAACCCACCCTTCTTCTTCTTGCGCCCGCGAGTCGACTTCTCAGCCGGCTGCTCATCGACAATCGCCTCGGCCTTTCTCTTCCGTCCCGCAGTTGTCACTTTCTCCTTCTCCTTCTCTGGGGCTTTGGCAGGAGCTGATCGGCGCGCTGGTGCTTTCTCTGCGCCTGCAGCAGGCCTGCCGACGTTGCGCTTGGGAGCGGTGGCTTGGCGCTTAGGGGGCATTGTGTTTGACTAACTGTGTTGATAGATGAGAATAGGACACAGTAGGAATTGATAAAGGTTCAAGAGATAAAAGATGGAGAAAGAAAAAAGGGAGAGAAAAAAAAAAAAGGGAGAAAGAGAATGTAAAGGGAAAAGGATGAAAAAAGAGAGAGAAGATGCGGTGCTTACTTGATTGACCTGCCTTAGTATTGACTATTATTGATGGTCGCATTGTTTATCAACAGTGCGGCCAAAACCCCCGGACGGGCCAATCGGAAGGGTTGATCCCTTTATTCTTTCAGTCACTCCTTCATTCATTCAATTGTTTATTCACCTGTTATTGCTTGTTCGTGGATTTGTTTACAATTCCCTATGGGCTTGCATAGATTCACCCCTTGATTAGGAGAATTCAGCTACAATAGTATAGATGAATTGTCATGAACAGGAGACTTTGTTTCATTTCACATTTATTTGCCCGTGTCCTCATGCACCACATGTAGGGGTCATCATGCAATCCATCACACGACATCGTTCCCAAATTGCCACTTTTTCCAAAATTCATATATAAATTTATGTCCAAGGATATCAACTATATATACCACGACTTTGAATCCCTGTTTTCCTCTGGTCACGGCTTCTCCATCTCGTAGAATAAGAGGTACACCTCCCGTTGCATGCCCAACACGTCCGGCGTCTTGCATTCCTTGATTTTCTCGTCCGAGATCCGCCACCATCGGTCGTTCGGCGTGCGGCGACGGCGCAGGCGAGACGTCGACCGGGATCCCCCGTCGCCGGAGCTTCCTGGACGGATGCGCTCGCTCATGAAGGATGTCCGGGAGCCGGACTTGCTGCCGCGACCGCCGTCCGTGGCGGGACTCTGGGACTGGTCGCTGGTCGGCGAGGGTGATAGGTTGCGTTTGGAGGCCGACGACTTCGAGCGCTTGCTTTGGAAAGAGATGCGGGAGCAGGATGTGCTGGGTCGAGGGGATGGCGAGGACGGTGGAATGAGCTGCGGCTGGGGTTTCGGCGAGTTTTTGATGGACGGCGTTCGCGACGTGGCGGGGGAATCTCCGGACGATGGGGATGGGGATGTTGGGGGTGATGACGTTGAGGTCGAGATGCTCAAGGTGGGCGGCTCGGTGTCGAGGGCTCGACGCGCTTCGGGGCGAGGACTCGGGGCCCGAGAGGGATTCTCACTAGGTGCTCGACTCTGTGCGTACGAACGGAAAACATCCGGCGTCGAGAACGGTGGGTAGAGGTTATTGCGACGGAATGACTCGTAGTGCCCGCTTTGGTGACTACCCTTGTGGCAGACAATCGCCAACAGTTTGAACCACTTTTGGCTCAAGATGCCTCCCAGAGGGAGCCGCTCGGGGAAGGACACCTTGGCGGCGTTTTTGGTGGAGCTGCTGTGGTCGAAGATGGATCGGGAGAGGTGGATGGCGACGATCTTGGGGAAGACGGTGATCCGCATGTGTCGGGCGATTCGCCGCTTGGGCACCGTTTCGGCCGGGGGGAGCCTCACCCCTTCCGGCACGTACTCGGGGTCGGTTGAAATAGCATCCTGGAGCTGTTGGATTTCGGTCTCCAGTGTGCGCCGGTCACTCTCCGATTGACTCCTCGTCAATTCGTGCGTCTTCACATCCACGGCATGCTGTAGCGAACACCGGTCACACCGGAAGTCCTCGATATACTCCGTCTTCAAAAGCCCGTCGAAACACGCGCTGAGGGTGGTCGAAGACTTCTGGGGCACTTGCAGAGTCAGGTTTACGAACGAGGTCTGGTTGGGCTTGTACTGGTAGTGGCAGAATTGGCATTCGATCTGGGACTCGAGCTTGCCCTCGAAGGGAAACCAGGATTCCGTGTCAATTTCGCGCAGCTTGGTGTCGATGATGGCAGGGAGCCCATTCGCGGATCCGTCATCGATGCGGACCTCGACCTCGGTCGGGGTCTTCGGGGGAAGGTCGTCATCGCGCGCCGGGAGAGGAGCCTGCACGCGCTGTCGTGCTTTGACACCGGCGTGATACTCGTCACAGAGGCGCTCGGCCACGATCTGCAAGAATTCCTGCGCGTCCTGCTGGTTGCGACTGAGGCGTGTCCGGAAGGCATACTCCAGCGATTGAATGAACCCGCGAGCGGATATCGTTTTCTTGTAAATCGGGCGCTCGTTCAAGCGATCCAGCATTTCCTTCAACGCGCGGGTAATCGTTCCCCTCTGCAGCTCCAGGATCTTCTCCGGCTTCTCCCCGCGCGGGATCTCATCCACGTCGGGAAGAACATTGTAGATTTCGGGACCGTCCAGTTCCCGCCGATGGAGTTCCCGGATGAGGTAGACGCGCAGATCCCCCAGACCGGCCAGCGCCTGGAGCACAGAGTTTATGAAGCAGTCATTGGCCGGGTTCGACAGACCGACAATGCTCTTCTTCCGATTACTGTCGGTGGAGTCCTCGCCGTCGAGGGTGAAGTTGGGGCCGAAGACGTAGAATAACGCGACCGCGGCGAGAGATGCGCCCGCCGCATAGGCGGCGACCGTGGTTGGTCTTTCCTGCATCAACCTGACGTTCTGTGTGAAAAAGGTTCGCGGAGAAAAGAGGTGGGTAGAAAGTTTCCAGGTAAACCGACGACGGCACTATCGGAGCTCCATGGATGACTGCTTCTAACCAAGAAGCGGTGGGGCCGCGAAGAAAAGCTCTAGGGCGTCTAAATAAAGATGCCTTCAGATCCCCTCTTCTACCCGGCGCCCGGTTTATCTCAAAGCAACAGAAAAGGCAAGAAATGTAAAAATAAAGTATCGGGAATTCGGACGAGTCACGGAAGAGGGGGGTATGGGATCAAGGATCTAAACTCTAAGACAAGTTCAAGATGGGATAATCGTCAGCAGGTAATTTCCCCATAAACGCCCGAAGATGTGGAGAGGGATGGGGGTCTGGTAATTGGACCGTGGCCCCAGTTCGACCGTAGAGAGGGGAGAGAACGAGCCAATGGCCTTCTTACCAGAAGGGTGGGAAATCACGGGTCAATTGATCTGTGTCCATGGATGATGTACGTTTGAGCGATCCCTGAAGGATGTCGGAGTACGGATGGTCGACAAGGTAACAAGAGATTGAACGAGTGAGCCGAGGAAGAGCGAAAGAGAAGGGCGGAAGGATTGACCTCTCTTTTCTTTGACCGGTTCCAGGTCCGACGGGGCGTCAAGTATCCTGCGCTGAGCGCGCGTCCCAGCAATCCCAGGCCCCGAAGATCCGCTTCACTGCACCAGTGCCACCCCCCCACATATTATCCCGCCTGCATTGCTCCAGGCCCATTATTCAGATCAACAGTGACGGATCCTCAAGGCTGAGACGACCGGCCAGTAGCACGAGTGACATCTTTTGATTGTACCAGTGGGGGCGAACGAAAGGATTGTCATTGATAGAGCGCGAAGATCGCTGGTTAACCTCCGACGAGGAGAGGAGTTGGGCTTGGCTGGATTGACGAATCAAGGGGATGGTAGTAACCCCATGGGCTGTGTGTACCTAGTTTTGAACGAGAAACGATCCACGCAGCCAAGCCTATTATCAAGGGGATGCGTAGAATGAAGTGGTGCAGTGGAGGTGTCGGGTTTATGGAATGGAGGCTTCCGAGACATCATCCGGTCTGAGAATACGTCTACTACAGGATTGCCATTGATATCGGAATTTTGGTATATAGAGTTTGAAATAAACTAGAATAAAGGAAAGATATCATGGGTTTCCGAGTCTACTAAGAACGCTCTAGGCTGGTGATCCAGTACCGACACGGTGACACCCTACGTACTATCAAAATTATACTCTTATAAGGCACTCCCCCACATACTATTCCTCCAGAACTATACGCTCACCAACAATAATCACGAGGTCTATAAACGGTATGACCCCTGCCTACGAGCCAAATAGCCTTCTCGACAAGCACAAGCTCAAGTTGACCCCTCGTCCCCCCCAAGACCCAGCATAAAGCCGCCGGCAGTCCCATGCCAACACTACAAATATGAAACTGAGATATCACCTTTATCCAAATTGCGGCAAGGAATCCGGTTTCGCGCCAGGTGGTAAAAGATATACGCATAGGAGTCGACCTGTCAGCCTGTCTATCCTCTGTATGTATGTAGACCGGAACTGACGGAACCGTGGACGGAGCCTGTGATAGCTTCTATACACAGATTGTGAGGCATATGGCTTCTCCAATTGTAAACCAAGAACATCCGCACTGTAACTTCCTGATGTAGGTTCCTGAGATCAGAAGAGATTGCGCAGAATGACCGAGGATTGTGCCTGTAGTACTGGACCACGACCCACCAGCACTTATTCCGCAAATTAAGAAGTCAAAACCAGCCCAGCTCCTCGAAGTGATCTGAGTAAGGCAAGACCAATTTACACCCCCAACTACAATTCATGTCGACGCCAATCCAACGAAGAAGACAAACAGTACCTAGAACCCGCAGATGATGTCAGAAGGTGCAAACCAGGCAAACACCAGGTGCTGTGGTCTCGCGGTAGATAGATGGATGATATGTCCACAGTGTTACTGAGAAATGTATAGCTGTTGGATGGAAACACATTGAGTCAAAGCTTGGGTTTGCCAGGGAAAAGGGTTCTGACGAGCAGGGGAGCATCCGATATCGCTTCAATTTTCAAATGTCCATCTAGCTGTTCGAGACTGCGCTCTAGCTACGACATCTATTGCTCCTCCTACTCCTACTCTCTATTAACAGTGAATATTGGATCAATAGCTTCATAACATGAACTCCCTAACAGTATCTCACAATTTTGCCAAAATCTCATGGTCGTAGTGCCCCTTGTCTACAGAACATGTATCTAGGTAGCCTTAGTCCGGCTGCGCGTCCGACTCCCGATCCCATCCGTGGGGACATCCCGCTTTGCACTCTCCTTGGTCTCCTGGGTCTTCTTGGGACGGCCATTCTTCTTCTCGCCGTTCCCGTCCGCAGCGGCGGCATCCTCAGCTGGTTTGGCGTCGGTTTTCTGTTTCTTGGTGGTGGGCTCCGACACGGCGGGTTTTTCTTTGTCGGTAGGGGCTGATGACGAGTCGTGTTCACGCTTGTCACCTAGACTGGCAGGTTTCTTGTCATCCTCTGCAGGATCGGCTTTGGAGGCTGTCTCGGGGGATGGGGAGTTCCCATCAGATTTGTTTTCTTCCGTTTGCTTGTCAACCTCGGGGGAGGTGGCTTCTGCGGTTGTGGGCTGGCTGTCGCCGTTGGTGGGCTTCGAGGTATCATCTGATGTGCGCAACTAGGCGTTAGTAATTCTGGGTTATTTGACTCGAAGCAAAACACAATGCGAACATTGGGGGTTAGACAGGCGAATGATGGAATAAACGTACCTGTAGATGGGACAGGGTTTGCGGCGGTCTTCGGTTCGGGAGCCATGGCGGAGGACAAGAGGGGGCCTCGTATATAAGAATGGAGGCTATAATTATTGAAGAATTAAAGCTGGGAGGAACTGGGTGGCAAAGCGCAAGCGATAATGCAGAACAATTAATCGTCGTCTACCGATGCACAAACAGATGAAGTGTGGTGGTGCGGGGAGAGAGGAGGTCAGAGAGGAGAGGTGAGGTTGCGCGGTGACGTTTGACTAAGAATGTCGGCAACCTCCAGGGTACTAGCCTGTTTCACGCGAGACTGTCAATCTCGGGTGTTCCCCCGTGGGAGGCATGCCAGCTGAGGGCAGGACAGGGCACGGCAGTGATCACTGGTCATAACATAGCCTGTGGCTCAAGTAAGCATGCCAAGAAGAGGAGAAGAAGACCCATTAGCGTGGCCCCGGTGGAGCAGGATGCGGAGTAGATGATGTTGATGGTGTGACCAGGGGCCACCAGGCATTCTCCCGCTTTCTCGCTTGCAGATCAGGGCTGACGAATCACCCCTCTCCGATCGGCATCAGTTATGTTATGTTCCCAATTCATGACGTCGACCCCGTGGGTTACTTGGGGCGAAATGGAACTGCGCACGGTCGGAAATATACCTAACTGCCTCGTTCCATGTAATCTTCCGCTCCGATGGAAGCGATAACGCTCTTGATCACCCACGATGCTCATGCCAGGGCTAGATCCAGGCGGGCCAGTAAATGCTCTTCTTCGGCCGTCGTATGCAAGGCGGTCTTGGACCCCTGGGTTGAAGTGGGCGTTTTCGCCGGCACGAGCCGCTGCATGGCACGGGCGAGATCTGACGCCGTCTTGATTTGGTCCCGGTCCAGTAAGATGCGCAGGGCATCAAAGCCACAACGCATAAGGTTATCTCGCTGTGCCTCGGGCCAAGACCTCAGCCCATCCGCTGGGAGCCCTACCACAAAGGCAACGAAGGGAAGCGGATCGGGTTGCGTTGGGTGATGGAGGGACACCTTGGCAGATAGTAACGGACTGGGAGCCAACGTCGAAAAAATCGCCGCGAACTCCTCGTACGTAGCCGGAAGAACCTGGTTGGCCTGAGAGGGGACGACCTGCATCATCAGATCATGCAGATGAGCGCCCGACGATCGTAGGACCGACACTTCGGACTGAGCGAGCCCGTAACTCGCAGACGGATACGCTTTACAAGCCCGTATATAGTGCCGAAAAGCCGTGTCCAATCCGCGCCCGTAGTGTGTTTCCGCCGTCACCAGGTCGACTAGCAGGTGGTTGAACAACTTCTGCGCCACGCCCTCTGGAATGCGACCATTGTGTCCTCCTACGTTCTGCTTCGCCATCATTTTCAGCCACAAGAAGACGGTATCCTGCAGGCCTTCTGCAACCATAAACTTCAACAGACACGTCGTCGACCTGCGGGACCTGAACAACAGCTTGCGCGCCTCCGAGTCCGACGCCAACCACCAAGCGACGACTTTGGAGCCCGCCTTGGATTCCTTGAGTGCCTTGGCAAAGCCCGTGCCGGTGTGAGCACTTGCGAGCAATAGCTGGGACTGGAGACAGGTATATAAGTCGGCACTGGTGACAGAACCCGACGCGACCAATTCATCAAAAACCACCATGGGTTCCTTCGCCAGCCTCTGGTCTTTGAGCCGAGGGGGGCCCGGCTGGCCCCGCAGGACGTCCGCTTTGGAGGGGACTACTCGAAACAGAGGATTGTCCAAGATGGTGCGCAGATGGTTGTCGGTCGCATGGGCTGACGAGTTGGGATTCCCCGCGGTTCCCTGCTGCTCCCTTCCATTTGAATCCGCGACCGCAGCGGGGGACGAAGATTGGGGGACGGGGTATTCGTGGTCTAGTTGGCGACGAAAGGAGGACGTAAGGGCGTTGAGGAGTTGCCGGGACTCTCTAGGGGTCCGAGGCAATGGAGCGTGGATGTTTGCCCAAGGTTTCAAACTGAGGATGGCAGTCCCCTTCATGATGATAGCAGGGGAGGCTAATAATCACGAAAATCGACAGAACAGCAAGGGATCAATAGTCATACTCCTCATCAAAGTATCTCTGTGGGGAGGGGGTCCGGTGGATGGTTAGACCTCTTGCAGCATTAGATGTGGATCGGGTTGGTGTAGTTTTGCCGTTTGACGATGAGCGGGCGGTAAGGCTAGGCTTCAGCCTTCTCGTATGATTCCAACGATCCTTAGTGATGGTTTGACCCCAATGACGTGGTCAAAAGTGGTCCAAAAGCAGGGTCTAATAGAGTTGTCTACCTTGTCTATCCATGCAGGGGTAAAACCACCATGTAATTAACCAACGATTAAACTTCACTATTGAATCCATTGAGAAAAGAACGGGATTCAATGGTGATGACGACGAAAACCCCAGCGGTCTCGTATGTAAATTACCAATGATCGAGGACACCCTGGGATCCACCCCGGTAAGGATGGGTAAGCGGGAGGTAAAATACCCTCCGATGGGCTCGCTAAACCGGTGCGCTGGTATAGTAACATAGTCAGTAACATGGGTTTCTTTTCGATCGACCGGGGACTTCCCTGTCATTACCTGACAGTACATCAATACCTCCACCACTCCTGCCAGTTTGCCCCGATCGGACTACACTTTACCATACCTGACCATCTCTCTCTCTCTCTCTCGCTCTCAATTCTCTTCACTTCTTCTTCTCATTCAATCTTTCTCTCTTTTCTCTCTCTTTCTTCCCTCCCTTTTGATACTTTGTTTCCCCCAGTTTCCCCCTTGAATAGAAAAACTCCTTGGACCTTTGTGTCTGCGTTGTTGTTTTCTTTTCCTTTTCCCTTTCACTTCCCTTTTTTGTTTTTCCTATTTTTTCTTCTCTTTGTCTCCTCTTCATTTCTTCACTAGGAATCTGGCGGCCCGCGTGAGCCTGGTATGCTGACTGAACCTTCCCTGCCCCAGGCTTTGCATCTTTCTACCTACTAACTAATCCATCTAGACACCGACTTACCTCCTCTTAACCACCAACCAACTACTACCTCACCTCATTTTTTTTACCCGCTTTTCTTCCACACTAAGCCGCACCTTGTTTTTCCCACACCTCCCCTTCCCACACCTCTTCTCTCCTCCCCCATCCCTCCTCTCCATCTTGGAGATCAACTCGAATTTTTTTCTTTTCCTTTTCTCTCCCAGAACCCCCCGACATGTCTGAAGTCCAATCACGATCTTCTGCCTCCCGGGGTAGGGTATCCGCCCGGGGTGGCCGTGGTGGCTATAGCTCGAGAGGTGGTCGAGGTGGCAGCAGCAGATCGGCCAAGGCTGACAACTCAGACGGCACATTCGCATTCGAGGACGAAGGAGAATTCGGCGAGATGAAGAAGAAATACTCCAACACTCTACCCATGCTGAAGGAGTTGTTCCCCGACTGGACTGACGAGGATCTCGTGTTCGCCCTGGAGGAAGTCGACGGTGACCTCGAACAGGCAATCGATCGCATAACTGAAGGTTCGTTTCAATTTCACCCCCCTCCCCTCTCGTTCCCTTTCTTGTCATCGTTCGTGGAAAAGGGGCTGGGGTGACTGACTGGACCGTCACCATAGGCAATGTCTCTCAGTGGGGAGAAGTGAAGAAGAAGACGACCGAGAAGAAACAACCCAAGGCAAAGGAGGTATCGACTGCTCCGATCGAAACAACTACGATTCCCGCCCGGGGTGGTCGCGGTCGTGGTGGATTTGAGGGTCGTGGTCGCGCTCGCGGTGACCGTGGCCGTGGGGGCCGTGGCGGTCGGGGCGGTATCGTCCATGCCAATGGAAGCCGCCCGGAGAAGTCCGCCGTGACGACCACCACTACCACCACCACTAGCACCGCTGCCCCCGAGACGCCGGCGACCGCGCCCCCGGAGACGAAGACGACGGTCGAGGCTGAGCCCGCCGCGGCCGAATCAGCCGAGACTGGGGCCGATGCATCGAAGACCACCGTGGGCACCAAGAAGGGCTGGGCCAGCTTATTCGCCAAACCCGCTCCCCCCCCTCCCCAGAAGGCCCCGGCCGCCCCTGTCCCTACCGCCGCCCCCGTCCCTCCTCCCGTCCCTGCCCCTGCGGAGAAGCCCGCTGCTCCTGAACCCGTCGTGGAGAAGAAGGAGCCGGAGAAGGCCCCCATCCCGGTCGCCGCTCCCGCTCCGGTCCCCGTGCCCGTGGAGAAGGGCCCCGAGCCCGTCATCCCCAAGCAGAGTGAAGCCCCCGTGGTGCCCGCTCCCGTGCCCGCTCCCAAGGATGACTTGACGCGGAACAACCTGGCCCAGATCCCCGATGTGTCCCCCCCGGCCCCCACGGCCACGGCGGCGAGCACCGTGGGCAGCCACTTCGACCAGGCCACCCACGTCGCCAGCACCCCCTCGCGTCAGCCCGCCGGCGGCGTTCCGACCAGTGCCTTCAAGCAGACCCCCCGGGGTGCCGCGGCCCGCCGCGTGATGGAGCAGCAGGAGGCCGTGGTCATGCCGGGCAACCATGCCGTGGACCGGGCTGCCGTGCAGTTCGGCAGCATGGGATTGAACGGCGATTCGACCGAGGTCGACATCGACGAGAACCGCGAAGAAGCCGAGACGCGCGCTCAGCCTCCGCAGCACTCCCCCGTCGCCGCCCGGGCCTCCCTCCCTCCGTCCACCCAGCACCAGGCCCCGGCGGAGACCCCCGTGGTCCCGCGTCCCGCCCCGGGACTGCCCCCCGTCCCGCAGACCTCCGCGGCGGACACCTCCTTCGACTTCGCCCGCTACACCGATGCGCAGAAACCCTACGATCCCTTCACCCAGCCCGTGACCCAGCAGCCCCAGCCGCAGATCCAGGAGCCGTTCGCCAATCAGGCCCCGGTCCAGCCCACCGTCACGACCAACAGTGACTTCACCCCCTTCTACTCCATGGACCAGCGTCTGCCGTACAACTACTACGGCGGCTACAGCCAGTCCCAAGACGCCTCGTTGGCCCAGCGCGCCGCCGCCGGGTTTGGCGTGTCGGGTGCCGAGGCGCAGCCGCACGTGCCCACCACCCAGCCCCCCGGCCGCTACGGTCACGTGGAAGCCCCCAACAGCGGCCACACCACCCCCAACCCCACGCTTCCGGGAGCCGCCACCCAGACCCCGACCGCGCAGCACATGCCGGGCCAGAGTGCCCACGCGGCCTACGGCTACGGGTACCCCTACTACTCGAACCCCCACTACGCCTCGTACATGAGCCAGATGACCCAGCACCAGTACGGCCGGAACCGCCCCATGTACGACGACGCGCGCCGCTACGACGACCACTACATGCCGCACAGCAACCAGTACGGATACGGCAGCCAGTACGCGCCGTACGGCAAGGGTGGCATGTACAACCAGCCGCAAGGCTTCAGCTACGACCACTCGTCCTCGCCCGCGACCGCCGGCAGCTTCAACCAGGCGATGCCGGGCCGGGATTCGATGTACGGCGGCCGCACCGGGTCGGCACAGCCCTCGGAGACCCAGCAGACGGCGGCGGGCAGCACGGCCTTCGGGTCGGGCATGTCGGACGTCTTCGGTCGCAGCCCCGCGGGCTTTGGACAGAACCAGCCCATGTCGCAGCAGCCGCCGGTGACCGCGGAGGAGGCCCCGAAGAGCTTCGACACCCCCAAGGCGGCGGGACCGAGCCCCTCGCTGGCCCAGGCCAACCGTCCGGGCTCCGCGGCCAACAACGTGCCGGGTCAGCCCCAGGCGCAAACCAGCCTGCCGCCGCTGCAGGCCCAGCAGGCCCAGCAGGGTTTCGGCGGGTACCCACAGCTGGGACCCCAATACGGGGCCGGACTGGGCTCCCTGGGCGCGCACCAGGGTGGCGCGGGATCGCAGAGCCATCACCAGGCCAGCGGCTATGGGAACTACGGGGGCGCGGCCGGGTTCGCGAACTACTACGGTAACAGCGGCCGCGGCGGCTGGGCAGGCAACTATACTCATTAAAGGGGATCCAGGCGTTGAAGTTCTCTGATCATCACTATTCGTTTTGTTCCGGATGATGAAATCTGTTGATTCGCTTTATCACTTTTTTTTTTATTCAATGAGGATGGCCAGCTGGGATGAAAACAAAATCATTTATATCATTTTCTTTTTTTTCCCTGCTCTGCGATGTTCCCCTTGGTGCTTTTATCTTTTATCCTTACTCTGTCTTTCCATTTCCATCAAACTTGTTCCATGTGTAATCTCTACTCTCTATGGGGGAACTTGGCTGGTGTCGTTTTCGTTTTCTTTTTCTTTTTTCTTTTTTTCTTTTTTTTTTCTTTCCCTTGGGAAATATGGTCTCTCCCGGATTTGCGTTTTCACGAAGCTGTACTGAACTGAGCAAAAAAACCAGAATTTGATTTTTTTCCTCATTTTACACGGCCGACGACGATTTTCATTTTGCCTTTTTCTCTGTCGTTCTCGTCTTGTCTCGTTCATGGTCTTGCCTTGCATATCCTTTTCCGCTTCCTGTGTATTACATATTTGGGTTCAGTTGGGAACAAACTCCATGCGTTTGACTGGGTTAGGGACGGATGGGAATGGAACGGAATGGAATGGACTGGGATGGGAATGGGGAAAATGCAAAGAATTGACTTGGGATGGTGTTATATATGATCTCGTAGTTATAAGACTTGGTGTAGTCCCAGGAAGGGAAGGATGTACTGATAATATAAATTGCCAGTCTTCATATCAAGAACGCCACATTAGTATACAACGCATATATCATCAAACAGCACTATACCCCCGTCTCGAAGTCTCCCCCATCTTGAATCCCTCCCCATCAACACCAACAAACCCCCCCTCCGTATTGACAATCGACCCCGGATGCCACACGCCCCAAACAACCATGACAACCAGCATCAACAGCCCATCAAAAACATACACACACCACTCATTCGCAAGCAAATAGCCCTCCTGCCCCATCGCATACTCGACCACCCGAATCACAGACCGCACTAACACAAGCGCACTCACCACATAAAGCACCCTCAAATGCCTCTTCCACTCACCCCCTTCACTCCCATCCTTATCCTCCCCACCAGCAGAACCAGTAGACTCCGCCCTCCTCACCCTCCCCTCAAAAACAACAGCACTCACCATAAACCCCCCCAACAAAAGAACCTGCACCACCAACCCCCCAATAACAATATTATTCGCCATCCCGGCCTTTTCGCCCTTCCCCATCATCCCCGCCGCGGACCCCTGCACGATAAACGACACAATGTCGCCCATCACGAAGACCTTTGTCTGCCAGGCGGGCCGGATGAGTGCGTGTTGCGCTCCACCGGGGACGCTGCGGATGATGCGGCCCAGCGCCATGTAGATGGAGGCGGCGAAGAGGACGGGCGCGAGTAGGATGAGGATGTTTTGGAGGATGTAGGGGATGAGTTGGGATGTGCGGTTGTGGGCGATGGCGCGGATTATGTAGCCTTGGACCTCGACTGGTTGGTTTTGTTAGTGTATTATATATATGGTACATGGGTGTATAGAGTGGGTAGATATGTAGATATTGTGGGTAGGTAGTAGGTAGGGAGGTAGGGAGGGAGATGAACGTACACACTCCGCCGATAGCGAAGGGGATGCAGAATCGTGCTCGCGTCTTGCATATTTTCCAGATGTGGAAGAGTGTTGGGAGCAGGAAGAGGAGAGCGAAGATGACCGCTGCTGGAATGGAGGGCACGTATTTCCAGAGGTAGTAGGTTCCTTTGTATGGTTCGAGTTGGGCCATGTCGGTGGGTATCAAGGTGAGGACTGGTTAGGGTTGTGGATGGATATCTGGAGATTGGAAGATGTATTCTCGACGACGTCTGGGTTTATATCCCCATCTCTGTCTGTCTATCTGCTAATCGATATCTGTAGGCATCACAATAAGAATACGCGGAAAGAAATCTGATTGCATCTTGTTCTGCAGTGATCCACGAAGTAGATCTATTTTCGTGCCGTCAACGCTATAATACCCGCGTATAGATCTAGTGAAACAAGCCACCATGGTGGAGTCGGGAACTGGTCTGTGCATACGCGTATTTCCACTTCCACTGCCCCGTTAGTGTCAGCTTATCTCGATGATCTACACTCATTGATGGTGTCAAGGCTTGATTGTTTCACCCTGTGGGTTTTAGCGAGGCTGGACCTGGGGCTTGGTTTTTTTCTTTAATCCTTCTGAGGCGCAGTGACTCTAGTTTGGCCGCTCACTTGTTAGTTTGTCATTTGGCAGAGCTTGGTGAGGCTTGTCTGGTGGTAGTGGATATAGAAATTATGGTCCGCAGGGCTCATCGCAAGTCCAGAAATGGTTGCCTGGAATGTAAGCGGCGTCATGTCAAGGTCAGTCCTGCATTATTCCGGATACTGTCAAGATACTAACTCACGTGCCAGTGCGACGAACGCCGTCCGATCTGCTCCCACTGTTCCATCGCAGAGCGAGCATGCGAGTACCGCTCTCCACGACTCCCCACAGTAGAAGAAAGCCCATCACCACCATCGACAGCACCAGGAACATCACCACCAACACCAATCAACCTCCACGAGACTATATCCCCCCAAGGACCCCCCGCAAACCTCCTCCACCTCCAACTCCTCCACAACTTCACAACCTCAACCTCTCAATCCCTCACATCACCCCCCGACTCCGACTCCCCCCTCTTCACCCCAAACCTGACCTCCCTCGCCCTCTCCGCCCCCTACCTCGCCAACGAGCTCCTCGCCCTCTCCGCCCTCCACATAAGCGCAACCCAACCCTCCCTCCGCAAATCCTACCACCACCACGCCGCCCAGCTCCAAACCCACGCCCTAGCAGCCTTCAACGCCACCCCGGACCTCGTCCCCATCACAAAAGACACCTGCGCCCCGCTCCTCCTCTTCTCGTCCTGTCTGGGCCTACACGCCCTCTGCGATACGCTCGTCTTTCGCGATCTCCCTGATAGGGATACGGACTTTGGACATTTTATCGCTCGCTTTGTGAAATATCTCCGGTTGCACCATGGTGTCCGTGCTGTTACGGGATCGGCGTGGTCGATGCTTCGTGCGTCTGTCTTATCACCCGTTTTAGAGGGAAGCGTTGCCCTCTTCGATTGGAATGGCGGTGGTGGTGGTGGTGATAGCAACGGCGATGACAGCAATAACCTAGCACCCCCATTTCGCCACCTCCGGGACCACATCACCGCCCGTCGTCTCGGCGCAGACTCAACCCGCGTCTATCACCAGACGATACATGCTTTGCAAGTCGCAGCCAACGCATCGCGCCTGTGTCTAGAAAACGACGACGTCAACATCAACAGCGACAAGGAAAGCCAAAGGGAGAAAAAATCAAACCCCAACGGCGTAATAGCCTGGCCCGTCCTCATTTCCCCCTCCTACATCGACCTGCTTATGCACGGGCGTCCCGAAGCGCTGGTGATATTAGCGTGCTACGGGGCACTGCTGCACCGCTTCTCAGGGTTGTGGATATTTGGCGATGGGGGCCGGTTTTTGGTTGAGTCTGTGGGGGAGTTTTTGGGGAGCGAGTGGGAGGCGTGGTTGGTTTGGCCGAGGGGGGTTTTGTATGGGTATTGAGTTGGATTTCATGTAAGGATGGTGGGTGTATGTATATATATTGTAGATACGTGTATGGTGTGTATGCGGTGTGTGTATCTTTGATTGTGCTTGTTATTGGGTTCCGTAGGACTTTGAACGTGTATGGATTGTTTAGAGTTGATTGTTGATGGTATATATATTTTGCAGTACTAAGCAGCTACTCGCACACGAGAACTATACGCCCAGCTAAAGGTTGGAAGAGTACACCTTTGGTTTCACTGCTGTCGTTGAGATTAGATTTGTTTGGTAGGTATTGATCGTTTTAGGCTGAGTTGGGCCTATCCCATATCGACTGACCGATATATAAGTACAGTATACAGTAAAATCCCAGTGCGCGATGGATTTGAATTCTGTAGCTCAATAAAGACAAGCTTCCTTGTGTCAAGGGTCATAATATACTTCATCCTGTCAGAGGCAACTACTATACTAGATGGAAGAGACAAGTAACGTGGGATCGTTCTATGTACAGGATGCTCAATAATAGTTAATGACACGATCCCAAGGAAGACTCGGAAGATTCCTATCCAAAGCACAAAAAGGAAACGCGGTAACGAGAACAATCTATAATCACCAGGGTCACAAGTAGACCCAACCCAGCAAATGAAACCCAAAGAAAATCCCATCACGTAAATGACGCGTGACCCCAGGTAATACCTATACAGCTAAAATCCCGCACTCTATCCAATCCGAGACGTGGATTTATTCCGGCACCCCCAGTCCCTTGCCGGGCACGTCGATGCTGTGATACGGGGGCTTGGCGTCCACCGCTTTGGACGGGTCGAATCGCCACACTCCACCTGTCTTGTCACTCTCCAGCGACTCCAGGTTCGCCCTGCTGAACAAATTCTGGAACTGCTCGTCGGTCCCGTCCACGCGCTTGAAGAACCGGCGCTGCCATTCCGTATTTTCGGAGTTCTCGACCTTGCGGAGTTCTCGCTGGGCATTCTCAATCGTCCCCTTGGCCACAGACACCGAGTCCATGTCGCCCTTGAGGATCCCGCCGGCCACGTCGCGCCACGCCCGCCGACTCTCGTACAGGTCCTGCTCCTCCAGCGGGGCGACCTGGAGCGGCGTCGTCGGGTTCTCATCGACCGTGTACGTGTCGATCACGTCCTTCGTCCGCGCGTTCTTGATGCTGAAGCTCTTCGACCACTGGCCGTCGGCAGTGTAGAGGGGCTTCTTCTCCCCTTCGCTTTCCTTGTAGAGCGAGGCGTTGAAGGTGTTCTTCTTTCCGCTCAGCCAGCCTTTGCCGGAGTAGTCGATCTTGGCAGTGTATCCAGTGCTGCTGACAATTCGAGTGGTCTTCTCCAGCTCCATGAACGGGGTTCCGTAGATCAACGACTCGACGTGCAGGTACGGAAGCGTGATGAGGTATTGTTCTTGCTGGGCTGGATCTTGGGGGTCCGCCCCGGGAGGAGTCAGAGTCAGCAGGGCATGGCCGATCTGCTTGATCTGGATTGTGTTGGAAAAGGAGGCTTTCTGTGCGTTGTAACCTTGGAGCTGTGGAGACCTGTCAGGAATTTTTTCCGCTTAATCGATCGGGAGTGCAATCGTAGGATACTCACCTGAACGCCGTGCTTTTCATTTTGGATGGCATAGGCTGTCGCCGGAGGATGGTGGCTGAGCAAACAACAAAGTCAAAACAAGGTTCTGCGACGGGTGTCGACCGGGGAGGGATGTTTATAACCCACCTGACTTGTTCACTGATGAGAGTGGTCTCGCCCACCTCCGGGTCCGAGCTCCACTTTCCGATGAAGAGCTCTCCGAGGAAGGGGTTCAGGGGCTTCTTCTCACTGCCCAGTTTCTCACTGCGGCTGCAATATTGCTGGTGGAGGGTGGTGAGGAACCACTTAAGGACGAGAAGGGCTCTCTTCTCTGGGTCCGCCTCGCGGGCGGGAGCCACGAAGATGGAGGGGTGTTCGGCCCAGTAGGCGGAGTATTCCGTGAGGGAGGTCGGGGACAGAATAAAAGGAGGAGCGGTCAAGGACGAGAGATCCCCGTTAAAGGAGGCGATCGACTGGGTAGGATCCAACTGTTAGTTTCCTAGGCGGCAAGAGAGGAGTGATGGGAGGGGCGGTGGGGTATCCAGTGTTGGACAGGCCAGCTCCTAGATGCCAGGACCATTTGCAACGACTATTTGCAGAGTGGACTGGTGGAAGAGTGGGAGTAGGTGGTGGGTAATGTCTCATACCTTAAGAAAACTGGACCAAGACCCTTTACTGCCGGCAGGCACACCCTGTGAATCCTTACTGGAAGACATTTCTTCAGGACTGGGGGGCAAAGGGGGGAGGGGTAGGTATCAAGGGAAAAATATATTTGTTTGAACAAGGGGGAGGGGGAGGAACAAAGGGATAGAGAGAGAACAATAGAGTTGAGGATGAAGAAGTTGGTGGAGGAAGAAGAAGAAGGATGGGGCGGGGAGGAAAGATTAGGTGGGGAGCCAGGTGGTAGTAACTTGTTAAGGTACAAGGGATAAAGAGAAGAGACGGATGGGGAAATGAAAGGGCGACGTCATGGCCCCGTGATCTGGTCCCGTGATTGGCCGCTGAATTCAGGGTCTCCCTTCCCATACCATACTGTATTTATCATTTAATGCTGGGAATATACGGTATTCCCTGTATTCACCATACACACCAACATCAGGTGTTCTTCTGTATACCTTCTCCCCCTCCTCTCTCCCTCTCTATACACCTTGACTCCTCTCGTACATCTGTCATTCTGTGATATCAAACATCATTATATACCACAATACTGATGACGAATCAAGCCCAATCGAGCAAAGAACCGGTCCAGTTCGATCAAACGGATGAACCACATGGGTGGAGTTATCCAGGTCGTTTCAATTTAATGCCTCATCTTTAGTATCTTCATTCTGACCTCTACTAATGATATTCTGATTGAAATCCCTCAGCTTATGATGGGCTCGATGGACTCGTCGAGGTCCTCTCATTGTTCGGTTCAACTGTTGCCTAACACCATTCCACTATCCCACTAGACTGGACGGGTCTTATACTTGGGGGTGGGTGGAGACTCGGATGAACAACGATGATGAAAACCTAGCGCGAAAGATGATGAACTCAAGCCTGCTAAGGAAGGGAAAGCTAATCTCTATCCCATGCGAGAAATGTCTGGATTGAACAGCACTGGATTCTCCATCCAACGAATAGAGTCCCCATGAGGGAACTTATCCCAAGCGGGACAAGAAGTGTTGAAGAGTGAATAATTCACTCGGCAAATGGATAATGGATGGTTCATAACTGTACAACAAGGCGGACCTACTCGGGAAATCGGATGAACGCTGACTGGATTCGCGTTGTCATCTCGAAAATCCTTCCTGGGTCCTCGGCCATTAGTCTTGAGCTTGCCAAAAAGCCAAGTCTCCATCGATGGAGATGCTAAGACCGATGGCTCCCTTGGGATCGTTCCTCCCCTTTGCAGCGTCGCCCCTCGTTGGGCGTCTAGAGGCCCAGCTCGTCCACCGTGTCGATCATGGTCCCACTTTTAGGCCAAGCTATCATCGATAGACACCCGGCCGCTTTTCCCGAGTATAGTGCCGATGGGCGTGACCGGATTGGACGACTACCATTGGTTGAGCAACGACCTCGCCGTCCAATTTCCCGGGATTATGTATAGGACTGGCGAGAATATGCCTCGCAGAGTTCCTAAACTAGGCGAGGATTGCGTGCCAGGCTCCAACCACATCGACCAGAACGCAACCCAGGCCCCATCAGAGGGTTCTGCTGGCCATGTCGTGCTGATGATGTGACGATAGTTCTGCTGCCCATTGGATATTATCCTCTCAAAACACGCAATGGATGGGGACAGGAGGCTTTATCCCCTATTTTGACTGCGTGTTTGAGGACGCATGTGGTTTCAGGATGTCCTCCGGCCAATGGAGCTGTCGTGCCGGTTTTCGTTGCTTTTCTCGTCTCTAGTTTCGCTGCAGTTTCACGAATTTACTTCGTTGATCCATTCGTTCGTGCCGATGAGCAATCTTGGAACACTGTAGATTGAACATCTTCATTTCCTTCCACTCGTTAGTGGCCGACCTGGCCCAACTTGGAAAGTTATATACTGTCCTTCTAGCCTGAACCCAGTCTATTCTCTATTCTTTACTATGTCAACAATTTTCTATTCCAACTTTATGGACCGAATTTCAATGCTTCAAAGTTTGTCATAGACTATGTCAAACACTCGTTTGAACCAGGACCCAGACACCCCAGAAGGGATGTCAGACAGATCTTCGACGCACTCGTCCATTACCCAGGTCCCACCCCAGGCACTGTTGGACAACGGACGGGGATCCAGACATGGGCCATATTTTGACTCACTACCAAACACGCCCAACACCTTGGTTCAAGACCAGGGACCTATGTCCCATCATGACATGGCCATGGCCAAGGATGGCTACGAGGAGAAGGACGCCGCACAGTACGAGCGTTTTTCGCCGGCGCGGAAAGCCGTCATTGTCTCGATACTCTCGTACTGTGCGTTCCTGGCACCCATATCGTCCACGGCCATCTTGGCGGCAGTACCTGAGCTAGCAAAGACATATGAGACCACGTCGGACATCATCAACGCGAGCAACGCCCTATATCTGGCCTTCATGGGCATTGCCTCGACATTCTGGGGGCCTGTCAGCCAAGTCTGGGGTCGTCGTCCGGTATGTCACCCGCAAAGCATAGCATTCCTTTGATTGTTGACAAGTATCTCCGCCCGTAGATATTCATCGTCAGCGGTTTCTTGTTCTTTGCATTTACCCTCGCCACCACTTTGTCCCCGAATCTCCCAGTATACTGTGTCTTCCGAGTCTTGACAGCCTTTCAAGGCACGTCCTTCCTCGTGGTTGGTAGCTCGGCCATCGGAGATATCTACGAGCCACGAACCCGAGCCTCCGCAATGGGATGGCTCCTATCAGGCAGCATGACAGGACCTGCTCTGGGGCCTTTCTTCGGCGTAAGTTCCTACACCCCCACACCACCAAGGCTTAACCCAACTGATCCTGAACAGGGCGTGATCGTAACCTTTCGACCCTGGCGAGTCATCTTCTGGCTCCTCACAGCAATGACCGGCCTCGCCTGCATACTCTTGATCTTTTTCTTCCCCGAAACCATTCCCGCAACAACAAAGCTCGAGTTGCAAGGCCGTCCCCTCCCCACCCAAGCCAAGCTTCTCTGGCAACGCGTCTCCCCCACCCGCGTCACGGGCCTCCTTATATCATACCCCAACCTCTTCCTCACCGGCCTCGCAGCCGGCGCCCTCGTCTGGAACCAGTACGCTCTGCTCACGCCCATCCGCTCGCTACTCAACCCACGCTTCCACCTCACGACCCCCATCCAAGCAGGCCTCTTCTACCTCGCCCCAGGGGCGGGTTACCTAGCAGGGACCTTCGTCGGCGGACGCTGGGCAGACCACGTCGTCCGCAAGAGCATCCACCGACGCAACGGGCTCCGCATCCCAGAAGACAGGCTTCTCTCATGTCTACCCTACATCTGCATCGCCTGCCCCGGCTGCATCCTCGTCTACGGCTGGACGGTCCAGACCGAAGTCGGCGGAATCATCGTCCCCGTCCTCGCCATGTTCGTGCAGGGCGTCGCCCAGCTCTTCTGCTTCCCCAGCCTCAACACCTACTGCCTCGACGTCATGCACGACAAGGGCCGCAGCGCTGAAGTCGTCGCTGGTAACTACGTCTTCCGCTATGCCTTTGCCGCCCTGGGAACAGGTGTCGCCCTCCCTGCTATCGATGGTCTCGGCGTCGGCTGGTTCAATACTATATCTGCGCTGTTCTTGGCACTCAGCGGCGGCGGGGTGTGGTTGAATGCTGTGTTTGGGCCTAGATGGCGTGAGGCTATCGACGCGAAGCAAGAGAGAAAGATTGCGAGACAGAAGGGGATAGAGTGATACCTTTCCACTTTTTTTCTTTTCTTCTCCTTAGACGCATACTTGCATTCCTTTTTCTATTCTCTTCCCCACTCCCTCTTCTTCTCTTTGTCTTATTTACTCTCCTCCTTCTCTTCTTTACTTTATTGCCCCTTGTCATATTGTTGTCATCCTTGACCTATTCTTGATATGTGCACATATACCACATCTTTCGTAAACTACAGCTTTTGTGTGGACCCTCATACGGCAGTTACTATACCGTACTACTACTCGAGGATCTGACAAGGATTCCACACCATACCCCGCATAAACACAAGAAAATCGCCAGGGTCATCCCTACTCTTACATGAAAGGTCTAAAAAGCTTCGCCGGACTTCTTAGATGGCCACAAATGCACACAAAAGGGTTTAGATGGGGTTGAAAAGGAGAATGGCGGAAAAGAAGAGTTAGAAAAGAATGTTATGGGTTGTGCATTGTACATGTAACGATCCATCTATTGATGGACTTGGAGTCACATAACTCCATCGCTCCCCCCCTCCCTCTCTAAAAGGATATAAGATCAATGCAAGAAAAAATCGTAGACGCGGCCTAGTAGTAAACCCGGCCTAGGCCGCGTCGTACTTATCCTCGGGCATAGCTTCAACCCTACTGGTGAGCGCTTGTCACCTAGTGTTTCCTGAAGTACACAGGGGACTTACTACAACAATACGAAGAATCCGTGCAAGGCCACGCTACATCGAGCGTGTGTGGTAGAGGTAGACTGATTTCTTGTAGATCGAACAACATTTCTGTGGTGTTACGTGACTCCTGATATGTTCTGAATTTTCAAGTACAATTGATTCATCCAGCCAGCGCATTATCCCCTGTTCTCGATTTCCAGGACGATGAAACACCCGGCTTGCCGTTCACACAGTCTCTCCGCCTCAACAGAAAGGTCGCTTCTGGCGCGACAGAGGTCGTGTTAATCGTGTTGATCACCCGGTAGGTATTCCCCTTAAGCTTAACGTCGAACTTGGAAAAAATCATGTAGAGTATGATCTTGATCTCATGGATGGCAAGTTGCCTTCCGGGACACGCCCATCGGCCCAGCCCAAACGTCAGGAACTCGGGGGTGCCCTGGACCGCCGGCCGTCCCTTCTCTACCCACTGGAAGCCTTTGAAGACAGTTCCCTCCGTCCCGTAGTTGTCAGGATGCTGGTGCGCCCGGGAGATAAGCACAAGGCACATGGCGTTTTTCGGCAGCACGTATGGTCCCACACGGACAGGCTGAGTGGTCTGGCGCACGGGGCCCCACGAATCGCCCTTCGTTCGGAGGACCTCACGGATGAAGGAGTCGAGTAGTGTCAGTTGGGTGAGTTTCTTGACGTTCAGGCACTCGCCCGCCGGGCTGACCTGCTCCCATTCCTCGCGTAAAGCAGGCAGGTACTCATCCTGCTTCTGCGTGAGCTTGATGAGGATCCAGAGGCCGGCAACGACAGTCTGGTGGATGGAGGCAAAGATGAGCCCGACGCAGAGGATGACACAGCGGAAGAATCCGGCTAGCGCAAACCACCCGGTCGTGCCGTGGTAGTGTTTCGCGAGCAGGATGTCAAAGAGTGGGACGAACTGGCCGTGTTTGGCGGCGAGACCGTTCTCCAGATGCTTGTTCCGGGCTTTCCACAGCGAAGGAACGACGTGGAAGAAAAACCTTGGAATGATCGTGAAGAGGACGGCGGAGAGTCCATTGACCAACACCCACAGCCATGGGAGCCATGCCCACTCCTGCGTATTCTCATGCATGCCGGTCATATTGGCCATGGCCACCGCCACCGCGGCGAAATGACCCGCTACGATGGAGGACGCGTGCGCGGGTCCGAGGATCATGACGACCATGGCGTGGGCGACGGCGAGCTGTATCCGATGGAAGATGTCAGGAAACTCGATGGCCGTCTTGTCGACGGCTGGGTCGGGCAGGTCATCCGCCAATCGGTCGAAGTATTGCTCAAAGACGGGAAAGATCTGTTCAATAATGGCATTCATGCGCGGCTGGACGTTGTTCTCCACCAGACTGTCGACATCGCGGACGAAGGCGCCGTTGTCAAAGAGTGCCAGGAAACCTAGATGAAGCAGCTCAAAGGCTGCCTTTTCGAATGTAAAGTTCTTGGTGTCGGTGAGAACCTCGTGGGCATATCGGTGGTCAATGACATATTCTTTGCGGCCGTGTCTGGGGACGATAATCACTGGGCCGTGCTCATCCAAGGCCTTGCTGTATACCTCGTTGACCTTACTGGAACGGCGAATTTCACGGGAGATATGGACCACCGGAGGAGCAAGAGCGTCAAGGGAAGTCTCAGACGTCAGCTGCGGCAGTGGTGTAAACATAGCTGGGTCAGCTGGTGTTGCGGTGGAGGGACAGGGAAGGCGGGGGACTAAAGGTATATCAGAAAAAAACAGGATGGCGGGGCGCCTGACATAAAAAAAAATGAGTTTGAATTCTAGATGATAACATTGCATTCTTGTGAGTCGACCCCTGTTATTTGTACATGGATCAAGGCTTGCTGCCAGGATATCTTTGGTCTCAAGGCCCTAGTGAATGATGTCTAATGGTTAGAATGTTATGTGATGGGTAAGATCGACACCATGAATGGACAGTCTACCTGCAGATGAGACTACCAATATTGACACCTCCGACCCCATTTACACCCCGTACACCTTGCTCACGTATGCTATTCAATTTCAGATACAATCCTTCCCAGCTCACTGACAAGCTGACTCTGACATGCATACCAGGTAAACAAAGTCACTATCCATTCGAATTCCGCCCCCTGGGTTCCTTTTCTGCTTTCTTCCCGCCACCATTCTCTTAAAGCCTCCGAAAAGTTATCACTATGGAAAGAAAATTACTCTCATAATGTGACTGAATTCTCATTGTCGGCGGGTGTGGTCGTCTTGGCCACTTCATAGTCCAGCCCAATCCTTTACTCTCACTAGCACTGTTTTTAGTTAATAACGCTGTGACATATGTCCTCCTCTGCCCAAACGTGGTTAGCGGAAGTATATCGCCCGGTGGCGTTGCGTACATCCAACAAAAGCATCGTGCTGATTACATGGCGGAAATATTATCCCGGTCCTAGCGGAGTGTAGAGGGTGCACCTGGCGGTCAGGAATCCCTGTTCAATCGTGATAGGCTCTGTTTATCTTTGTTTGAGGTTGACCCTATGCGTATATGAATAGGCCGACATCTTGGTAACCCTGACGCTCCCACACAACTCCCCATGTTTGGATAATATTTTCCAATAGCCGTCCTAACCCAGAAGAACATACTACTATTCATTCCTCCCGCTCCCACCCGAAGCACCAGTCTTGGCCAACACAAACCGCCTCGCATCTGCGCGCCCCTTCTCGACATCCACAAACATGATAGCCACCATGGCCGTTGCGCAAATGGCAAACAGAAACGGGAAGCCCATCCAGTTGTTCTGGGTGGTGTTGATAATGACTTGGATGACGTTGGGGCCGATAATAGATGACTAGATCATATTCCTCGATTAGTACATATATCCCAGTTAACAGATCAGTAGGCAAGAAAAAGAACATACAGCGCGGTTGGTGATGCCAAATAGGGCAAAGAACATATTGTCGTAGCCGGTGGGCATTAGTTCTGAGATCATGGTTTGGGCATACTATATATTCAGTTAGTACATTTCTTATCATGTATAGTACTTGGGTACTAGTCTGTTGTCTTCATCTTCCAACCAAGGGGGGGTGACATACAGCATAATACGGCGCCTGGAATAGCCCGAAAACAACATTGTAAAGATAAAACTCCCACTACTACAGTCAGCTTAGAAATGAAAAGAGAGGGAAGCATGACAAACCCGATGATGATACCCAATCTTCCCCGTCCACAGTCCCACCATCCCCCACAGCGGGATCAACACGCTGAACAAGTTGGTGACGAGGAACATGCGCTTAGTGCGGATGCGAAAGTATTGCTGGATGTACCAGAAGCCGAAAGTGGACACGATGGAGCAGACGGCTTGCGTAATGCCGAGGTAGGTGATTTGGAGGAAGGAGAAGGCAACTTGGTTGGTTTGGATGATGGAGACGAGGGTTCCTGTTCTATCAATTTTTTTTTCCTCTCTTGTTTTAAATCATAGGGAGAGGAGAGAGGTGAGGGAAAATACCAGTTGTGTTCAACCCATCCGCCAGCAGAAAATACGCTACAAAATACAAAAACGTCTGCGGGAGAGCGCGTACCTCTCGCAGGGCCATCCACAACTGCTTCAGACCGATAGTAGCGTAGTTAGAGCCTTTGGGGACGTCTGGACCGGGACGTTTCTGCTGGAAGAGGAACCACCAGACACCGAGGACGACCCAGTCTGCTTTCATTAGCATATCTTAATAGTTAACAGATCATAAAGTCAAGCCATACATGAATTCGTCAAGCAAAGCGCTAGATTGTTGGCAAATTCGTTACCCTGCATGGGTAGCAGCACGCTCAGATTGAGGACCAAGGTCAGAAGGTAGCCGATATTGCTGTGGGCGGTGGAGACGTTGCTATGTAAGTCAGCAGGAAGTCCTCATCCAAGATAGGGGGGAAAGAGGGAAAACCTTATGTGATTTCTCTCCATCGACTCCAAAGCATCATACTCCTCTTGACTGATGTTACCATCGCGCAACTCATCGCGTGCCTTTCGCACCCGCGGCATCTGTCGCGCTAGTCTGGGAAACACGGCAGCGTAGAAGACCAACGTCGCGCCATAGGCAACATAAGAGACGACGTAGAGCCCCATCGCCACCGGCCACTGGGACGGCTGACGGACGGCCATCATCCCGTACTGCAGGGCCCAGCAGACGACCGTTAGCGCTAGGAGCAGCCAGCGGCCGAAGAAGCCGTAGTCGGCGGCGCTGCCGAGCCAGATAAAGATGACGGTCATGAAGGCGAAACAGAGGCCGTCGGCAATGAGTATAACGGAGGAGACGCTGCGGGGCCCGCCCGTCCAAGGCACGACGCAGGGTGACGATTCGGTGCAGGGCTTGGGGGGGTTGGTGTGCGGTTGCCAGCCTACCTGGTTGAGAGCCCATTGGAAGCTGATCCGTTAGACAGGGAGCATAAGCGGAGTGCTTATGGAACTTCTGGAATGATCCACATACAGGGCTTTGGTATATGTCCCTGGACCGACTCCGTTGTCGCCTGGATGCGGTGAGCGGCTGATTGAAGTAAAGTAGTAGGGGGGAGTTACCATTGTAGTAGAGATAATAGGACCACAGTTCCCGACGTGTTGTCGGTGGCTGCTCACCAAGCTCAAAGGTCCCGAAGAGGCGCTCATATTCTGTATCTTCGTGGTCTCTCTCCTGGGACGCTGTGGTGGTGGTGGTAGTGGTGGCTTTACCAGTGGAAGAATAAGCGGGATTAGGGCTTGGATTCCTCATGTCTTCGTTGTTTTGAGTCATGATGGCTGGAACGAGGCTAGATACTTAGGAGAACATGAGCTCAAGACTAGGGGAATTGATAGAATGAGCCATAGTGGACGGAGGGTTGGTGGGTGGAAGGAGGTGCTCCTTGTCGCGCAACACAAGGATTGGCCCCGCATTCTCGAACGAGCGCGCCTTGCTGTAGACAGTACAATACATCCTGTGATGACATAAATAGGGTCCTAGAACAGTGATAATTATGCAATGTGGAATCAGTGATCCCTTGGCATGCAGAGTGTTCTGTAACTGCACATACAATTGTGACAGATCATCGATATCATTATTGATCATTCTCGTCAATTCCTCCCCAACGTAGCCTGACGTCTATTTGCAAACATGTCTAAATGTGAACCACCTTCCACACATACAACCATAGTCTTCAACCAGATATACAGGTATCTCAAAAACATAACATAAACCTAGAAGAATAAATGAAATAAGATAAACCAAATATTACATCAAACTCGACGCATAATCCATCAGATTAATATGCGCACTCGCCTTGATCGCCTTGATCGCAGGCGCAAAATACGGGATTTCCTCCCCTTTGTACTCGCAGCGAGTGCCCTGGACGTCGATGGTGACCTCGCCCAGGCCGTCGCCGTCCCCGAATACGCCCTGCTGGATGAGCAGGTCCATGTCCAGGTCGCCCAGCATGACGAGTTCACTGCTGGGTTGCTTGAGGGTGAGATTAGGGATGTCGATGTAGCCGAGGTCGGAGCCTCCCATGGAGAGATTGAAACTGACGGAGCCCTATGATTGAGTTAGTATAGTCAAGATACTGGGGGTCATATCCATGGAGACATACCATCTCGACGGAGAAAGGAGTCGGGTTCTTGAGCACGACCGTGGCGTTGACGTTGTAGCCTTCTTTGGTCGGGGGTTTTAGGAGATTGACGCTGGTGACGTTGAAGCTGCCTGGGGTGTTGACAAATTCTATATCGGTCAGTGCGCTGATCGTGGCCATATAGTCTGGTCTACTCACTTTGTACATCGTAGCCTGAACCAGTTAGCATCTATATCAATATATTATAAGGGGGGGAGAACACACCCTTCATCTTCATCGTCTTATGAATATCCAAATGCGCCGTCGGCAGCGCCCCAAACTTCAAATCCGGCTTCCCAGTCACCAAAACCGCGAGATCCTCATTCGTCGCGGCCTGCACAGCCAACTTCCCCAAGCACTCCACACAATCCAGATGCAGATCCTGATCGATATCCAGCTCCGCCCCACCATCGAACGCAATCCGCTGCACAGGAAACACAGCAAACGTCTCCTCCGTATCCGGCACCTTGATATCGGCGTCAAACGGGCTCAGATACCCACTCCCGCTAAACCCACCGCCCATGGAGATCTTCTTCTTCTGGCGCACGTGGAACGCGTCCGGACGCGGGTTGGTGATTTCCAGACCCGAGTAGTCGTACTCGTAGTCGTTGATGTATTTGTTGGCAAAGTTGGGGACGCCGACGTAGATGACGGGAAGGACGACGACGAGGACGACGACGCAGAATGCGATCAGGTACACCCACCACCATCGCTTCATGTGTGTCTTGAATCGCTGGAAGAGAGTCGGTTTGGCGGGGTCCGTTGCGGCCGCTTCGGGGTTGGCCCCTGAGCTGCTGTGTTCGATGTCGGATTTCGACATTTTGCTTTATTGCGGTTTTTTTGCTCTGGTGTCGGCCTTCTTTTGCGTTGTTCGCCCTTTCTTTTTGGGTAATTTCCCCCTCTGGTTCAGATTCAAGCCGTCAGCGGATCAAACGATGTTGATCTCGTGGTAGTGCGTGGTAGCGGCCAAGCCGGACAGCAGTCGCATCTTAGTACGACATATGGCCGAAATGAGGGAGCACAGGATCGAAGATAGGTGGGGTGCGAGGTGATAAGGTGGAAAAGGTCTGTTCTTTTTCGCGGTCCAAACCGGCGACTGGCACAGCTTTAATGAAATCCCAGGAGTTGGTGGCAATCGGTGCTCCATCCCCCCATGGGGAGTGCTGATGTCGATCGCTGCTCCACTCTTCACATGGACGGTTTAGTGTGTGCCGCGGTCGCCTCGTTTGCATCATGATTTGCGCTTTTGAGATTATGGGGGAGGAGAATGTTATTGCTAGATATTTTGATGGAGAATGTTGCATCTGGGTGTTGTTGCTGGTTGTGTGTCTGTATGCTGGTCTGAAGCTATACGCAGATTTGGTGCTGGAAGAATGGCGTATTCGGATGTTGAATACGCCCCGCCCACTTCGCGTAGAGACGGATCGACATGTTCTTTTTCCATATGGAGTATTGATCATTGTTGATCAGGCACGATGAGAGCAAAGAAAGCCCAGCAGATCAACTGTTGAGAATGCTGCGGGGATAGCGATCTGGTTTTCTGGAACGATCAACGCATGAATGACACTGCTTGATAGTCGATATGCAGTTCACTGTCGAGCCAGTTGGTATGCATGAGGAAGAATGGACAAAGCTTAAAAACCGCCAAGTCAAACAATATATTCCGCTACTATAAGTCCTGTTTAGCCGGAATCAATGAAATAAATCACCAGCCAGTGATACTCCCACGAACGCTTCTTCAAATCTATATGGAACCCTAACCCAAACCACTACAAACACCCCACGACAGGAACGAAAGAAAAAAAAGAAAATCAAAGATACACATAACAAAACGGCCCCGCAGTCGTTATCATAATCTCCTTCATCGCAACCGGCCCCCCACTCCCCGCATACCCAATATCCACCATCGTCTCGAGCGTCGTATTCGGCGACGGCGGCTCATTTAGGAACGTACCCGTTCCCGAGATCGCATCCCACCGCGCGCCCCAGTCCAAGCTCTGCCAGATCCACCACAGCCGATCCACCATCCCGTGGTGGACCCAGAATGCAGGATCTCCGGGGCTGGTGAAGACGTCGCGGCCAGGATCGCCACCCATGGAATAGTGGCCGCCGCCGTGGACGCCGATCCCGCCGCTGCCGGGCGTGCCCTGCATGGAGTTCTGGAAGTCGTAGACGATCCGGTTCTTGAGCAGGAGCTCGACGACCGCCGTGGCGTTGGAGAATCGGCGTAGGATGTCGGAAGTGAGGTCCCGTTTGAGGCACCGTGGGTTGTAGTCGAGGGGGTTGGGCGCGGAGGCTCGTTCGCCGCCGGGGAGGGCCAGTCCCGCGGGACCGAGGTTCAGCGTGTAGTTTTTGAAGGGCCCGTCGGTAATGCACCCACCGCCGCTGCCGGTGGGGAGCCAGATGGGCGGTCGGTCGCCCATGGTGAGGGCGAACTTGGGCGGCTGGTTGGGGATGGGGGCCCCGTTGCCGGAGAATGAGGTGTCGCTGCCGTCGAAGATGGGGGAGTCTTCAAGGTTCTCTGTGTCGTCGGGCCAGTTCCAGTATCTGGGTGGGTTTGTTGGTGATGGGCCCTCTAGTCTATGGATGTGTACTCACGGGTAGTCGCCTGTGTAGCCACACTCGCCACGCAGCGCTTGTTCAAACTCCCCGAGGAAGTACCGATGCCATCCGAGAAACGTTCCCTGGAGTGGTCAGTAGGGGCAGAACGAAGCTGTTGGGGACGTACCGTGAAGTGGATCTGCCCGGTTTGATTGATATGTGTGGCTATAAAGTCGTCATAGCGGGTTTTTGCGCCAGAGGCGAGGTCGGGAGGGGTCTGAGAGGGCAGTTGTTGGAGACACAGGATCGCATCTATGAACGCCCTCCGCTGCGGGTCGGAAAGAGTTCTCCACTCGCGACGAACTCGCAGTTTGTTGCGCGTACAGCCATTACGCTTCTGCGTTGTGCGGTTTGAGACCTTCTCCGTTGTTACGTTTAGAGCAAAGCTGGCAAGTTGATCGAGCTGGGATGATGCGGTGGCGATTGAGGTGGATGCAATTGATGGAAGCACCGCGGTAGCAGGGGCAGATGCATAAGGCTGCAGCGCAGGGATAGCTCCGATCTGGAACACCAGCAGGCCAAAGCTGACGGCGCGAAGGGCCATTATGAGGGCGATTTACTGACAAATAGATTTCAAGCACAAGCCAGGGACCCAGTAACACATCGCCCGGCCTAGAGAGGGCTATACTGGAGAAAGAGAAAGAAGCCAAAGAAAAGAAGAAAAGAAAAGAAAGAACCGGATTCCTTTAAAAGGCTGGCAGCACCATGTGGCCAAGGGGCTTAGCCACTTGCAAGGTCTCCATCCTGTCATCACGCTGGGACGGTGTGGGATGCAGACTGTTGCAGAAGCCATTCGTCTGTCGTGACGCAGGGGATTAGTATAGCCACACACTGGGGGGTCGATGGGACTGCGGCTGGGATGGTGGCCCATGCTGCTGACCCTGATCCCATGGTCTCAATCCACTCGATTGGACATTCCGAACTCGCCCATCGTGACGGTGATGCCTCGTTCTCCAAGGCAGATAAACGGTTCCACGACATGGCATTGTGGCTGCAGGATGATGGGTACCATATTGCACTATTGTCCGTGTTTGTGGCTCAACACAAAGACACTATACGCCAAAGATGGACCCACAGACCTCGAATTGGTGAGCTTGCAGGTCTCATCCCAGCCCCTCTCCAATGTCGGTTCCGAGAACTGACATCCTGTTCTAGAAGACTGTCGAGGAGGGGAAACGACATCCCTAGGGCAGCGAGAAGCAGGCTCAAGATGCTGACTACAGCCTGACCAGTATGACACCTTCCTGGACGATGCCCTCTCCAGAGACCGCCGTGGTCTCGCATACAGCCCTGAATTTTGACGAATTAGCGCCGAGTGATACGAGGACGGCACACGGAGTGGGTAACTGCAGTGTGCCCGCCAGGAACAGAAGCTGTGGACTAAGCGAGTACGGTGGATCCATGACAAAGAGGAATCTTGAAAAGACCGAATGTTGACAGGGGAGACCATGTTGAATATCAAATCGGTGTTGGATGGGCTGAAGATGGTAGTCAGCTCCACGTGGCCGATACTGCCCTACCTCACCCCGGCTGAAACAAACAGGGAGCAGAACCTCTTCGTGTTGAATCCGACTAACGAAGCATGTTCTGACTGTATCCAGGATATAATTCGCTTTTTCGAAACATCCTTCTCGTACTCGGTTCATTTCTCTCTTCTTGCAGACCCTGAGCCGTGCTCAGTGACACAGCGAGTATGAGTGTACGTTTCACCACAGTGTAACGCCGGGGTTCTCTATTCTTCTGGGTCAAGAACAACGAGTAGGAGAGCAGGAAAAAATAAACATCTACCAGGATTTGGATAAGCTCGTGAATGAGCCGAGACGTTTCAGTCGCCTGGTACCCACGTGTTACCCCGGTCCCTTTAGTATTTGAATGCAAAGATCTCAATCAGCGCGGGAGGGTAGGAAACTAGATGCACATACGGCCGTTGCATTGGTACTATTGCCTCACTGCCATGTCACTAGACCAGGATCGCCGTATATAATTGAATGACATGTCGGTAACATTACCGGACTATAACAGGGGTGCCTTGTCTGATTTTCTGACATTGCTGTTGGCGCGGCCTCGCGCGTCAGATGACTTCAGGATTAGGACGAAGAAAAGCTGCTCTGATCTGTGAGTTCACCAAAGGGCACGATAATCACAGAGGCCTGGAGCATGTCAGCCCGTTCCCCGATGTTTGATAATCCAGCAGAAGACAGGAAAAGGGGGGCCATTCTACCGACAATCCGCCACATCCACCACCCACTCAACCTGTTCCACGACACGTAAACGTTCGCATCATCCTGCATCTTTGCCAAGATCTCCCCGTCACCGTTTCTATCACAACTGCGCCTCGCAGCAGTTACAGGAACCATGTTACGTCGGATCTTTTTTCGCTCAGCTCGAATAGCGGGACTGGTGGTGGCGTAGGTCTCGCTGTTGCGGTATCGATGCCGGTCTTGTTTCCTTCACCAATATTCTAAAGAGTGTGGGGTTCATATGACGACCTAACAGTGGTCCAAAGGGAAACATGGCGATGGGATAGCGTCCTGTTGGAGTGGAAGTTGATGGGAAGTATATACCTGAAACTGGAGAGTTAGGGTTTGAGTCTACCAACCCTAACCCAGACAAAGACCCTAAGTTTGAGCAGCAGGCTTTTTCGTCTGTCATTTACCATACAATGGAAGTGTAGGAGGTATAGTTGATATTGAAATGATAGGGATCCAGTGACATCCATTTCACTCAAATTTCAATGTGAACGGATCGGGTAGAGACGATGTTTGTCAGCAGCCCAAATTGACTTCATTTAATTCATCTGCTTTCCCCTCACCTTCACCCCTCTCCCACTTCTCTTTACTACAAAAGTAGTATCTCTCCGATTCAGCTTGATCAATCGATCCAAGTACGGTGTACTTCGTGCATTGTCTTGTCAATCCGCCCCAACCCCTGGACAACCCCACTTCGGGTATAGCCCCGCATCGACTGTGTTGATAGTAAAGATGGCACCCTCCGAATTGCAGACCAAAGTCGGCCAGGTAGGTATTCCACTGATGCCTGCCATACTATGACTGACTCAATAGCTTTTTGCTGTTGGCTTTCACGGTCTCACCCCTAGCCCTGAGATCAAGTCTTTGATCCATGAGCATGCTCTTGGCGGCATTGTTTTGTTCAAGCGAAACATCAGCGATGTGGCCCAGCTCCAGGTACCCTCCTCATACACATATCCCTATATCTATATAATGTTAAGAATGATCTAGTCTCTCACACGTGCCCTCCAAGAGGAAGCCCGACTAGCCGGTCATGAGCGCCCGCTCTTCATCGGCATCGACCAGGAGAACGGGCTAGTAACCCGGATCTCACCTCCCATAGCCGCCCAGATGCCCGGCCCCATGGCTCTAGGCGCAACCTACTCGCCAGAGCTAGCCTACGACGCGGGCGTCATCACCGGTCAGACCCTGCAGTTCTTCGGGATCAACATGGACTACGCCCCCGTCTGCGACGTCAACTCTGAGCCCTTGAACCCAGTCATCGGGGTGCGCAGCCCCGGCGACGATCCGGAGTTTGTGGGCCGCTTCGCCAGCGCCACTGCGCGGGGTCTGCGCGAGCAAAAGGTAATCCCGAGCGTCAAGCATTTCCCAGGTCATGGGGATACAGCGGTCGACTCGCACTACGGGCTTCCGGTGATTACAAAATCTCGCGACGAGCTGGGCCGCTGTGAGTTGGTGCCGTTCCGTCGCGCCGCTGCTGAGGGCGTCGAGTCTGTCATGACGGCCCATATCTCCCTCCCTGCTATTGGCGATGGTAGTCTTCCCGCGACGCTGTCCCCGGACGTGCTGAACATCCTGCGCAAGGATATGCAGTACGACGGGATGATCATCACGGACTGTTTGGAAATGGACGGCATCCGGGCGACATACGGCACTGAGCAAGGCGCCGTCCTCTCCCTCGGAGCAGGCAGCGACAGCATCATGATCTGCCACACCTACAACGTCCAAGTAGCTGCCATCAAGCAGGTATGCGAGGCTGTACAATCAGGCCAGATCCCACAATCGCGCTTAGACGAAGCGTACCGCCGGGTCACGACTTTAAAGGACCAGTTCCTAGACTGGGACACGACCCTGCGCGTACAACCGCCGTCTCAGCTCGCCGCACTCAACCAGAAAGGCGTCACACTAGCCAGCGAGATCTACGCTCGCTCAGTAACCCTCGTCCGAGACACCAAGGGCATCCTCCCCTTATCACCCAGCGCGCAGATTGTCTTCCTCTTCCCAGGAGGCGCCACGCCCGCCGGCGGAGCCGTCGACGGCGAAGGCCTAGGCCGACCAGGCACGTACAGCGCCTCCCCGTACCTCAAGCTTCTTAATCGCCACGCGCCCAACGTCGCCGAAGTCCACTACGCGCCGACAGGCCTGTCCACCCAACAATGGCAAGCCGTGGAAGCAGCCGACGTCGTCGTCTTCGTTTCCATCAACGCGCGGGAATCACCCTACCAGCAATCGCTGGGTCTTGAACTCCCCAGTCGAACCCGCAAACTAGTCGCCATTGCTGCATGCAGCCCATACGACTTCCTCGATGATGTCGCCAGCATCGCTACCTACATGACAACCTACGAGCCCACCCTCGAAGCCTTCGCCGCCGCAACAGACATTCTCTTCGGGACGGCTCCCCCCCGCGGCGCTCTCCCCGTCGGCGAGCCAAAACCGACCCCGTCTGCTGACATCCACATAACCCAATACAATCCCAACAGTGACTTCTCGGGCATTCTCTCCGTCTGGAGCGCAGCTCTCCCAACCTACACCCCAGATCCAGACCTCCTATCCACCCTCCTCCACGCGCATCACACGCAGCACCACTTCATCGCCAGAAACAAGAGCACCGACGAAACAACCGGCTGCGCCATCCTCTACGCCAGCACCAACACCAAAACAGCACACCTCGCTGTCCTAGCCGTCCACCCCTCCCACCAGAACCACGGCATCGGCACCAGGCTCCTCGCCGCAGCACGCGCCTCCCTCCCATCCGGCACCCGCATAAACCTAGGCAGCGGCATCCCGCGCTTCTGGCCCGGCATCCCAACAGATTTACCCCAGTCTGTACAAAGTTTCTTCACAAACCGTGGTTTTCACCTCAATCCGCTGAAACCTCGCTCTGTGGATCTCTATCAGAGTATTTCCACTCTCGCTTCCACTGGGGGGAAATATCTAGCCCAGGCAGCACAAAATCATATATCGTTCACGCCGATCAAGCAAGCTCAGTATGAGGAGTGTCTTGCGGGACAGATGAGGAATTTCTCTGAAAACGCCGTACGTCTTCCATCTTTCCCTTCTCCTTCCTTGTCTACTTTTTCTTTCTTCCCTACTTTCCTACTTTCTTCCCCATCCTTTTTACCCCACCACCCAACAATCCCCTTCCTCTCCCATACCTGACTACTACCACTGCCATACTTCCCCCGTCATCTGGGTACTAAACAGCATCACCAAAATATACAGGACTGGATAAGCCTCTACAAAACCCACCCCCCAACCACGCACCCGAACGTTATCCTCTCCGCCATCCACACCCCTCCCCCCACAACAACAACAACCA